CAATAGCCAATTTACACCCACAAAAAAAAAAAAAAAAAAAAAAAAAAAAAAAAATATATATATATATATATATATATATATATGTATATATAACGCAATTTTCTACTTATACGTGAGAAAACGCAAGAAAACGGTGCTTTTGTAACGTAACGCAGCATAGGGGGTCCTGTGTGAACCGGCCTGTGGGACTCGGAGAATATTCGATGACTCGCGACACTACCAATTGCCTCGCGTGGTTCGCAACTTTTACAGCGAGCGCCAGCACATACCGCCATGCAGCTAGGACACCCGGTCAGCAATCTGATTCAGCCCTGGAATTCCATGGCAGTGGAAAAAAAAAAAAAAAGAATTCGGCAATTCTGAGGCGTGCTTTTCCACTGCGGAAACATGCCCGAAAAAAAAAAAAAAAAAAAGGAAAGACCAGGAACAAAGGCTGCATCGCGACGGGTTGCGTGGCTGCAGTGCGTGGCAGCCCCGGCCGTGCTCTCGCATATACGGGATGCCGGTGTCTCGACCTCGCCTGGAACGCGCGTCGAGTGAATGGAACGCCGATCGACGCTCAATGGACCTGCCCGTCGTTTCATGGGCAAAACCCTTTCCCGTCGAGCTTGTCCCGCGACACCCTGCTCCCAAAATCAGATTCGTGGAAGGCCCCGCGCGCTGGGAGTTTCGGGTTTTTGGTAGAGCGCTCCGCAATACCTCCGATAACGATACCCGATTACGGCACGATCTTGGGTGTCATGCTGAATCTTTTGCTCAAGTTCTGAATGTTGAAATAAAATAGTTTAAGTAAACCGTTTCGATACTGTTCGGTAACGATGCCCGATGACCATGATGATGCATGCACAGAGGTGGCGGTGAAGTATCAGGTATCGTTATCGGAGTCATCGAGACGATCTACTAAAACTCGCTAAAGTTGTAGAATAAATGCGTCCGAAAACAAAGCTTTCGTCATTCATATATTACATCTCAAATTTGTTGGTAAAAAAAAAAAAAAAAAGAATAATTGCGATATATGTCTTAGAAAACCCAGCTGAACTCATTAGGGTTATTCCCAAGCTTCCATTTGTCACGTTAATGCTCATTTAGTTTGAATTTCAACTTAATTGGCAGTGCCTTTGGGCAGTTTGGGGAGGGGGGAGGCGGGCACTTAACGAGCGATTTAATAAAAAAATTAAGCGTATAGTCAAGGAAATTTAAATTTTATCAAGTTCATTACCAATTACCTCAAATTAAAAAAAAAAAAGTTTTTGTTTTGGTAATGCAAACCAGTCTTGAAGACAGGGCAGGCCATTCCAAATCCTATCAAACAAAGCGCGGTTCTATGTTTGGGCCATTTTACTACAAGGTTGCGTTATCTTATATCATATCAAAAGTGTCAGTTTTCCTTTTTTACTTTCTTTTCACAAAATACCTGAGGCGTGCGCGCATGATGCTGGGGAAAGCACTTTCTGGCAAGAAATCGTATCGGATTCTCAAAAAATCGTATCCGCTTCGGCGCGATGTACGATTTTAGCGAGGACATCCACCACGCCGCCGAAAGACGAAACAGCACGACTTTCTTTATGACGTCATTGAGTCGTCAGACGTGCGGGAAAAAGCCTCATCGCACATCGCTTCCTCCTTTCTTGTTTTTGTGAGGTTTTCGGGAAAAACAACAGCCGCGGAGGCCTTGATTGACAGCCAGCAGTTGGGGAGGGAAGATCTGCACCTTAGCGCCTACGTCGTGAGTTTCCTCCAAGGTCACAAGTGGACGATCATGGACAGAAATCGTTCCAAACCAAAACTACTGTAGCAAAACGGATGCGGAGGAAAGCTTTTAGCCTTAGCGGCGCAAGCTATACCGTCGTCCATTTATCCATCCGTGCACGACGCGAGTGGATGTCGCTTCTCCGCAGCGCACCTGTGCGCGGTGGAAAGCGCACTCAACGAAGGCCACCCGAATTTGCCCGAACTGACCACGAACGGGACATGTTGCGGAACTTCCAAGAAGTGCCAGCGTTCGATGCAGTGATCGACTCGAATGGCATAGTATTAAATGCGTTAGCATTTATGGGTCCATATTACATGAGCGAATGACGTTTTAGCGAACAGCGACATTTGAGCGAATCGACGTTTTAGCGAATAACGGGGGCGCGCCGCGCTGCGCTTTCGCCGCTTCGCCGGCGACAGTCTGCGGCGACTCATTACAAAAATGTGAACCCAATTGGCCCACCCGAAAACGCCGCTTCGCTGCGTCCGACTATTCGCTGAAGTGTCATTGGGCGTTCGCTAAAACGTCATTCGATCAAGTGAGTGCCTCCCAGCATTTATTGCCCTGGTGCATGCAGCCGCCATGCAGCTTTCGCTTGGACGGTCGTGGTTTGGACTGGACTGGTCACCGTGAACCCGCGGCGCGGTTCCCGCCGTGCCCTTTCGCTCCGTTTGTTCCCTCGTTGTGTTTATGTTCCCTCGCTCTTGTAGGGGACGGACGCGACGGGCGTTGGACTTTTGGTTGGACGTGCACGACGACACGAGGCGCGGTTCAGCGCGCAGGCTCCGTCGTGCACGTCCCAAATCTCTCGGAAGCGCCCGCGTGGGGGCTTCGTGTCGTCTGCTGTCAAAGACGTTCCCCCACATTCCGCATCTTCTAATTGCTGCACAATTTTTTTTTTTTTTTTTTTTTTTTTTTTTTTTTTTTTTTTTTTTTAAGACGTACACATTTGGTGTTAAACAGTTGTTTTAGAGTTTGAGCGGTAGAGGCTGCCCTGTGCAAACTTTTGTCTAGAGCAATAAACGAAACTCAAACTACTTTCAATCTATCCGAGTCAAAAGCAGTCCAACTGTACGTAAGGTAGCCGTAGCACAAGACTACCATACCGCAGCGTGTCTTTCGATTGAAAACGGGTTTCATTTTTCTTTTTGGGGAAGTGCTCGTGTGACCGCGAGGGAAGGGGGGGGGGGGGGGGGGGGGGTTGCCGCGGGCCGCAATTTAACACGCGTAGAGCCGCAGCTTGAACACCCCTGGTTTATAAGAATTGCATTAAAAAAAAAAAAGAATGGGGTGTGTGTACGTTTATACAGCCTAAAACTTAGTCTCCCTCAACGAGCAAGTTGCATGTCTCCCAGCTGTAGATGAGCAATTTAGCCAGCCAGTGCAGTACAACCGCTAACTTCAAAGAAAAAAAAAAAGTGTATTTTAAACAGCCTAACTGGAACAAGCATACCACAAAATAATTTTTCCGCCAAAAACAAAATTTTTTACAGCAATTTTTAGTGCGCGAGACTGATTTTAGTTTGCGGCTATTTCGTCCGTTTTAAATCGCGCGCCACAAAATTGGTATTATACGTCACGTAGTGGCTGCTATACGTCACGGAGTCACGTATAGCAGCCACTCCGCGCGCTCCGAAAGAGCGGGAGTTTCGAATGTGGAGAAGTTGTGACCCCGACTAAACTACGTCCTGTGGCGTAAATATTGCTAGCAAAAATTTGTTTTTTCGCGAAAGATTTGTTTTGTGACATGCTTGTCCCAATTAGGCCGTTTAAAATCACACTCTTTTTTTTTCTTTGCAGTTACCCTTTAAACGTGCATCCCGCAGTAGTGATACACAACCGCATGCCGGTACGATGCTCATCCGGATGGGAATGGGCAGGGGATTGAACCCAGGATTCCTGGGTTCTGCAGCGTGAGCTTTTGCTCCATGTGCTCCGAACTCGTGTGCGCTAGCCCACTAGTGCTGGCGCGGGGGCACGTGATACGCCCCGGCGAAAAACTCAGCATTAATCTCGATCACCTGGGGATCTCTTGATGTGTAACCGAAAGCTCGGTTACACGGCGCCTTCTCCGCAATAAGCCTCCAACAGAATGTGGGCACCTCGGCTGGGGTTCTAACCCACCGCTTGGGGATCCGTAGGCTGCAGCGCTTAGCCTCAAAGCCACCGAGGCAGATGCATATGCTTAAAATGCTGCCCATTTTCTTTTTGTTTGAATCTTCAAGGAAATACTTATCTACGAAATAAAGGAAGCAACAACTAGATGGAACTACCAACCCCCCCCCCCCCCCCCCCCCCCCCCTCAAAAAACAAAACAAAAAAACTTTTGTTTTGGATTTGAGATGTACGACACATCCACTTCCATGTTCGCTTTTGCTTCCGAAAACTCCCACCAAATCCAAACACACCAAAGTAAAGACAAGAAAGTGGTGTCAACTAGGAGCTATCTTTATTACATATATTTACATATAATATATCAAATCGGAGCCCCATATCAATGGAACATCTGAAAAAAAAAAAAAATGCGGCATGGACATTAGTTTATGGCCTAAAAACAAACACCTTGTAAGCGGGCTAGCTGGCAACAAAATACGGTGTCAGAAACCAATCATTGCTGCCAGCTTAGGTTCATCAGAGGGCAATACTTTCACATTGAAATTTCTAGATGCATTCAGAGATGACCTGACCAGAATTTTTTTTTTTTTTTTTTTAGTTTCTTTTTTACAAGTAGCGTTAAATGTGCTAGTAATAAAGGTCTGTGCCACGTGCGGCACTCGGCATTCTCTGGAATCGAATGGCAGGGGAGCGTTTGCTCGTAACACGTGTCCTGCACATTCGCACGACAATGGTTGTTGATACTTGCAGGGAGCTTGAAGTGCGAGATTTACCCAAAGGGCTTTAATCTGGCCCAGTTCACTTCAAATAAACTCTTATTTCCAAGTTTACGTCCTATTCGAATCAGAGTGCCCATTAAGGCTCTTATTATCTGTGTGAAGTTAGTGAGAATACAATATGCGCTCAGGAGCTCCCCAAGCACAATGTCAAAATCGAAAATAATTAATCTGTAGCTCAATAAGAGGGCATCTTTAGGTAATGCCTTTACCATACTACAATTTTGCTAGTTAGAACTGTCGAAAAAGATAGTTCAGAGAAGAAATTCTTTCTGTCGATTAGAACCACCAGCAAAAAGACTCATTGATCAAAGAATGTTTTATTTTTTTGGAAGTATCAGCTAATGACTATTTAGCGTACCAGGTCACACATCAGATCACCAATCAGCTCAATCTATGCAATTAGCAAAGATTTAAATATGTAAAATAACTCGTTAAAATTTTTTTTTTTTTTAAAGTTTTGTTTTTCTAAAATTGGCAGGCACAGTTTTTGAGCAATGCTATTCGCGACTCCAATTCACTATAGGTGGCGCCACTCGTTTTCCAAAATGGCGGTTTTAGTGAGGGTCGGAGATGCGTGCCGGTATACCAGTTGCTGAGCCTGTCTAGTGTGTTAGCTTCACTGAGCTACACAGATTATTCCTGCTTATACGAGGAAGCTAGGGTGTTATGAGCGCAAGTCACCTCATTATCCTGAAAACAAAAACGGTGTTTAGCGTAATATTTACGCCAGGGGGGACGTTTTAAGTCTGGAGCGAAACCGAAACTAACGTCTATTTTGAATTAAATTTTTTGGAATCAATGCTAATTTCGGATTCTTTCATAACTCAAGATGTGTCTCACAACGTAATTATTAAATTAAAGAAGTTGTTCGCCAAAAAAAAATATATTTTGGGGTTGTACGTCTCCAATATGTCCCTTTAACGACAAGGTCTTTCATACCCCTTAGAGGTAACATAAAATATTGCATTTGTTGAAAAAGAATCAGTGCTGATATTTGTACGTTTTGCTACCTTTTTGTCGCTTGGATACTTGTCATGTGAAATAATGAGCTGCGGGCCTTTTAATGGGTTGGGGGATATATAGATGATGGATTGCTTTAACATTATTCCCAAGCACAAGAATAACAGAATCAATCAGAATTTTACTAAATATCGCCACGGATGATGAGTTCGAAATATGGTGACAAAATGTATAAATTAGGAAACGCTTTCTCACTAAAAAAAAAACCATGGACGAAATCCGAGTTAGACAGGAGAAGTGTGCGTGTTTTTTTAAAGCAACGCGTGACGCATAGGACTTAATAATACATCCAACGTTTGACTGTTTGTCTATCTTGATAACGATGTCTGTTTTTAGATGCTAAAAAGAAAACAAAATGAGACCGCTTTGAAAAGACTGGTTGAATGGCGTATTTTTGTGAACTGCCTGAAATGGTAAGCCTACAATGCAGCAATTTGTAGTAATGATAATAATACAATTAAGATATGCTAATACATAGTTTTTCAAGCCCTCATATAATTTGTTGCTTATTATCTAATTTTAAATGCGCGAACAAGTATAACACACAAAAAAAATGTGTAAATTATCATCACTGGTGCCAATGGCAGCATTTTTAATTAACAAGTTTCAATAAAAATAGTCCAAAATAAATGAAAACATTCCTTAGCTAATCTGAGAAATCCATGCAAAATTACACAAATGGCAGTGGGTAAAGCTATCAAAGTCGCGACTTTTGATAATCGGCAAAACTTCCAAAGTCGCTGTCAGACCTTCCGGACCAAATGCCCCAAAATTACGAAGAAATGGATTATCATTTTTTTTTAATATCTTAATTTGCTTAGAACATCTTGCTTCTTTAATTTTTATGCGCCGTCGTTTCGCCAATTTGAGCCTTTCCAGTTCGAAGGAACGCTTACCCGCTTGTCCGTCTACTCACTGCAACATGTTTTGTTGGCTTTGGAAACCGGTAAAACAGTAGTGAGTTTAGTATGACGTATACGAGCGAACGCAAGCGCTGTATCTTTGCGTTGCTTGTTCTACACTGCGCGTGCACAAAATGGCGGTCTTGGATACGAGCTTGGCGACGACGCGCATGCATAGCCTGGAGCACGCAACTCTAACGCAAACGCACAGCGCTTACGTTAGCTTCTAAACGAAATACTAGAAATCTCTAATAAGGTAAAATCCCATACCGAGACAATGAATAGTGTTGCTTGCGTTCGGAAATTACATTTCGCGAGCCATGATCGCGAGCAGTCGCGCCCTGCCCGCTGAGCAGGAGGACCGGGGGACCCTCGCCAGAGCGCTTCCCTTTTCCGCCGCGGGAGGGCGAGCGGCGAGCTGGAGTCGCGAATAAGTTTCTGACCTCAGCAACAGAGCCTAACTTCAATCAAAGATCTCGTCACTGCACTCACAGGTGAGTCTTGGTCATAGTTCATGTCATCCGCATCCAATTCGTCATCCTCATCTTCGTTGCTGTCGCTTTCGTCATCATCATTGTCGTCATCGTCGTCATCCTCTTCGTCCTCGTCCTGTAACTTTTCAGAAGCCAGCTTTACTCCCTTGCATCCCACACTTCCCTCGATCCAGCTGTTTAGAGTTCCCGCGATCTAGCCGTCCAAACTTCAGGCTCAATCAATCCAAGTAACTTGCTTGAAGCGGTACACACGCTCCCACACAAACTACACAGCAAACCTTAAAAATGAAGAGGCAGACTTTATCATATTTTCATGTTTGAAGTCCCACCGTTGTGTAAGCCGCACCTGCTATAAACAGCCGTTTTCACAAAAAGGTGGTTTGAATATAAGCCGTGCCTTGTTATAAATCACATCTCTATGCTTGTGCAGCTAGTGGCAAAGCTGCATTGATAAACCCAAATACCTGAACTGCGATTACGATGTGCAAATGAGAGTCAGTTTCAATGTTTTTGCCAACAAATCAAAAGAGCAATATAACTACTGCCGCAAATTTGCGTATTTATGGTTCAAACCAATAGAAGGAACAAATGCCTCTAGGTCGCACCGTTGTACAAAACATCAATGAAAATGTAAAAAAAAAAAAAAAACGACTCGTGCAACGGCAAATACAGTAACTCCCACGTGGCACGGATCAGGAAGCACCAGACACTGTCAACGTTGTAAACAAATCTAGTGACTATGCTGACGACTGGGAACGAAATTCAATCAAATCCAGTACTTTTAATCCCCCAATAGAGTATGCACAAGATGAAATGCAAACACAAAGAAAAGTGCTTACAACGACCAAACGCCTCCTACAACAAAGCGTGACTAGCGGTGTCACCTCGGAGAAAGAGGCCATTCAATCCTTACGAGCCTGAGCTGTCACGGAGAAGCAGGCAGTTGTAGCAAAGGCAAAAAAGCAGCAGCGGTACATCTATTCGAACAACACCAAACAAAGCGAGTGAGAAAAAGGAACCCCTTACTTCTGCTGCTGTTTTGCCGATCGGGATCAGGTCACTGTGCTTTTGCGAGATGCTCGTCAGCTGCGATCGAGAAAATGGGTTCGTCAAGATGCATCCCCGTACCCAAATTTTTTCAACGTCACTGGTTCGGAGTCTTCCGCAGATACCCGTCTTAACCTCGACACAGCCACAGTTTGACATTCAAAAGGCAGCCACTTGCAACAGAGAGCAAGCTGAAGTTTTATGCTGTTAACTACGGTTTGATGTTAATTCAAATATATGTTTGGTCCATGGGCGTACCAACGGAGGGGGGGGGGGGGGGGCACTTGCCCCCCCAGTGCTCAGAGTGGGGGGGCAAGGCATGCATTCCCCCCCCCCCCCCTCCCCCCCCCCCGAAACAGCCGCCCTTGGGAGGGAAAACACTGGCTGGCGGCACCCGAGAGATACCAAAGGCACCGCCCCCCGGCCCTGGGGGGGGGGGGGGGGGGGGCTGGTTTGCTCCCCCCCCCCCACACACACACTCAAAAACAAGTTGGTACGCCATTGGTTTGGTCCGTTTCACTGGAAGTGTCAGTGTAGCTGGCAATCTAAACGCCGAAGCGTCGAGATTTCGACCTGGGTTGGCATGGGCGTCTCCCTATACACCGTCTACCCTTAGGCTGGCAGGGCAGTGGAAGCAACATGCTCCATGGGCCAGTCATGTGCCTATCTCTCGCCACGTGATCATGCTCCCACCGACATCCACGCGCAGAGAGGGTGTCAGCGGATGAAAAAGGTGGTTGATTTGTCCGGCGAATGCATGGCTCCCACAGCACTGTCAGCTCAAAGGCGAAACCACGTTAGTGCTGCCTCTGCTAGAATGGTTAGCACCTAGGGAAAGCACCTTCGCAGCGTGACACTAAATCTTCGAAAACACAGATTTCAGGTATAGCGTTTCATTAATCAGTTTTAGAGAATGATAATACTCTGCTCTCTGTTTCAACACCGTCAAAATGACACCAACGAAGATCCATCTCTCTTTGTCTGGCTAATTAACGTGAGTTGGATGTCACAATGGTACGAAGCAACGGTTAGAGCGAAGCTCAGTCCAGGTTATGATCTGTGACCAAAGAATCCTGAAGGGGCACAACATCTGTATGGCCGCAATGCTTTTCCCTCCTCACCTGCACACCAAATGGCACCACAAACCTTTAAGCGCAATAAAGTACTATGACTATCATACTCACGGCGTTTTGGTGTTCCTTTTCAAGCTGAGTGAGCTCCGATTCCTCGTCGCAAGGCTTGTCGATGTGAAACCACTGTTGATCGGCCATTTTAGGCTGTAAAGATGGAAAATGCGGTCTTTCCATTGAGACAGAGATTATTTTTTCGGAGTTTTCGAAGGTTTCTCCGGACTGGAAACCGCTCAGGCTACTCAGGCCAGCGCCTCCTCCTCCTGTCAAACGCATCAGCTTCTTCCGCGGCTCAGAATGGATTGGATTAGTTTTAAATGGCTGAACCAATAAACTAGTCAAACCAGTCAAACACTAAATAGAAAAGAAATAAAACTAATTTAGCAAAATTTATTGATAAAGACGTATGCTAGTTTTATAGCTTTAAAATTCAATTTTTAAAGCCGAATAAGCCAACCACTATTTAGAAAACAGTTTCGCTAATGTCATTGTGGTTTCGCCATTTCTAGCGACCATCGTTTATAGCGACGTAGCCGTCTGGTTACCCTGTGCTCACCTAACAACATGGCGGCGCTTTGAGTATTTTTCTCGCGCATCGTCGAAACTACGACAGCGATTTTGTGACTCTGCCAACTCTGCACCGACAGCCCCTTCACTTTTACCCGTGGAACAGATCCTACTCAACATGGAGGTACGTATTATCACCGCGATTAACGGTTCAACTAATGGTTCGGTGCCATGTTCGCTTGCGAGATTCTTCGCCGCTTTTTCGGCCGGCTCGCCGGTTCGGCGTTTTAGCGTGTCCGGTCGTTGCTGCAACAAAATATCTAGAGAAATAAAATACTCTGTTTTCACGCAGGACGTTCAAAAACACTCGGTTCACACACTCGTGTTCCGATCTCTGAAACGGACGCACGATATGTTCTTGTCGGACCAAGCAAACCCTCCACCCCAAGATGAGACAAGGTAAGTCCCTTTGACATCTTCGGCATACCAAAACAAAAAAAAGAAAAAAAAATGTTTTTTGAATGTGTGTGTGTGTGTGTGTGTTTACGCTACTTTACACGGGCAAATCCTCACTTCGGTGTTAAAATAATGCGCACCCAAAGTCTGGCTCACACGTTAACGTTTGAGTCTAACCAAGTGCACAGTGACCGCTTGTAATCGCCAGAGAGTTTAGATTTATAGTAATACAGGCGCTCTAGAATTCGCTTACGAGGACAGGTACATTGGCATGTAACTAGATCTAAGGTTTTTTCACTATTTGCGAGGTAAAATCTACACATTGTCTACGAGGAATGGTCGCTTTAACAGGCAAACATATTTCAAGGCCATCGTGAATGAATGATGCATAATCAGCAGATCGGAAGTGTTCCAGAGAAAGCCTTTCGACGTTGCTTGGCTCGGTAGGAGTGCTGGGCTGTGGTAGCGTAAAGCTTTCCTGCTGACACCCGCTTTGCCTGTTGCCTTCAGCGAAAAGCTCAAGGTTTCCGTCAAGACAAAGGACGAGTACGGGCTCGTGATGCACCTGGTGAAGTCGAACCCACAGAACTACAGACCCAACGTTGAACGACCAGCGTACCATGAAGACATGGTCAAAAGTAAGTGTGTAACAGAAATGTGAAAAGCTCCTGTAACTAAGTTCACAGGTGTCGTGTAACACCATGACGTAACGTCATGTGGTTAACTTCCCCTCTAAATTTGATGGGAAAGGGACGCACGCTCCGTCTACAATGTTACGTCTGTTCGTGAGGTGACACCTCTGTTGCTGAATTCCCTGGTAATCTGTTTTGAGAACTCGTGCCCTAGAGCAATATCACTAGGGCCATATGATTGCATTGAATCAGAGTTGGCAGCTGCCGCCAGCTTTAACATAACGGGACATCGCCAAGTTGAGATACAAAACTTTCCCACAGAAAAATGTAGCCGCAAGAAAGTGTGCATATACCGAGAGCAGTATATTGGGAGGGTCTGGCCATTAGGCGTGGCAACGAAGGCACTGGAGAGGAGAAAAGTTAAAAAAGCGGGGGAAAGGGGGGGGCCCTCCGACGGAGCAAGAGAGGATGAAGGTATCAAAGAGGAAATGATCGCCCTTTTGGCGTTACATGCTTTCGACGCAGAGCACTGTTGAGGCCACGTGTTGTCTGCTCCAAACCGACTTCTTTTTCGCCTAAATAAAATTTTGCAGTCAAACGTCGAGAAAATTGTATTCATTAGCTTTTCTTTTTTTAACCCACCGAGGAATAACATTATATCATTTTCTTGCCAAAGCCATCGAAATAAAAGGAAAGAAGCAAACTTGGGATGTCAATTCCATGTAGGTATTCCACTGGGCGAATAAATGAAATTGGTGGCCCTCCCTGCTTAGCTGAGAGCAGCCGGGAGTTCACGCACATGCGCTCGCGCTTCTCACTCTGCGCCGCAAGCTGATTGCTCCCTTGGGAGGTGGGCGTTATGGCTGCGAGATCATAAACTGGCCAAACTCTCCCAATGTACAGCTCCGCGCATACCAACATGGCTTCTTCCATGTCTCTGCCCAGGCAAGGAGGCCAAGCTCCCGGAACTCCAGTATTCAGGCATGGAGATGATGCCCGTGTACGACGACGACGCGCCGCCCCCTGGGGTCGACGACTACACCATCGTCAAGCCACCGCCTCCACCATCGCAGGTTCGTTGTTGCGCAGTCTACGAGAGGGCCAAATTAACACACCGTATGAATTTGTTTCTTCGAACCACTGCACCCTAGCTCGTCTCGGAGGTGCGATCAGATTCAAGCTGGGTCGTGACTTGCCGCGATGTTGTGACGGAACTGGTTACAGTGGCTTGTGCGCAATGTTTGGGGTGCAGATGATGGTCCTGGCGGGGCAGCAGCAGCTGGCGGTGGCGCCGCGCAAGCCGGTGACCATTCCAAAGCCGCAATGGCATCCGCCCTGGAAGCTCTACAGGGTAAGCGCGACGATTCGGCAGATTTTCGTTGTGGTTATCTGTGTTTTACCTTTGTTAGTTAGTGGGAGAGAGAGAGAGAGAAAGGAAACAAAGTTTGTGGAGAGATTGGGAGCCTTAGTAAGACGGCGCAACTTATGCTTGGGCCACCCTGTTCTTTCTTTTTTTTTTGCAAGAGAGTTGCCAGTGCTCTCGAAATTTTTTGAGCATTTCGTTAAAGGTGCACGACTCGCTTGTTCCTTTTGTATGAGCAAACAAACTTGAAATTCGGATGACTATGATGTTAAAATAAGTTTGCCCAATTTATTGCCTAAATACGTTTACGGTAGTAGTTTCTCATGTTCTTTTTTATTGTGCTCACTGAGCTGAAAAACATGTCTACGGTGTAAAGATAAACTGACATCAAGCGGGATAGTGGGCGGCATCCTTTTTCCAGCAAGGCTGGAAATCTTTCCCTTCTTTTTGTCTTCATCATTGGAAGGGGGAACCATTCCCTTCTTTTGTACAAACCTGAGTGGAGGTGGGGAGAGAACAAAATAATTTACATTGGACATGAGTTAACATTAGGGAGGTAGGCCGAATGAAGATTTCTTAGATTTGGCTTTTTCGCTATGAATGTTGAAGAAAAAATTTAGAAGTGCCTCTTTCTCGTTCTTGACCTTGCTACGCTCTAACGTTGGGCTGTCATTTATAGCTAGGGTTCCGTGTTTTCAGATAGATCCCAAAAAATCCAAAAAACACTCACCGGTAAGATTTCCGTCAATTCGGATTTATCCGAGAAACTCTGAATTTCAAGTTCCCAACGACAAAACAAAAAGCAGGAAAGACAGTGTTTTAGAAATAAACTTCACAAGAACACAGGGTCAACGGTTCTGAGGAGATGCCACTTTAGTCTCCTTCGAAATCTGTACTGACAAAAGGGGGTTGCCTTTTAGCCTGTAAAGGTTCCCTCAATACAACGGGTCATTGCACCCAAACTTTATTTATGTTGTTTTTGCATTTAAAAAATTGGGAACAGATTAAAATATACTCAGAATTTTAGAGAAATGTGAATTTAACAAAAATAAACTCCGGTAGACACCAAACTTTCAGTGAAAAACGCACTCCGAAAAACACTTTCCGAATTTCACGAGAAATAAACTCAGAAAATATGGAATCCTATTTATAGCCCATAGTTGTAAAGTATACCCTGTGACCACCAAGCACCCATGTGACAGGTCTGCTCTTGGCAATGCCACACTCTCCCTCTAGGTGCAGAAAGTCCTTGCCCTTCTGGGCCGTAATCAAAACTTAGACTGCTGAAGTGCTGCGCTAGGGCGGTGTGCACTTTCTTATAGCCTCTACCGCCAGAAGCGCCCTTTGTTCACGAGCTTCCCAATCATTGCGGAACTCTTTTGCTGCCTGTCGACGTGAGCACGAAATAAGGAGTGCCGAACGTTCAGGTCATCAGCGGCCACACGGGTTGGGTGCGGTGCCTGGCAGTGGAGCCCGGGAACCAGTGGTTCTGCACCGGATCGAACGACCGTATCATCAAGGTATCTACCGTTCGAAGTCCCGTCTAAAGTAGAACAACCTCCCATGCTGCAGGACATCGGTGCATTCCGCATTTTAAAACTTGGTTTCAAGACGAGTGCATCCCTGTTCAAGCTCTTTTGCAACTCTGTTGCTTGCGGAGTCCCCCTTTTCAGTTTAAGTCAAATAGAGTAGAGCACTTCCCGTAACAAAGAACGAAGAGCGGGTTGGTGAAAACACAAGAGTAAGAGAAAGAATAAAAACGTTTAGGGACAAGAACAGAGAGCACAGTTTGAAAGACCTGTGCTGTCTGTCCTTGTCCTTAAGTGTTTTTATTCTTTCTTTGATTCTTGCACTTCCCGTAGTACAGTAAAAGTATGAAAAGAGAACAAGCTCTTTATTACATTACCATTTCTATTATGTTTGTTAAAAATACTGATGGCTTAATAAACAGAACCTATTTCCTTTTGTGTCTTCTTGCTGCTATTACTATAATATTGCACTGGAATCCCAGATACCTGTAGAAGCTTTATGAACTCGTTATAACATTCTTTTACCGCAAATTGCAGTAAGCTTATAGCACTGGCACAGGAATGTAAGGCTCTCCTGTGATGAAGCTACTGGTGAGATAGCAGCGAATAGAGGAGTTCTGTATGTAGTATTGTGAAGATATGAACGTGGTGAAGAAGACTGGAGGTCTTGTTTGGATTTTAAACAATGTTTGTTTGTGAATTGGCTTCACCACACATTGTTTAGTTCTGCGCCACACAAACTGCTCTGTTTTGGATGTCGGCCATCTACAGATCTGGGACCTCGCGAGTGGCAAGCTGAAGCTGTCGCTGACCGGCCACATCAGCGGAGTCAGGGGCCTGGCTGTCAGTCCGCGCCAGCCGTACCTCTTCTCGTGCGGAGAGGACAAGCAGGTCAAGTGCTGGGACCTGGAGTACAACAAGGTGCTGAACAAAGTGACCCGCCTTTGAGTTCTCGTGCACGGTGGGGTGGCTCCTGTACCTTCCCAGCTTGCAGTGCTATCGTCTCCGACAGCATGCGCTCGTGCCATTCCGACGTGGCATAAAACTCGCGAGATTCCGAAGCATCGTCGAAGGTAGGGATCGCGCTGGAGGCTGGCGATCCCTAGTTTTGACTGCTTTTTCGTAACTTTTTACAAAAGCGCAGCGCCGCAACAAAACAGCACAATTCGTCAAAGGCAAGTTTCACGGTGTGATCAGAAACAAGCCTTGTAAGAAGTAATTGCAAGGGCTCTCTACCAAAAATCATTAAAGATCTCGTTAGTATAGGAGGTTTCTACCGTGGCTTACTGAGAGTGATTCCAACTTACAAAAGTGCTTAAAAAAAGTCACTACGATATATATTTTTTTGTGACAGGACAAAGCATTATCTAGGTACCGACGAAACATTTCCATACGTTTAGCCAGTTTGGAATTTTCAAGGTGTTGACTGTGCGACGATTGACTTTTGCAACCATCGTTACGTAGTGTTTCTTTTTTTTTTTTTTTATTAAGTGTTTTATGTAAAGTATTTCTTCACCTCCAACATTGAAAAAAGTTGTGCGTGTGTCACAACAAGTGTTTAAATGTTCCGACTTTCTGTGCGACCCTGTTTACGCTCCCAGGTTATCCGGCACTACCACGGACACCTGAGTGGTGTGTACGCGCTTTCCCTGCACCCAACCATCGACGTTCTGGTCACCGGAGGCAGGGATGCCACCGGAAGGGTCAGTTGACACTCGGACATCATAGAGCGAACCATAGAAATGTCATCTATATTGTTTTATATAGACGTTTGCAAGTATGGCCTCTGGGTGCCACCATCTTGCTGCCGGTGTGTGTAGATCGTCCTGTAGTTGGACCTTTCTGGATGCAACGCCCAGTAGGGCTTCGCGCCCAGTAGTGCGTCGAGTCCAAAAGTGTCTCGCGTCCAGTAGGGCGTCGCGTCTAGTATACACGTTTGCAAGTCCGGCTTCAGGGCGCTGCCATCTTGCTTGGCTGGGGTGCGCTTGGACGAGTCATAATCCAATTAAGAAGCCTTGCTAAGGCGTCGTAATCGGATTATGGCCGCGCCAAAATGCGCACCCCACTGAGAAAGATGGCGGCGACCTGAGACCGGACTTGCAAACGTGTATAGGCAAGGTTGCGTGTTATTGTATATCTGAAAGAATAAAAAAAAAAAAAAAACGCTCGCCAGTGAAATTTTTGTTAAATTCGATTTATCCGAAAAACTCAGAATTTCAAGGATATGATAGCAAACACATAAAAGAAATTTCACAGGTAAGTTTGGTCTGTGGTCCCAAGGGGAGGCCACTCTAGTTTCTTTTCATAACCCGCTAACAAAAGGGGATTTGCCGTTTATGTCGTCAAGGTTCGTCTGGGACAATCTGTCAGTACCCTTGAGTCTTGACATAAGCCTCTGTGCGTCTTAGGAATGATGACTATTTTTCTAACAGCGAAAGCTATGAACCCATAAATTTCAAGGGGGTGGGGGACAAGTTGAAGCTGCTATGCTTCCCAGCGACTTGGCGACTACATCCAGGTGTTGAATGATTTCAAAATATCGACGTGTACTGAAGTAAGCACTTATTTGCAAGTTTTGTCGTGGTACAGCTATTAGCATTACCATTGGCCAATGCCAAATTCATCTGAAGAAATATAATCTGTTACAGATGAGTTCTTATGAATGTAGGATGTCTTTGTGAAGAAGTAATAACGTAATATCCCTAGAGAGAGCCCACCTAAAATTGAAAGTATGTAAAGTGAAAATAAGTAGTAAGCTAACTTTCGGTGTGCGTTAAAAAAAAGTTGAAGGAATGTTAGTTTTAGATCCCGTGACCTGCCTGTGAAACTTGTGATTGCAGCAAAAGAACGGAAGACGACTGCCGTTCCTTGTCGGAAATGTTTCCTTATCTCCCGCCGTGGCTAATTAACATAATTTATGCCAAGGTCACCATTGGCCAGGGACCTGCAATTACTTGAAGTTGGCTATCTTTGGGTGTTATTGAAAAAGATAGCAATTAATTACAAAAAATAAGATTGGGTTCTCTCTCGGAGGGGGTGAGACATCTCTCAGGATAACACAATACTAATCTTTTATTAAAAAAGAATATATTGGGAACAAAGCAAAACTAGATATTCAATTTAGTAGAATTGGGAATGTAACAAAATAAAGTTAGATAAACCCCGAATTTTCTGTTAAAAATAAATAAATTGAAAGAAATGCTAGTTTCACAGAAATAAATTCTAGAAACACGGAACTCCAAGTATAGGGTGTCGCGTCCAGTAGGGCACCGTGTGGTGAATCGGCGGTTGGCTCTTCCTCACCAAGTCCCTCGGCTGCTGGCAGGTGTGGGACATGCGCACCAAGGCCAGCATCCACTCCCTGGTGGGGCACAGCAACACCGTGGCGAGCGTGCAGTCCCAGGCGGCCGAGCCGCAGGTGCTCACCGGCAGCCACGACTGCACCATCCGCCTCTGGGACCTGGTGTCCGGCAAGTCCCGCGTCACCCTCACCCACCACAAGAAGAGCGTGCGCGCCCTCCTCGTACACCCCAAGCTGTGAGCCCTTTCTCTTCTTGGTACGGTGCAACTATGTCGGGGCCGGTTTGCTGGTCAGTGCGGGCATCTTTACTGGCGGTCAGGCTATGCCAGTGCCGGTTTGCTGATCAGTGCAGCTGTCTTTAGTGTCGGTACTAATGCGGTGGCACCTCCACCTTTCAAAAGTCTCAATGTTTGCCATAAAGTGGGAGGTTCAGCGACATAGGGTTGCCATCCTATGGGAACGAAAGAGCATACCAAAACAGAAGCTGCCTAAATGAAACAACATTATGTGCGATTCAAAAAGTGGCATCACAAGATAAAACATTGCTTTTATCGCTTGCTCATACATGCTGCTATACATTTATAAAAAAAAAAAAATTGCCAGTTGGGAGAGACAGGGAGCAAACAGGAAACTGAAACCCAACCCGAACGTGCCCGAGTACGCTCGGGCATGGCAGTCAAACGGTTAACAGGAAAATGGGGTGCATATCAGTCTAACTTTGGCAATTTTTAGAATGCTCAGAGACCGTAGGCTGAGTTGCAACCATAGGTGCACGATCACGGAAACCACTTTAGCGTCTCTTTGTTCACGGTAAAAACGAAAAGGGGGCTCGAGATCCTGGAATGGTGGTTAGTACAACCACCATTCCGGAATCTCGAGTGAAAGGAGGAACTAGGTGAAACAAAAATCTCATTTATAAAATGGGGTAATTAATTGGCATTAGAAAGGTCACGTTATATACATAAAAAATTCGGGTTTAGTCATTGGGGTTCCCGCTCTGGAATTCTCACACCGGCAAAATCGTCGCAACCACGTGGTTGGTGGGCACGCAGATGCTCGGAAGAAAGGGCCCGACATAGGTGGTGGGTACGCAGCAGCTTATTCGGTGCCTCCCGGGGCCTTTGAACATCCGTCCGGGGCATTCCTCGGCTGCTGGGACCACTGGTGTCGAGCTGTTCCTTTTCACCGAGCTGCCTTCCGTCTCATGTCCCGAGCATGCCCTTGCGTCGGCTCCGGTGTCTTCTCTTCTTCTCCGAACAATTCACATCATTGCAACCGGTTCACACTTGCAACACAGCGCTGAGACAGTGGAAATTCAAGGCTACATCAGCGCTATTGTCAACGCTGTGTCTATGCGGAGAGCAAGTCGTCTGCTTTTTGCGCAGGAGTTGCGGCGACGTCAAAACGATGCCGAGCTCTGATTGGCTTTGATTGGAAGGATAGTGGGTAGACCTAAGTGCTAGATGCCTTGAGGTCTACCCACTATTTTTTTCAATCAGCCAATAAGAGCTCGGTGTTCTGACATCGTCGCAACCTTTGCACAAGAAGCAGACAGACTTGCGCTCTGCATAGTGCTGGGGCGTATTTCTCAAAAGGCCGTTACAGCGCTGTTTCAGCACTGTGCTGATTCGGCTCTGTGCCAACTCGACACTATAGTGCACGTGCTAACCGGTCTTGTCAACAAAGCGAATGCCACAACCTGACCTTTGTCGGCTCTATAGTAACCATTTTTCTGCTCGCGTTTGTTCGAAGGTACGCTTTTGCCTCGGGCGGCCCGGACAACATCAAGCAGTGGAAGTGCCCGGACGGAAAGTTTATCCAGAACCTGTCGGGCCACAACGCCATCGTCAACTGCCTCGGGATGAACGACGACGGAGTTCTCGTCTCTGGAGGTTGGTTCGCGTGCCAACGGAAAAATTGGTGTCTCAAGACGTCAGACCACGTGGCCCGATATCCCCGCTAAATGTAGAGGGAAAATTGACGTCGCACAACCAGACATCATGTGACGTGGACATGTGGCACGCCTTCATGGCATTGTGTCGTGGCATCGCCCGACGTTGGGTCATGCGACGTCAATTCGCTCGCTTAATTTAATAGAGATATGCACAAACAAACAGAAAAACTTCTAAATTCAAAAGCGTGCAAAAAGAAAAGTGTTTTTTTTAACGATTGTCTTGCCCTCGCAGGCGACAACGGGACCCTGTTCTTCTGGGACTGGCGCACGGGGTACAACTTCCAGCGGCTGCAGGCCCCTGTCCAGCCGGGCTCCATCGACAGCGAGGCCGGAATCTTCGCCTGCCTCTTCGACATGAGCGGCAGTCGCCTCATTACCGCCGAGGCCGACAAGACCGTCAAGATCTTCAGGGAGGACGACACGGCGGTCAGTGTCTCTCGTGCGCTACGTCGCTCGCGGACGGGTTTGGCTGCGCCGTGCACATCTCTGTGGTCACCGACTGGGCGAGAAATGCGAGGCACGTCTTTCGAACGCCCGACCTCCAGCACGCGCTTGTTGCCTTCCACCATGCTTCGGTCGCGATTATGTGCTCAAAGCTGACGAGAGGCCCAAGTGTCGTTGAAGTTGGCAAGCTCTAGCTGGAGGTGGGACGACCAAAGTACCTCCCTGCCATTTTCATTCTGTCGGCAATCAGACCGGGCGTCCCAAACTCATTTGTGTGTAGGGGCCACATAGACCACCCCCGAAAGAATGAGGGCTGACGGGGAGGGGGCAATATTTTGCTATTTTGGGACAAACAAACAGCAGAGGTGTATCATGCTGCAAAGCAGCCGACCGTCCCAGCGATAACCCCGAAATTTTCTAGAGAAGGGACCTTGTTCTTTCTGCTTTTTGTAAACTCACCGTGTTGCTTTCATCTGCATATATAAGACTACTGTAGTTGTGGCCCACACCTGTTGTTATAAAATGACTTAAAACACAAACATACTGGCAGTTTTATATAAAACGAGACCAAGCACACCGTTTTTGCCCTGCCGCACAATTCACCATGCTCAACAGGCATAAAAAAATATATCTTCATACATCAGTTTTTTTTTTCACGACGATTTTTATATCAGCATTAAAGGAAATACTTGTATTTCAAAGGTATTGTCTGACAGCTAGAAGCCCGAGCTCACAGCTTAAGCTCCTGCTGAGTGAGAGTTTGTGCCGCCGACGTGCCTCCGTGAGCAAAAAGCTCGCACTTGTGGCCTAGTAGTGGTATTGCCGTTCCGGTTGATTTAGGTGAGAAAGGTGCTGAGAAGCAAAGACTTAGACAAACTAATACTCCATCCAAAAAAAAAACAACAGGATAGTGCAAAATCCGTGAACACATTATATGAACAGCTCCTTTTCGAACGGAAATGAGTCGACAATATAAAACTTTCATTTATGGCACGTCTGGCGCTGAAGGCACAAGAACGGTGGATCTTAGCCACGGAAGTCTTGCAGGTCACATGTTTTGCCTAGCTTTGCATCACTAAAAGCCGGTTCGCACATTTTCGTTCGAGTACTGTCGAGACCAGTTATAACGGAGTCGGTTATAACGAAATAGCGACTACAGTGAAGTGATCACGATTTCCCATTCCCTTTTGCACTTCGTTATAATTGAAGTCGGTTATAGCGAAATAGCGGATATAGCGGAGTGATTGCCGATCCCCGTTGACTTCATTATAACCGGTCTCGACAGTACAACGAACCGCATTGCAACCGTTTGAGACTGCTTACAACGAGAGCTTTCGGGCACGCTGGTGCCATCAATTAAGTAGCCCTAGAACGCTTCCCACCTGCATACAACTGGCCCGAAGGACTCGCGGCATTTGTGAGGTCAAGTCTGTGCGCCGTCTACAAGTAATGGCCGCCTATGACGTCGGAATTTTTGTCGAGCCGAAGATGAAAGAATGGCGTGTATAAGAAATGGGAAAATATGTACGCAGTTCGACAGCGTATCTTGATAGGTGGCACCTGCGAGCTCCCCTCTCGTCGTAGGCGGTCACAAGCAGCAGGACACGCCTGGTCCCACTTAAACAGAAATACGCAAACCAAGAACTTCCTAGTGATGGCGTTACACTGAATATTTTTGTGCTTGTTTCAATTTCCTTTTTGTATTTGCAGACGGAAGAGACCCACCCCGTCAACTGGAAGCCAGACATCCTGAAAAGGAGAAGGTTCTAACTCGCTTCGCCCAATACTGTACAGTTTTCTTTCTTTTTTTTAATTTCGTGGCAAGAATAAATTTGGGCATCACTTTTCTTTTTATCTACCCGCACAACTGAGTGGCACTCAACATTGCTTTTGTCGGGTAGTTCTGCAAGCTCCTTGCCCGACCACGTCGGGCGTGTGGTTCGAAATGCCGGTGTTCTTTCTGAACGACTTGTCTTGTGGATCAGGGTGGGGTCAGACATTGCCCGTACTCGGCGTCGACTATCTTGCACTATGTTGTCGAAGCTAGCGCGGCTTCCACGATGCCGCAGCCCCGCACCGCTGTCGCAGCATGTGGCTTAGTCTTCCGTCTGGTTCACACTTGCTCTTATATGAAATAGGCATGTTCAAGTGCCGCATAAGCTACACTAGCCTTGACAACGTAACACGAAATAGTTGATGCCAAGTATGTAGTCCACGTATTCAGTCCTCTGAGCAGATAGCCAAAGAAAAGAAGCTACAGTCATGCATCGTCCTTGGTTTATCTGTATCCTCAGCCTTGAGTTCTGTATTACGACTTTTTAGTAAAGTTTGCTTCTCTATGTATACTGCGAGGGGGCTGAAGGGATCGAACCCACTTTATACGAACTGCAAAAACCTGTTTACTACGGAGGTGCGGCAATTTACTACGGAGGTTCGGCAAGGTAATGAAAGTACCGAGTAAAAATGCCAACAAATAAACTTACCTCGTTCAAAAAAAAAAAGAACCTGTTTTGGACAGTTAACGGCACCTTTTCGTGGACGACGCCATATGGGGGCTGGCTACTTATTTACACTGTCGACAGATGGCGCAATGTGAGGCCCGAGACGATGCGGCGGCTCGACCAATCATTTCCGTCGAAGAAACGAGGGGCCTTGAGGGATTGAAGCACCTTTTCGCGTTTAGTTTATTTGGGAAAGATATCTTGCATTGAAAATCGTACATTACAGATACTCCCGCTGTGCTGAAGGAAGAGTAGTCAAAACTTTCGAATGACCCTCTGTTAAGCTTGGCGCTGGCGCGCCTTCGACACTTCCAGCATCTGTCAGCAGCATTGCACACACCGCCTGCAATCACTACAAGATGCTGCTGTAGATTGCCTAAAACAGGTTGTTCTTTTTTCATTTTTTAATGAGGTAAGTTTATCCAATGATGATTCGACTCCGTATTTCCAACGCCTAGCCGCACCTCTGCAGTAAATAGCAGTGCGATATGTTAAGTAACCGCTTTTTGAGGTCTGTTTAAAGTGGGTTAGATCTCTTCGACCTTCGCGGTATGCATACTTCTAGCGTTGTGCATGGCACGTCGGAGGTGTCCTCATGATCTAGTTTCTCAAGTGGACAGTGCTTTACTGATCAACTGATTACATGAGGTTGTGTGGCATATCAGTAGCACATTTTCTTTTGTTTGTTTTGTTAGTTAATACGTGCCTATTAATAGGGAAGTAGGCATGCAGTATGAAATGTATTTCTGATGTCCCTGTGGTCATATTTTTATGCACCACCTATCGACCATTTTTGGAGTGCACTTCTGGTTCATATCTCTGCCACCTGTAAGATCTAATTGCTTCGCTTGGTTTACCCGCATCGGTGCAGAAAAGTGCAGGGCAGTGTACTTTCGGTGAATTGAGATACGACTGGAAGTACACCGCCTACACATTTCTGCACCGGTGCAAGTGAATAGAACGAAGCTATGCGGAGCGCATGTTCGTCTGGTTCCTGCACAGGGGTTGCAATGGTATCAGAATGCCGAGCTCTTATTGGCCGATTGAAAAAGAATAGTGGGTAGACCTCAAAACATCTAACATTGAGGTCTATCCACTATCCTTCCAATCAAAGCCTGTCAGAACTCGGCATCACTATGACGTCACAGCAACCCCTGCGCAAGAAGCGGACGACTTACTCTCCGAATACTATTGTGTTCGCATTTCTGAACTCCTTCTCTCCTATTTTTTTCTGAGTGTAGTACTGAGATTGTGAAATATATTTACTCATTAGGTACAGGGGCCAACTAAAGTTCACTGAATACGCTCATTGATTCACTATTTTTAAAAGGCAAGTGTGCAGTATGGGAAGATGGAGTTTTGTTTGACATATTTGGGAAAGGGGCGAGTCTTGAGTGACGTCACCTCGATCTCTATGACGTCATACCACGCATGTCGCTGGTTTTCCGGTTACCATAGCAACGCGCATGCACACCATAGACCACAGAGTATGCACAAGCGCGGTTGCGTACACGATTTGTGCCCTCGGCTCAGAATATGTAGCGTCCCTCGCCCATTGAACATTGCTCTGTGGAGTTGTAAGAACACCCACAGTTTACGAACGACGCGGTTCCAAATCACAAGTCTGCAAAACACACGTCGTAAAACGACACCTTTAAACAAACGCAAAACAAGTTTGTTGGCGCCTCCACCAGGGGACTGCCCGTATACGATTTCAGTGGGCCCGTGGCGCCCTCATCGGTTGAGCAATATGTGCAATACGTACTGGAAAAAACCGACCAAGCCAGCCTGGCCAGCCAGTCAAGTCGGGCCGTCAAGCCAGGCCATTTGCCAGTCGTCGTCGATGGTGTGAGAGGCTCTTCCAACATACGCTCATTCAATCCGAGCAATTTTTCGATGCGTACCAGCCAAAGTTACAACCGATCTATCGCATCCATCGCGAAGACGCGAAGTTCGTGCCATCGCGTCCGTTAAACGCATCGCGGCGTGATGAGTTTAAAACGACTGTTCCCGCCGTGAAAATAGCCTTCCCTATCGTTGACCCGCGCGGTTGATGGATGCCCGACAACGGAGCCCACAAGCACCTCCGTCGACGAGACGCCACCAGAAGAAGCGATGTCCTGGAAGGTCGGTTTAGGCGACAACCACGACGACCTCGACCTCCAAGGAGAGGTCGACGTCGCCTTCTTCGACTCCGCCCCGACGTACCCCGGCGACCGGACGGATCTCAAGTCAGCACCGGTCGACCTCGGCGGTCGAGGTCAGTCATGCCACCTCGCCAGCGCGGACCTGTACCCAGCGCAGCCGATAGCTATACCCAGCCTGCCAATGGACTCGTATCGGCTCCCGCCGACCCTGAACTCGGGTTTCTTCGGCACCCTCCACCAGCAGTGCGGTGCATCGTCGTCGGCTCCGGCCAACTCGACGCTTTCGACGGACCGAGACATGAAGGATGCGCCCTCTCCGCCGCACAGAAGCATGGACGACGACGAGCTGGGTTTGACGAGTCCGCGGACTTCGATAACGGACTCGGACGGTTTGTCGTCTCTCAGCGAAGGCTCGATGGAAGGACTCTCTGAGTCTGAATCCATCACTGACGTAACGCCGCTGCACTCTCCGTACATGTGTGACAGCCCGATCCCGACCAGAAAGCTGCCTCGCAGCAAGCTGACCCTGCCCGAGTCTATCTTGCTGAGCAACGGTTGCGCGCGTGCAGACGACACGAGCAGCGGCAGCGATTCGGATAACAGCGGGTCTTTCGCGGGGACGAGACGCAAGACCAGCGTCAAGCTGGCCAGCGGGAAGGTTCGCCTGGGCGCCGCGAACAAGCACCGCCAGCAGAGCGACTCCGTCGACCTGCAGCTTTTGGTGGATGCGATTCGACGTCTGGAAGCTCATCAGTGCGAGCAGGGCCACAGCAGTCGGACACGTAAGAGCGGTGGCGGAGGCGACGAAGGGCAGTCGACTTCGACCACTTCGTCGTCTTCGCTGGCCAAGAACCGCAAGAACATGTCGTTCTCGAACGAAGAGGTGCAGCGGATCGACCGGGAAAACCAGCGCTTGTTAAAGCGGATTCTGGCGCAGCAGAACCGACCCAGACCTAAATTCGACGCAAGGTCGCAGTCGCGTCTCGCGCCGTCTGCAATTAACCGGCAACGGCAGCAGCGGCAGATTGAAGTCGAAAATCTCGTAAGTCGGAGGTCACCTCGCTCTTGCCTTTCTTCGTCTTGTTCTTATTTATTTATTTATTAACTTTTGTAGTAGCAACATATCCGTCGCAGCGTAGGCGACGTCTCTGCAGGAACAGACGAAAAAAGATGCGGCGAAACGGTGTAAACATCGCATTTCGTTATGCCGCCTTCCCCAACCTGTGCGGCGAAGCTGTGCAAATAAATAGGCTTGCAACACTAATATGTTTTCAGACCGGAGTAGCTGCCGATTGCTCAAACCGGACTTTGCAAAATGTCCGCTTTGGAAGCGTATACATACGCGTGTCGCAATGCAAGAGAAAAACAAAACCGACGTTACAAAAAAGGCTGGAAAGAAATCTGTAAACACTCTACCCGCGTGCTTCGTTTGCAAAATGAAGCAGGGAGACCACGCTAGCGTGACGCTTGATAACGACCCTCCGTTTCAGAGATGTTTGCCGCAAACCAATGTCGGCTATGCGTGACGTCAAGGCACTGTTGACATTTCACGAGGTTAAAGTTACGAAAGCACTGTTTTAAAATGTTTTTTTGCAAACTTGCGCAAAACGGGGTAAAGTTGACGAATTGCACGCTCAGCTGACCGTTGCCAAGTTAGCAGACGACATTTGTTGCGGGATTCAACCGTGCGTGACGCTCAACCAATTGAAAGCCACGGGGCTTTGACGTCACTTGTCCCTTGCTCACGATTCGTCCAATCGCTTAGCGTGGACTGTCGCAGGTGGGGGTTATCGAGGGAAGCAGGGATGCGCGAGTTCAGTGTGACTCGCCATGACGCGGCATTTTACACTGATTTGCCGTTTGCAGGCACTGTTCAAGAGGATAGAGTCTGCCAAGCCTTCCCGAGAAGTCACATCCTCTCAAGAGTGTGCCGGTCATATCCAACGATCACGATCCCACTCGTTGTCGCTGACGCGCCACAACCTGCCACCATCGTCTGCGGTGCTCGCGGGCCCTAGCGTACCACCGTTGGGCGGCGTGACTAAGCACTTTCCACCCCGTCAGAAGCACCACTCCCACTAGGGGCGTTTGCAAACCTCATCAAAACAGGCGGCTATAAAAAAAAAAACAAAAAACACATGGTTGTCTTGACGTCATGATGCTCCATGAACGTCAAGGAGACCGTGTCCTCCAAGGTCCCACAGGACCGGCTGAAACCGATATTGTGATGACACTTCAGCAGAAATATTAACCCTTAGATCTAAATCATGCATAAGCAGTCCTCGAGCTGCAGAACTATGAATTTGCTATGATCTCTTGGAAAGTTTTGTGACAAGCATGTTAAATAGTTCTAAATGTCTGGTTCTATTTCGTTATTTCTGCAGTTGCCACCGCGTCAGAAGGACCCACTAGGCCCGTAGGTACGACCGATTTTGCCTACAGGCCTGTTAAAACCCTGCATTGTATTGCCCCTTTACAGACTGTTCAGGAATGGCCATTTTGATGGTGCAGTTAAATCCGAGTGCAACAGTAGCATTTTCTGCTTGAGGCATCCAGACTGGAATCGCCTTGAAGGATGTTAATACAGCTAACTGTTTTGTTGCCCATGGGTGGAAAGAGGAAAGTTTTAAAGCTGCCTTGAACAATGGTGCTCAGCCAGACACAGACGTCGGGGTGCTCTTTGGCGGTTGTTGGACCTAGAGCTTATCGAAGACAATGGGAAGAGTGTAAAGATATGAAGTAGCAGAATGTTACGAAAAAATGTGTACAGCTTCATTGCACAAAGTAAAAACAATGTAGTAAATGCCTGGAAAAAAAAGAAAAAAAACTTTGTTGTTAATGTGAATTTATGTACATACTTATTTTTGAGTAGTGTGCGACGGTGGCACGGCATTAATTTATGTAAATAGCGTTCCAGTGGCTTATATCAGCTGATGCTCATGAACCTGGTGGTGCTTATATTTGTAAAAGAATCTCACCTTTTGGAACATAAAAAAAGGAGAAATCTGTGTTGCAAGTGTTGCAAAGCAGCCAACGCCCCAATCTACAGAACTAGCGTGACCATGTTTCCTGCAATGACTTGCACTGCAGATCGTGTTACAAAACGCTAAATTCTGTGTAGTATGTATGCTTGACAGCCTTTCTAGATGAATTGGCGAGCTGGGTGCTGAACAAACGGCTTATTTGGACATTCCAAAAGCTTTGATACCAACATATGGCAAAAAAAAAAAATATCAGGATTTGGGGGGTAGGGGGGCGCACAAGCCCAACACAGCTTGCACTCAAGCCCGAACTTGTATACTCCTGTACAAAGCTTGTACAGCAGATATGTCCCCTTCAACGGGGAAACTCGCAGCATTGTGTCATGCTACATACTCCATTCCACCACCCCCATCCCGGTGCTTCAGAGTAGTGAGATTTCTGCTGTCTGAAAGTGTCTGCACAAGTTTGAGTCATCCAGGTGCACAACGTTGGTCAGTGCAGCCTTTGACAGTTAGAAAAAAAACAAAAAACAAGGCCATGGCAGCTTGCACCCCTGGGCAAGGAGGTGCAATTAGTTAGGCTTTTCTAATCGACATATCGTTCTGCTACTAATTGAAATCGGCACACTTGCAATTGCAACCAATGGCAGAAATTCAATGAGGGAAAGCCAGCTTAATTTAAACCCTTCGTCAAGAGGTCACTTTAAAAGGAGCAGAGGCATACACTGGTTTTTGTCGCAGTATGAATTACTACCAATTTTAGTTCACATTGCCAAAATTCCAGACAAGGAAACTGTTCAAGATTCAATACCCAGAATTCCGCCAATGTTTTTTTTTTTGCTTTACTCACCAACCAGATGCTATGCTTGCTTTCTGCTTGTTTGCATACTGCAGGCATTGCACTTGTAGTATTCACGGCAGCTCGCGGTACACAATTTACAGGATGTGTAACGGTGGAGTCCATAAATTGTGCTGAAAGTTGCTCGACTCTTACCGAAATGGCCCCCTGATAAATAGTATGGGATTGTTGCGCTAGCTGGGCCGCGCGGTGCTATATAACCGGTTGCATTGTACGCAGCTTTGCTTTATGCTAGAGGAGTTTAAGTTCCTCGGTGCACTCGGTACATATAACAAAATTACCGTTTCCTGGAAACAAATTCCATGCAATATTGACAACACTAAACAAAGCAAGTTGCAACAACAGGTGCGCAATCCTACGCTAATCGTCTCAAGCAATAGATCAAACGGAAATTGCCACCAACTTGCGCAACGTTCTGAAGCATGTGTAGCTCTGTGCCTTCCACGACCACTTTTTGCACATGTGGAAAGTGCTTGCGCATGCTAGAAGTGTTCCATTATCAGAACAAAGAAAAGCATTTACAATGTGAAATCTACTCTATTGTGTTCGATGCTGCCGTGCTGAAAGCTGCCGGGAAAGCAGGGATGGCTGTAAATCATCGCGCAGGTGTTTGGTTCATATTGTCTAGTTAAAGCACATAGCAGAGTTGCCGTGAAATCGTGAGCAAACACTGCCCGCCCGTGCGACCCGAAACAGAGCTTGCCCACAAGGCACTTCTGTAAAGCAGCAAAGTGGTGCGGGCAGATACTTTATTTCGCCTCGTAAGAAGCAAATACTCGTCGGGGCTCGTCCACACTTGCGATTGCTTACGGACGGGCAAGTTACCTCTTGCGATACATTACGATAAAAACATACTGGTGTAATTTATCGGGTAGCCTTAAACCAATATTTTTTTTTTTCGCATTATTTTTTTATTTGCTTATAAAGCTTTTGACAATGTTAAAAACAATAACTTTGCATGGATAGTATGTACATTTGATCTCTCAAATACTGCAAAACCTTTGCTCTAGTGACATGCCCTTCAAGGTCCACCTCATAGCCAGCATAACTGTCAGTTATCTTGTCGCAAAACGTTGCGAGGGCTTGAAATGTGCCCTTTCATAAGCAGTCGCAAGTGTGTGAACCGGTCTTCAATCCTCTGCAGTTCAAAAACACTCTTCCTCGAAACTTTGAAAATGTGAAAATTAGAACCCATTTACAGTCTGCGGCCAAAATTTGAAGCCTGGAAGTGAACTGGGAAACTGTACGTTGTACAGGGAAGCGGAAGTTTGCTCGCTATTTTACGGCGGTAGGATCGTAACGCTTCTAGATCGTGTACGGGCCTGCAATCTCACGTTTCTCAGGTTCCAACCATTGGCCCATTTTGATGTTTGGTGCAACTTCAAAGTGTTTTATTGTGTATAAAGTGTATGCTGTTAATAAAAACAAAAACAAGCAGAACCACTCATTCTTTTTTGACTCATATCAGTGTTAAAAGTTTGCTGTTCAAACCTTTTAATAAAGAGCAAGAAAAAAAAAAAAAAGATGCAAGTGCAACAATATTTTCATGTCCATCCAAAGTCATGGAATGCAGATGTACATGCCGGCGTCTGTTGCAAGAATGACTGCCCACTTCAGGCTTGCCGCACGCTCTCCTTGGTTGGTCGACGTCACGAGACGGTGCCCAGACGAAGGTTGGCTGCCTTCAATGATACAGGGTCGGCATTCCCACAAGTACTGGCCTTAACGTAACGCCTTCATAGTTCCTACGTATCGCTTCACTGAAAAACGCTACAATGTCTATACACTGCAAGGTGAAAAAGAAACACAAACATGATGCTTTGTTTCTCAAACTACACGGGCATGAATGCTCTTTAATGATCTAGACACTCGTATAAAACGTGCAACAATTTCATCGTGCTGTAATGCTGCCAGGCTGTAGAAAATTCCTTAAAAATATGCGCAACTCGTTTACAAACATGGCACCATGTCAGTTCCAACCTAATGGTCAAAACTTAAGAAAAAGGGGAAAGAGGAGCTTGATTTCAACAGAAACATTGTCATAGACAGCCCGATCCTGTAACTGACGCATTCTTAAAAATATTGAAGCTGCAAGCTCGCCCATGCAAATAATGAAAAAAAAAAAAAAAAAAAAAAAAAAAAAAAAGACATCAACTTGCCACACATAAAAAGTAACCCTTGACTATCAGTTCTTAAAAATGTGGATTCCCAAATCCTGCTGGTCCAAAGTTTTTTCCTTGCCCCTCCCACCCTTCTCAACGATACCCACATAACAATTTCCTCCCGTTAACTACATGTTGCACCAATCAATTTTCAACAAGCAACTCGTCACAGTTGTCAATCACTGTACAAGACACTGCAAGTGTTCTTGCAATGTTGCTCCCACTGCTTTGGAATAACGCCGCAGTGCAACATGTTGAGAGTGCACATGTGCGGTGCGACAACCTCTCCCAAGTTGATCGCCAAACCTCGGTACGCTACGAACGCACTGCACGGCGATACAAATGTTCTCGGCTCAACTTTGCGCTATCTTTTTTTTTTTTTTTCAAAATGGCAACGTAATTAAGTATTTCATACTCTCGCAAGAAACGGCATGAACAACATGCTCGGAGTGGGGACCGACTGGTAAGGATGGTTTACAGTACCTGACGAATGTCGCCATGCCATGCATGTGCAAACTACTTGGGCAACATTTTGGTTCGTTTGAGCGAACGTTGGCAACGTTTCGGCCGTCGCCAAAAGAGTGTGCACGGGTGCCGCGAGCTTCGTCAGTCGCCTCTACCATTCGTTCGACGGTGCAGCCAGTACCAGCAGGTCCCCACTTCGAGCGCGCAGTTAATCCCGCTGAACGACGCTATGCGAGCAGACGCAACGACCGAGAAGGGGGAAGAGGGGCGGAAAAAATGAAGGAAAGGGACGGGACAGCATCCTACATGGGCACGTGACTAAACAGGTAGGACACAGACTCTCCGTTGTGTGTCCTGCGAATCGCCTCTGCCAGGATCATGGAGACATCGATACACTGAAAGAGAAAAAGAAACGGTCTCGCTTCTTAGTTGGGTGTCTTGACTCGGTCAAAAGACGGAAAGGGGAGATGGGCTGCCTTCAAGTCACCGTATACTTGAAAGGCTGGAAAGAGGTGCCGATAGACGGCTTGTGCCACAGGCACCGTCTGCAAGACTAAGACTTCCAAAACACTCCGGCACACAGACCTAATAGGAGTACTAATACAGCATAGAGCAGCGCGTGGAATGCTGGACAAAGCGTTTCACATCAAGTAAAAGTGTAGTCAACGCTATACGAGCTTAAAAGGCCGATCGTGCCGTGCCAAAAGTGCAAGGTCCCAGCGTTCGTAATCTTTTTGCGAGTGTGCTTTCATTGGCCAGACCAATCAAGCGCAGGAAATGCAATGCGACAATGCACTTTTAGTGTGTCCGTCTGCGTTTGCTCGTGTTCTGGCCTTTGACTGAGCTCCGGCTTATGATGACATGAAGTATACCAGTAGAAGATGACATGGAAGGTGCTCATGTGGATTTGTTTTCCAAGTATACCAAGCAGCTGAGGCAGCTAACCGGTCTTCTAGTAGTCTCTCTACACTGCTGCCAACATTTAAGGCAGATTAGAGGTCTCGTAGAGAAAGTCGCAAAGTTGACAACCTCGTCGACTTTCCAACCTTCAAAATATGCCCGTTTTAAGCTGTTCCCAAAAGTTTTGGACCAGAGTTCAACTATAAAGAGGCAGTGCAATGATTTTTGAACTTTGGACAAATAACTGCGGGAATTTATCCGTGTCGCCTATACAGTAATGCGATTGGTGCGCCATTTCTGCCAAACTGTGCCAAAGTGCTTGCCCTGCTACATCATCTACATTTCACCAAAATGTGAGAAATTTGTGCAAACGTTGTGACAAATCTTAACTTCACTTTAATAATACTGAAAATATGAAAGCTCAGTCCTCGCTGCTCGGCCTGATTGTTAAGATATGCTTATGCGAGTTTTCAGAACTTTTGATTATCATCTAAAAAAAACATACTATTCAATCACATCTTGTATGAAAGACAGACAGTACTCGAAAGTTTCGCAACAATGTTCATTGTCTGCTCTGCTGGAGGGGTAGTCAGTCTCGTCAAGTGTGCTTCTCACCGCGCACTGGTGTACTGCAGAGAAGCGAAAACCGTGGAGTATTCATCGCAGTCTTTCATGTCTTGCTTCGTTGCAGCGCACCCGTGTGCTAAGGGAAAAGCGCTCCTCCAGAGCGAGACACGACAATTCCTGAATACAACTTTCCCACGTATGAATGATAGATTGCGATATCCTGGCAGTACCTTACCCCAATTGGAGATTTAGCAAGGATGCTTCAGTATTGCAAAAACATTTGTCTGCACTCTTTTGTATGTTTATTTACTAATGCCAACTCATTTGTTTAGCTATCAATTTTATAGAGATTCGAGTAAATTAGACCTAAATTGGCAGGAGTAGTGGCTGGAAGCTTGGAAAGAACCTTAACGAGGTCAGAGGGATTGTAAGTTTCGTTCAAAAGCCGTTTTTGTTACGAGGTTTTACACATAAAATGTAATTGACGTTTATATTCAAATGACAAGTGCTTTGTTTTATATCTGAATTATAAATTGTGGTTTTATCACAACCTCTAGAACTTGAAGGAAACATTAATACATGTGCTCAATAATACTGTATTATTTCAGTGAGATTCAGTAGCCAAAATAGACATTCAAAGCAGTTTGTGCTGTCCATCAGTCACCTATTTGCCACTTGTATGGTGCTTCTCCATACAACTAAATGCTAATTTTGTGTTTGAGTGGATCACTCCTGCTGTGCAATTAATTCTCACAAAGGGTTGAACGTAAGTGAGAAGTCAGTGTAGACACTGCCTTTTAGTTGGACAGGCAGACACATTAATTTTAACACAATGTTTGCATTTGTACAAGGGAAAATGAATGTGCACTCATGCTACAAAATATATTTTTGCTGCTCCGAAATGGACTTTTTTCTGTTCCAAAAGCCGCTCCAATATGACTGACCTATCACATCACTGCCTATAGACCAAAGAACAGAAAACCATTCTTGCTTGCGCGTGCTAGTTTATATTTAAACTAGCGCTGTAAAGGCTGTGTGGGGGTTGAGGAGCACTTTGACCTTCGATTCGCTTCATTAAAAGAATGAAGCGACACCACCTTTCCAGTGATGTTGCTGGGGGGCCACCTGGTTTTTCGTAGGGCTCTTCTCCCTTCAGAGACCCCAGTCGCTTTCTCCGCTATTGTCTACTTTTATTAAATGAGCATTGCCGAATTTCGATACAAAACACGGTTCGCCACACGGCTGACGGCAAGTGTAGAAGCAGAGGGGGACAGGTTTTGACGATTTCTGTGTGTACCCCAGTGACACGCCACCATAGCTCCTGTAACTGCCACGCGCGACTGCAAGTCGGCAGATAAACTTTTTTTTACCTTGGCGATTACGCAGCAGAATAGCAATTTTTCGGGGGAAGCCAACACGCTTTTTTCTCACTTGTGTCTACGTAAACAATAAGAAAAATACAAAGTGCACACTTTTTTGACGTTAAAATCATTGCACTGCCCCTTTAAGAGTGTGCCACCACACCCTTTATTACCACTCGTTAGTTCATCGATTTTGCCACCGCTTGTTCAACTGATGCTCATGCTCAGCTTCATTTTGTGCTTTCCAAACTTCTAGGCAAAACATCAGTCTCACTGCTGCAAATAATTGCCCAATGCAAAATACGTCAAACAGGGGGCAATGCTTTGCATCAAGTAATTTAATTTCCAGGATATCTCATCGGTAGAAGCACGGCAAAACATTATTCTAGCCAACAGTTTCTCACACATGCCAAAAATACATTAAGGTGAAAAAAGCTTGCTTTCAGCATTTGTGTAAAAGAATCTGCGACACATTTGTGTTCAAAGATAGTATTATGAAGCAACAAGTTACGCTAAAGGGACCACAGAATGTCATGCGTGTTAAAGGGCAACGAAACTAGAACTGCACGCTTCAATTCTTGATATTAGTACATCATTCTGACTTTCCAATAACATGTTTAATGCCGCAAGTGATTAATGACAGAATGGATATTTCCTTTTTTTTTTTTTTTATTAGCCTGCTTTTGGAGCCCTGCGTCTTTCTTAGTGCCGAGTACTTAATTGGCATTAAGTGTAACTGATTCAGTGGCTCCACATAGCCCAACCCAGTTTGTGAAAGACCCTCACCTGAATCTTGGGGCACTCCTTCATGTGCTGGTCCTGTGGAATGGTGTTGGTCACCACCACGGCCTCGAAGCAGGCGTTGTTTATCCTCGAAATGGCGGGTCCCGAAAAGATGCCGTGCGTCAGGATGGCGTACACTTTGCTCGCACCGGCCTCCAGCAACCTGACAAAGCGTCGGCAAAAGGAGCGAGCAGATCAGGAGCGTATACAATTTCTTTTGTTCTTTACAATAGTAGCTGACGGGATAAGAACAGCGAGGAGGAGTTTCAGTTGGTACCAGGTGCATAGTTCGCACAAACAATTCTTATACAGACTAAACCTTGAAAAATGCCTGCTTTACTATTGCACAAAGAAGCTTGTGTCATACCGATACAAGTAACATAACCTGTCACTCACAAATTGCACAAGGCCTCGTCATAACGAACAATGTTGCCAAACAATGTGCAGTACGCACCTAAACATGGTTCGGACGTGACAGCAGTGTGCCCCTTTCTGGTGGTCAGAAGCGCCTCGTTAATGAGGCGGAGCTACCCTTTCACACTTCTTTTTCCCCATTATGTCTGACCAAGCAAAGTTAGTGCAAATTATGTATAAAAAATCCGCACCAAAAAAAAAAAAAAATTTTAATTTTAAACATTGTTTGCGGACTATGGCCTGGAAAATAGGGTACGCAAAATTTACGGAACGTGCTGCATAGGCAACAAGCGAACAAACATGTTGCAACTGAACTATACAAATAGATAGTCTATATAGTGCAAGAAGAAAAAGTGACAGATGCCAATATCCAAGAAGAGAAAAACAATGAGGACTGGGTCGCGTGCGAAAAAGGCGGTCGCGACGTGTTCACCACTCCCAGAGTACCCATTTCTCTCGTGTGCTTTATATTTATGTTTAAAAAACTACTGAAGAGAAAAAAAAAATTTTCTTTTTAATACAGCTTGGTGGGACACACGTGTAAAAAAATTAATTTTATGCAAAAAAATCTTTTTAGGGCAATATTGACGGCGCAAAATTTATTTTAAATTCTGCGCACAAAATCTACATCACAGAATGGTCATGCGCTCTTTCAACCTCAACGAGATGGTCGTACATTCTCTCCACATCAACGTGATGGCCAAGCCGGTTCACCTCTCCTCCACGTGCCCAGAATGCAAAGAGGTAACAAGTAAAAAGGAGGTGACCGCCAACTAAATTGCATCTCATGCCGTCAATATTGCTCTAAAAAATATTTTGACACCACCCAGACTGTTTAAAAAAAGCTTTCTTTTCAGTGGCCCTTTAAGTATTAAATCTTGTACAATTCTCTCGCACAATGTCTTCTTCGACCGCAACAAAGCAAAGTTGCGGGCCGGCTTCTGTGAAACGGCGCGGGGGACTCACTTCCCGGCCGCATGGCAGATAGTTCCGCAGGTGTCCGCCATGTCGTCCACCAAGATGGCCACCCGGTCCTTGACCTCGCCCACCAGCACCATGCTGTCCACCTCGTTGGCCTTCTTGCGCTCCTTGTGGATCAGGGCAAACTCCACGTTAAGGCGGTCCGCAATAGCCGTCACCCTGGACAGAGTCGAGACACGTCAGTTGGCAACAGACACCCCTGTTCGCACCTGGCTATGTGGAGTGCAAGTTTGTCTGCTTCTTGTATGGGGTTTGTGAGGATGTGAGAACGCCAAGCTCTTATTGGCTGATTGAAAAAAAAATAGTGGGTAGACCTTGAGGCATCCAGCATTGAGGTCAACACACTACCCTTTCGATCAAAGCCAATCGCACCTCAGCGTCGTTTCGACGTCACGGCGACTCCTGCGCAAAAAACAGACGACTTGCTCTCCGCATACGGCGAGAAATTGAGGAGGAAGAGATGAGAGCGCACGGGAACATCAGAACACCATGCTCTGGTTGAAATGATTATTCGGTAGCTGCAGAGCGAGCTGATGCTCGATGCTCACGAGATGCCGAAGTGCTATCGAAGGTGGCAGCTCAAGCTGGAGGCGAGACTGCTGAACGACTACCGCTCTCATTCTTTCGGCGACTATGTTAAGAGACCACCCCGTTCAAACGCTCGACTACAGAGAAATCAGGTGGTTCCAATTTCCCTGGTGGGCGAGGAGACTGGTATACAGCATCTGTAGCTGCATTCTGAATAGATGCATTCTGCATCTACACAATACAAAATCTGTAAGATCAGTACAGCCGGTTATGGAGAGACATGCTACTTGCGCATAGTGCACTTTGCACAAGATACAACTGGTTCCCCCGTAGGTTTGTTGCGGTTTGAGAGTATTATAACTAGGAACGGCACAAACCAAATAAGGGGGGAGAATGAAATAAGGGAACCTCTTTTTGGGTTGAGGCTTGTTAAGCTCGAACAAGGCTCACTCTCCAAATGATTAACTTCGGAAGGTTACAAATTCACAAACCATCAATAGATGGATTTTAACATCTATATTCAAGTTCAACAAAGTGGAAGTTGTTGAACTCCACTGGAAAGCAAAGCCTGGCATGATTGGTTCACATCTAGGCTATGTACATTCTTTAGTTCAAGACAGATTTGAGCTATTGTCCCCGAATGTTATAGACAACCTTCAATGTTCACGGGGCCTGTGCCACTCTAGGCTGAGAGTATGCCGGACTGTGGAAACGTGAAGCGTGCCGCACCTCTTTGCACCTCCTGCATCCGGCGAGACAATGATGCCGTTGCGCCACTCGGGGATGTTCTCCCGTATCCACTTCAGCACCGCCGGCTCAGCATACAGGTTGTCGACGGGAATGTCGAAGAAACCCTACGCACAATACGGTGGGAAGTTGGAGTTCGTAAGCAGTCGATTTTTATCTTCCGAAACAAACAATTACTGCAAGTGAACTGGAAGCACGACGCAAACATGCTGCTACATCCCGTTTCACCTTACAATGGACAGTGGTATATGCTACAAGTCGTCAAAGTCGTGCCATGCGAGCGTCGTATGCCTTTCAGAGGGATGCAGCAATGCATATGGCGGATGGTCACGCAATATGTTCAGAACGTTACATTGGCTGGCATGGCTCGTAGCGTCCGCTGTGGTACGTCCAAAGGTGAAATAGAGTTTAAGCGTATGTCATCTTTTTGACACTTCTGCGCGGCGGGCGTCCGTTTCTCAGGACACTGTACATCTAAGTAAGAACTTCAAAGGTATCTAATTTCAATGACAAGTTTCAAAATTCACCTGCTCTAGAAATAATTGCAAATCTTTTAGAATGCAACAATTGCAAAAAATAACGAGTAACTATACGAAGACGTTCAACAGAAAGTTCATTATCAATCTTTATGATCTCTTATTATAACCGAACAGAATTCAACCTACAGTGCACACACGTTTCTATAGTCATTAAAACCGACAGTAGTGCAAGGATCTGATCGGACTGAACATCACCCACCTGAATCTGAGAGGCGTGCAGGTCCATGGTGATGATGTGATCTGCGCCAGCCACTGACAGCATGTTGGCCACCAGCTTTGCAGAAATGGGAGCTCGACTCTGCACAGAGTGCAAACAACGGGCCGCCGCTGTTAGCATGGAAAGGAAATCTAAGCGTCGCGCCCCTGGCGGCCTATCCGGGAACTAAAGCCATGAGGACGACAAAATTAACCGTCCGAGTCCTTGACGCTCATGTTTAGTCAGTAAAGCAGCAATTCAACATGATTCCCGGCCGAACGTTGACATAGCACTTGTGCTTAATCTGCGCCCTGTGCTCGATCAGGAAAGTGACGAAAAGAATGCAAAAACCGAATCACAAAGTAAGAAGCATGAACATAATGAGTCATGCCCTGAATTTCTTAACCTGTCGGCAACCATAGTACCATTCACTCAAAACGGCTTGCACTACTTGCACTACCTTGTACACTCGTGTCGATTACCTTGTCTTTCTTGTCTTGCCTGGCGTAGGGAAAGCAGGGGATCACCGCCGTTACCCGCGAGGCCGAAGCGATCTTGCAGGCGTTGATCATGATGAGCAGTTCCATCAGATTGTCGTTCACCTCGCCGCAGCCGCTCTGGATGATGTAGACATCTTCGCCGCGGACGCTCTCGCCAATCTCGACGCTGAAGGGGAGCACATGACAGGCGTTACACGCGTTCCCCAGCTCTGATGAAGGGAGATGGCAGTTTAGTTGGTACTCCTAATTTCTAGGAACGTATGACCCACAAAACGGTCTAGCCATGTTCTTGGAGTAGTTTCAAAGCCCATGTCAGAACAAGTAAGCTCTTAGTGGAGAGAAGAAAACAAACAAACTTAATTTTCCATGGTCGCTTCATTAATTTTAGCTCTTCATTTATAAAGAGCTAAAATGTAAGTTTTCTCTCTCTCCCTCTTGCATCCACCCAAGTCCTTCAAATTACAATCTGTGAAACCTGTGGCTAAAACTGCATCCCGATGCACTGCGTAGAAGCCACAAAATAGAAACCAAGCCGTCTACAGTGCTCACCAAACTTACAGGGAACACTCAAAACCTTTTATCTGATCAGAGCGCTCTCCTGGCAACAACTGAAGAACTACCCTATGACGCATTGCTCAATGCAAAAGCCCAACCAGGGGAGACCACTTGCTCAAAGGTGCAGCCACGGTTGGACCAGGGACAGCAGAGCAATTTTGCCTACCAGACGATCCAAGCTTTTCGCCAGCTCCTCGCACTACGATGCATAAGTGACTGCTGAAGATGTCAGTTATTGGATGGCTTCTTTGTTAGAAACATGAAATGCCTATCTGACTGCATCGTCCAATCGCTGACAGTCTTGGCAGTCACATACACACCTTTGTGCAAAGAGGTGGCGATAAGTATAGAATGGACGGTCAGCAAAATTGCTGCATTGGCCCCGTTTAGCTGCGATTTCAGCCTTGATGAAGTGGCCTTCCCCGCTCGGGCTGTTGCACTAAATGCTAGGTCATGAGGCAGGTCTTCGGCTGACAGCCAGGACAGCACTCCCACGAGATAAGATAGTTCCCATGTTTAGAATAAGTTTGGTGAGGACTGTACCATAAAAATTAGATTAGACACAAGTGGTGTTTGTTTATAAACAGCTAAACTGGTGAAAATACTTTAGGCCCATCATCCTTTCTTGGGTTTGAGCATATTCCATAGATGCTCAAGTCGAACACATTTTCATTAAGTTCTTGGCCTTGGTGGAAAGTATAGACCTTTTCATCCCCCTCCGCATGGGCGCTGCCATCTTGGAATCACGTGACGCAGCAGCCATTAGGTTGCTTCAACTTGCTGCACCGCTCTCCCCTCCGCGCCTTGGCGGATGCGTTGTACTCGTGTTTTTCGTCGTGTTTCACCGCGCTTGCTTGCCTTACTTCGGAAACTGTAGTCCAATGCGTTTCCTGGACGACTAAGACATCACGAAGGTTCAAAGGCCCTTATGACAACTGAGGTTTGTTTACTAATAGTGGCGGAACATTCTCAGTAAGAAGCGCGTATATTTATATCACGCATTTAGGATCGCAAGGTGTCAAGCATAGTGAGCACAAGGAGACTATCTGTATTCCCTGAAAGTATCGTTCTTTGTATTCATAATATATCGAAAACAGTTTCTTTTGATTATATAAGAAAACTCGCGGAGGAGGTAGACAACGAACGTTTAAATTGTATTTTATCTTAGGCTAAAAGTAAAGGTACGTCAAAATCAAGCGATTTGTTTGGTCATAATATCACACCTACAAGTCTATAAGGTTCTCAATCTCTTTCTTTCTTTTTTTTTTTTGCGACGTAGACATTCGGTTGGTCGGTTTACTAATGAAATTTAGGAAATTGTATACCATACTCGCTCCCATCTCGACAGTCATTTAATGATTTATCGATTACATTTAGATAACCAATGCCCTCCACCTAATTTACTTTACACAAAGGTTGGGACCTCCCGCGTAAGAAACTGCCACATACACTTAACAGTAGTAAGTTTTAGAATAGCGTGCACAAAGAAATAACGTTGTTTCTATTTGCAAATGCAAAACGCGGTTTGGGTTCGGCGCATGCGCAATAATGACGATGCTTTTTTTTTTTTGCTAACGTTGTTTTATCTTTTGCCAGTATCTTAAATCCGCAATAATTAACGCCGCCGCCCCCCCCCCCCCCCCCCCCAAAAAAAAAAATAAAATAAATAAGATCTGTCTGCATAACAGCTATTTGAGTCCAGGATTGTCGATGGCGAATAGAGCTTTACTTTTTGTGGCTGGCTACGCCAAATTTTATAAAGCGAATTTGTGCTAAGAAATAAATATTTGTTCACACAGGTCCGTGAAGTTGTGCCTAGCGCTAGAATTTAGCCAAACTTTCCGAGGTATTTCTCCTCCTGCGCCCTTTAATTTTATTTGGCCAATATTACGGAAGGCAAATGCCAGATTTAATTTGACGGGCCTGTCACTTATATCATATCCTGAGTAAGCAAATGTTCATATAAAGAAATGTATTTCCTAGGGCAAATATCGCGAAATGCTCCTTCTGAGTACTTTAGCAGGGTTGATAATTTGAGAAATTTTCTACTCAGCCTGTCAAAACATGCTCGAGTACTAAATTTAAAAAAAAAAGGCCGAGACGATATTATTCGTTTATATCAATTATCTGCGTCATTACACGATACGTTTTTATTCTGCGAAGTTCACTAAAGGTTGAGTGCCCACGAAAACCAAACAGTGAGTTGTAAACTCGCGAGTCCATCTGTTCTGGCCGATTCAGAATATTGCTGATCAAACTGTCGATATGCGTCCCCCCTTTACATTCACATGTTACTCTCTTCATTAGTTTGTTTTTCTGAAAACTGGTGTCATCGGGTACGGCCATACACGATGGTAATCTTCCTTGGACATCAGTCAGGCGTTTCGCAACCGACCATAATCAGATACATAAAAGGAGTTGGTAAGAAAAGCCCACAATTTAAGCTAAAATGCACCTCGTAGTCATCAAAGTGGCTCAATACTACTGTTTCATTGGCTGTGTGCTACCAGGAAAATAATCGTATCACAAAATTAAGCACAAACAACGTAAAACAGCAACATAGCCGCGCTCACGTTGAAACCGAAACCAACCAAATTGAAGCAACCTAATGGCGCCGAGTGCGTCAGCGCCCCCTGTCCGCCGGTGATGCAACTACTAAAATGAAAAGGTCTATAGGCAGACCTGGACCATGTTTGCGGGCAAAAGAAGAAGAAAAAAAATTAATTCGATCGTTGCTCTGGCCTGATGCCAACACCTGCCTTATATGCGCATACGAATTCAGGATCCCAATTTCTCAACAGAGTCAATCAAACCCAATCGCTGGCTTCCGACAAACCCGCTCTAACATTACGGCATCGATGATGCCCTTGAACTTGAGTTTCTCAATAGGGGATATAAAGTTGAAAACCCGAATACGGAACACTAACAGCAATCTCTGATGTGTCATAAGGTCGTTAGATGAGCTGACACCAAAAGCGCTGCACCGTTCTTCAGCTAGATTAACCAATCGTCCCACAACACCTCTAATTATGTAATGTTCAATTGGCCGAACCAGGCCAAACCAATGAGACGCTGGACATCAGCCCCGGCTAAAAGGGATTTACTGAAGCGCATAAACTTTCCGGAAAAACGCAGCACAAAAACGAAACTGCTCAATTTTCTCTTCAAAACGGTCTTCCCACAACACCAGACACTTGTTTTTCTTTTTTTATTATTTTATCAACTGCTGATTTGGAGTCTGCTCACGCAGATAACGAGAGGTCGTGTCCTTCGCCGCAGGCGAAACTGAAGAAGTCCCGCAGATACCCCCAGGCCAGTCGCGATGGTCAGACGATGATAAGGAATTGCTAGACAGCTTTATCGCGCGCATAGGCGCCTGGAAATCTGAGCGTCGGACGCGGCACAAACTACAGGGCATTTTTTGAAGCCTCTGTCACGGCTCGAACATTCGTTTTCCGGTGTGTTAACGTCTACAAACGACAAACAGGTGCCCAGAGCGCTCGAAGCAGACGTAGTTGTTGCGGCAGTAGTAGGCGTTTGCGCCTACTACTACAGCAGCAGCTACTAGGGACGTAGCTGTTGCAACAGATACGTCGCTACTACAGCCACTAGCGCTCGTGACGTGCGCTGAAATTCACTCTGAAGTGAACCTACGCTTTAAAGTTTACACAGAGCAGGTACTGATACAAAGACCCGCGAAAGTAGACACACTAACCACGTGACACCACCTCCAAGCCTGATAGCTGCATTCGTACTAGATCGATAAGGTAGAAGAAACAAAAGCTCGCGTTTTATGACACAGTCACGTTAGTCAGTTCAAGAAGCGCTGAAGTTAAAAAAAGAAAAAAGAAAGAACATTGATAAAGCTCAGCTAATGTAGCCAGCGTTCGGCTCACTTTACCAACGTCGAGACGTCAACAAAATCCTCGGCTCGCAGCGTTCAAAAAGAGACGGAAAGCTCACCACGTCTCCTGATTGCTGAACTTCTTGAGGACCACCTTGCCCAGTTCGATGCCGAGCCTGTCGACAACTTTCTGAGCGAGGTCGCAGTGCGACGAGCCGCTGAACACCTTGACGTTGGGCATCTTGCGTCGAAACGCGAGCTCTTGCTCTTCGCTAGAATGGCTGGCCGCGTAGCACAGGGCTCCTTCCCAGCCTACCGAGTTGCCGTCGGTACGAGGGTGCAGGTGAAGAGGCAAAGGGTCGTCTTCCTCAAACGTACCGTCGACTCCGCGATGATGAACACCGTTCGCGATCGTCGGCGTGGTCGGAGCTGTTGTGGCTGTTGTAATTACGGATGGAGCGGTAGCGGCGGCGGCGTGCCCGTCCATCGGAGAACTGTTGCCATCTGGCGAGCGTCGGTAAAAATCCAGCCACGGAGTGTGCAGCATTCGCTGGCGGTGATGGTGTGGCGAGGGAAGCAGAGGGGGACGGTTATCGTCCATGGCGTTATCAGAGACTTCACGGTCACTCCGCCCACGGCTTTTCTGGCATGGCGCAGCTTATGGCAGGGAGCTGGCAGGCGCGAGCTGAGGAGCCCATGCTAGTGCGCGCGGTTGCAGGTGCACTGATTGCACGTTTAGGTGGCCTCCAGTAGATGGCACCACGTTTCAACCTGTTTAGTAGTGCCATTTAAAAATGGCGCCATTAAAAGCCTTCACCTTGACGAAATTTAAAACTTTGCCCAGGCGGCATATGCTACCACCTGATCAATGGGTTCAATAATTACCCCCAAGCTTCCTGTTGTAAAAAAAAAAAAAGTTAATTTATATTTGAATTGGAATCAGTAGAGCCCTGCATATCTTCAGTCAACTGGCGGATGTGGATAAAAATTAATCAGATTTGGCGAATCGCGGATCGGATACAGATATCAGCGAGTCCAGATCTACATTTTTGCTGAGGCGGCAACTGAGCCGGCCCGAAAATGTGTGCGACCACTGATCTGCGTGTGTGCGCGCGACCGCAGAGTGTAGAATAATGCACTATGAAGCACATCCCTGAATATTTTGCGGAAGCAAATTACTGTCAGAGAAAAGGTGCCAATCTGGAAGAAAATTTTTCTTAACACCAAGGCCCAATTCTCGTTTAAGATCACTAGTCGGTGACAGGTCAAGAATAAAGTGGAAGCTCCGCCCACCTCTTTCCAATTTAGTAGAGAAAACACTGTAGAGGAGGCGACCTCCTCTCCACAGTTCACTCCGCTGAAGTGAAAATGGGTGGGAGGAGCTTCCACTAGGCTCTTGACCTAGCTCTTGAGCAAATAAAGATGATTATTATGATTATCAGACCTGTCACCGACTATGGACTTGAAGCATCTTTTATCTCGCGAAAATACCAGGAGTCTGCGAGAAATCCGAACCCCATTTTTCGCACCGCAAAAATAAACTACTTCGCGGAGAGCTCAAACTCCGTCAGAATGTAGCCCCAGCCGTTCGAGCAAGATTCCAAAGTTTCACCACCAACCGTTATTTTATTCAAAAGTTGTAAGCGGTTTTCTGAAAAATTAAAAAAAAAAAAAATGGCGGCCGACGGAACTTTGGGATATATGGCGCCAGAAACCGAAAACGGGCGAAAACGGGCCAAAAATGGGCCCCATTTTTCCATAGAAAATTTAAAAAAATCGCTTATAACTTTTGAATAAGGTAACGGTTGGGGCTGGAACTTTGGCATTTTGCTCGAACAGCTGGGGCTACGTTTCTGACGCAGTTTGAGCTTTCCGCAAAGCCTACTTACTTTTGCAGTGCGAAAAACAAGGTTCGGATTTCTCGCAGACACCCGATACTGTCCCTAATAAAAATAAAAAAATGCATGGGCGTCGATCGTCCTGGACAAGCGCATTCTTCCTTGGCAGGGAAAAAGCGGAAAATATTCTTTGACAATGAAGCCCCAAAACGTACAAGCCACCAGAAAGCAGAAGCCTCCTCGACGGGCGAAACATAGTGTGCATTCTTCTTCTTGGCAGTTGGCTAGTTGTTGAAATGTGGTTCAAAGCACGCAGTTGGGAGTAGTGTTTAAAACTGAAACAGATAGGTTTTGCCATTATTGAATACTGCAATATTTTCCCAATGATGGATTCGCATCTTGCCACTACTTCGCTGCAGTGAGGAACCACCTTTCCTCTTCACTTTTTTTACTGTTCGACCTAAATAACATGACAATGTTATTAGTTTGTCTGTTATTAATTTGCATGTTTAGAAAATATGTCTGCTTGAAATGAGTGTTACGAAACAAATATTAAAAGAAAATGAACGTAAATGTTCTTTCATTTGAGTGCATCTTATAAGCACAATGTCGCAGACTCCTAGGATGATCGCATAACTGCAATAATTATTGCAGCGAAACAAAGTGTCTTGGATGGTTGATCGCTTATAATACAGACACAATAAGATAAAATATAATAAAAATGACTCTCACCATATTCTGACACAGTTTTTTTGTACGAAGAAAAAAAAACAGCGCATAAGGTAGCATTCACTTTTTCTAATATTCCCGCTTGAATTCATGATGTAACATCAGTGCACAGATTGCGGGTCGGATACGGTTCCGAATTTTGCAGATTTGGTTTGTATCTGGATACAAAGACTGCGGGCGCGGATACAATAATTTAAGAACATTGCGGATGTGGTTCGTGTGCGGATCGGATGCGAATGATCAAACTGTTATCTGCGCAAGACTCTAGGAATCAGGTACCACACTAAATCTCTCAACTTTTACTTTTTTTTTACTTGTAAAAGGTTTTTGAGAGGTTAGTGAGGCGAACAAATCTGTGCCAATAGGGCAACACCCCAAACCGGGAATTAAAGAAAGTCAACAACCCTCTCATTTCTGCTTTCCTCCCATTCCATCCCTCCCCCATCCTGCAAAGACGGCGATGGTAAAGTACTCAATCAGCAGATACAGCCTATACAGCCCAGAAATACATCGTTTCGACATACAAGTACTACAACGCTCGCACACGACTGATCCATTGCATGCACAAATAACACCCCCGACAATGTCAATTGCACTCGTGTTTTCTTTGTTTTGTTCAAAAGCACATCTTTAATGATCAGTCACAACAACATAGGAAACCAGGCAAAGAAAGGCATCTCCAAAGTGTGTCGATAGAAAAATAGAACCTCTGAAAACTCTCAGGCAAACGCACAGCTTCAAAAAGAAGGGGGCCGGCCGATTTCTCGAGGTCCAATCACAAGCTCTGTATACCGACGCTCTCGGGCCGAATGCGGAGGAGGCTCGGGGCACGTACGCGTCGCCCGCTAAACCCAACTCGCAACAACGCTTACGGCTACAGCTCGGACACAATCATATATAACGTACCGTGAAAACCCGTCGGCCCGCCTGTAACCTAAGATGGCGAGTGCTTTGAGCCGATCGAAACCGGAAGAAGGTTGACGACGATCGAAAGGGTCATTAAAAACGACCAAGACGTTGTTTCCCACGTCAACGAATGGTTTCGGCCCGGCGAACCGGAACGGGAGGAACTTTCCTTCGTGGCAAAGTGATTTGAAATGAGGGTTGAAAAAGGGTCCCAGACGGTTGCATCAAATTAAAAAGGAGAGAAAGGCGTAGGAGACAATCCAAGTAGGTCTCTTTTCTTCTTTTCTTTCTTTCATCTAGTCCTAGCTGAAGATGGCTTCTGTAGCCTTCTCTAGGTCCCATGAGTACGAAGACAGGGCAACCCGTGCACGGTGCTGCAACGGAAGTAGCAGACGCAAGTGGTTACACCCTTTTGTAAATGGCTGACAATAACAGAACCAGCACACGCGAGAAAAACCCCCCGAGCCCCAACGCAGAGTTGGGCTTCAAGACATCAGTCAATGGCCTATCGTTTGCTAACGTGCCGTGTTATTGCTTCTGCCTCATTGAAATCACTTTTCAAGGAAAGTGTGTGACCTCCAGCCAACCACAAATGATCTCAGGGCATAAACTGACTGAAATAAGCCCCGTTTTTACCGGTTAAAAAGAAAAAAAGAAAAAAAGAAAAGGAAAAGAACAGAATAAATTTGACCTTAGTGCAGCACAATGCTTTCAGGCAGCAACTCTGCTGGCTCCGCTGGTTCAATCATTGGTTCAATCGAACGATTGCTTTAATTAATAAAACAAATTTGGCTTATGTTATTTGATCAGCTATAACTGAGTACACTCAGACGCCATCAAACACAATACTATGAATTCGCATGAGCCATGACAAATGTTCAACTTGACCGAATTTCTTGCAAATGCTCACCTCTTCAACTCCCATGTCAAGGAGCCTCTTGATCTTTGCATCAAACTCTGGAAAGTGCTTTGGACCTGAAGGGAGATAGAATTGCCAGGCAAGGTCAGTTCTCAAATGCCACATTATTCTCTGTTGAAGGCTAGGAAGAGCAGGACAAGTACAGTCACTGGAAGGTTAGGTCAAGGGTGGTAGCAAGTATCAGCTTTTCGTAGCAGGTCTGGAAGCAGTAAAGATGTCCCTTTGGAGCAGCTTTGGAGCAGTAAAAGTTCCGCTTTGGAGCAGCTTAGGAGCCACAAAGGTCGTTTTGTAACAGTATAAGTAAATCCTGTTGCTGGTCACCCAGGTCAAACCCGGGGCTATAAGTGCAGAGTTTTTTTTTTTTTTAAATACATAATTATTGCAACAATAAAGCGTCTTCATGAGATGTTTCAGAACCATTTCTAACATGCCCTTTCTTAAATATAATCCAGCCCATAGCATAAAAAGTAAACAGTGTCATTGCAATTTATCTTCCGAATTAAAAACAGTGCGAAAAGACAAGGACTAGACGAAGAAGTAACATGAACACAGCGCTGTTTTTAATTCCGAAGTATGTACCAACTCGGCCAAGCCTCAACTTTAGCAATTTATCTAAATGGCGGCTAATGAGAATTGCTCTGGTGGCGGTTTGGCTCCGGTTCCTTTTATGGATTTCCCATAGAAGGCATGGTCAACTAATGAAGCACAACTTAAGCCTCATGAAAACAAAACATTGCACCTATTTAGCAACCCAAATCACAAGACCCATAAGTTGAAAACAAAACCATTTCAAGATGCAATAGTATGGTATGAAATAAAGCCCAATAGTTACTGACTAGTTTTCACAATTAGAAAATTGTGAAATTTTTGCCTTGCATGTCATTTACAAGAAAGATTACAGGTGAGGCAACTAATTATTGCTTTCATTGTTTATGATAAAAATGAGGAGCACGGAAGCAGTCTCAGCAAGACCAAACACCCAAAACACGCAAAAAAAAATATTGTACCAAACGTTTGTTTAATTTTGTAAGGTAGTTATTGTTTTCCTGAGTGATTAAATGATAGGTGAATGCATGCCAGCCTACTTTTAGGTATGTTTATATACCGTAAAGTCCCGAAAGAATGCCCACCCAAAATGAAGAGATAAATGGTGAAAAATAGGGGCATATAAATATAGGACAATATCAGTTCCAGTTTCATGTATGTAGTGGCACCCCATGATCAGTTTTTTACAAAAATTCATCCTCAAACATGGCTTATATTTTTTATATATTTATATTTTAGCAGCTGCAGGATGTTCCTGCAGTCCAGATTTGGCAGCTGTGGGATATATAAACAATATAAGTCATGTTTGAGGATGAATTTTATAAAAAGATTGGTGATCAAGGGGTTCCACTACAAACTAAATAAAACAGGAATTGACACCACGGCTTGCAGACACGGTGAATTCGCGTTCCACAATGCACTAAGTACATGGGAATTCACTAAGAACTCCCGTTACAGGTACGGCCGCAGAAAGCGGACGCAGCACATTTGCACCTCACAGTGCGATATACGCCCGACAAACCACAAAATGCTACCAACTCGGGTTTCACGGAAACCAATATCGTGTGCGCAGATCACGGACAAAAGCGTGGGAACCCGCTACAAACTCGCATGTCGTGGGAACAGATATCGCAGATTGCAGACGCAGCAGATTCAATTTTCACGGTGTGATAAACACGAGAAACCACCACAAACTCGCATATCACAAAAAATGAAAATTGTGCTCACAAAGAAAAAAAGAAAAAAAAAAAAGCGGGAATGTGTTACAAATTTGCATGTTACGGGAACGGATACCACAGATTGCGAACACTGCACATTTAAATGTCACGGTGTCATAAGCACAAGAGAACCCTGTACCAAACACGTACCAATAGCGCAGATCGCACAGTCCCGTTGAACATCACGTGATCAACATTTGGCGAGAATCGGGGGGGGGGAATGTTTTGCAATTGGTATTTTATAAATATTCAGCCCGAAAAACGGGATGGGCAACCTCTCGAGGGTGGGCATTCATACGAGACTTTACGGTATACGCAATTTTATGTGTGCAGTATTCGTAATACGCATGGCCATATTCAGCGCCACACTGCCAAAAAATAAAATAAAGGACAAACTGATGCCTCAGTACTTCTGACAAAGCCACCTATGCATGTCCCATTTTCGGAAATCAGACACCTACACGCCGCTATTGGCTGATCTGTGACACTGACAACACAAAGGAACGCGCCCAAACAAGTGCTTTGAAGGCGCTGGTACAGAGAACATAAATAAACAGACAACTTTTATTGCGTGTTGCTCATTTGCGTCCAAATACGATATATATCTGACGAACAATAAAAGCATTTACTTTTCCTCGCGTTCGAAACAGACTTCAACAACCAACTCGCGCGGTTCTCGCTCGTGCCGCTGGCGCTTGACGGCTCATCAATCTGAGACCATGAAACGAAATGAAACACTGTGTCTATTTACCCTATCACGAATAAATCATGGTCATTTTCTTTAGATGGAAATAGTCACTTGGCACCTGTCTTTATCAAGCGAGAATCACCTGCTTTGACACTGACACAACCATATTGGTATGGTGGCTTCATGACATTGGTTCAGAATTATCTAAACGAAAACAACACGGTAAAACAATGTGGCCAGTACTTGTACTTTGCGATTACAAGTACATACTTTGAAAAGTACTTGTAATTGCAACTATGAGGGTCACTTACTGAGTACGGGGTGGCCAAACGTAAATGATCCCTTTGGGACAGTGGCGCTCCTGGACCATTAAACCCTGTACCAAACTTTGGTCAAAATTTTGTGACCAGTTGCGCATTGAAATACTCTGGTTTTAGCTAGATTACCCATAAATGGCGGAGCCAGGGTATCACCTTCCATTTCCTTGCAATGCCAACTTCTCATTGGCAGAGAAGGATCACACGCGCCAAATTTGATTTTCGTGCTTGCAGGGAAGCCGCCTCGCAGAGTGCCGGATTTGTGGCAGTACGTACGTTTCACTTTGCACTCGTGAAATGTAGATCTGGCACAGAAGTACGATGAGCAGGAAGTTTCTTGAGCATACAGACATTGTGCGTGCCACTTAGATACGTGCAATTGCAATATTTTTACAATGCAAGCGCAGTTTCATGGCGGCTGTGAGCAAGCAGACGACGCGGCAGCTGCGACGATCAAGACCGCACACGTACGCTTCCAAAGGACTCGGGAGGTACGCGTATGGTACATCCGTGGCAAATCGCTGCCTTGCGTCGTTGCGTTTCCTGCAGAAGCGAAGTTCGCTTCCCGCAATACTTGGCGTCAAAAATTTAAGGCCATTGCAATACTCTGCTCCGCAAGTGAAGCACGTAGGGTTACTCTAGTCTTAGCTAGATTCAAACGAGACAAGGGCCTACAAGGCTTATGTATACAAGTGATGAGACGGAACGAGCCCCACCTCCGGCGTAGACCTGTGCCCAGTGTTGAGCGGTGAGCTTGAACATCTCTGGGTTCTCCTTGAACTGCCGGGCCACGACCGCGTCCTGGGGATCGTCTGGTTCAGCTGCCGCCAGCAGCGCTTGCAAGGACAGCAGCACCGTGCGCAGCGTCATGGCCGCCGCCCTGCGCGCACATGCCCCGCGTCGCCCGACGTTAGGAGGGACCGTGCAACGATTTCAGTCTTTCCAGTGAATGCCGCTTAGAGTTAACTCTCGAGATTCGTTGGTACATACTCCGTTCTTTTCAATCTTCTTTAACCAACACGAAACATGCATTCTAAACATACACTCTTCCGACAGAACTCCTCATGCGACCACCGATTTTCTCCGCTTCCCACAACTCCGCGAGAGTTCTTTTGCCCTCTGCCATGTCCGCAAGCCGCCACTAGGGGCGACCTTGCCGGGTCAGCCCCGTTTTTCGTATCGTAACCCAAAAAAACGCACATTAGTCTTTCTCTCCACGCATTGGCAGTCGCAAAAAAAATTTAGAAAGGAACGGGCAGAGTTTGCCCCCTCAACTCGCGGCCAAAACAAGCGGCCGTACACCATCATATGCCACCAATGTTCATTGTAGCCCCGCGACGAGGTTTATAAGGAACAGGGCTCGTGCTAAGCTCCAGACATTGTTAGGGTTGGGCTGTTCCTGTTGCCGCAGCGATTCGACACTGGCCACTACTAGAGTGCTTGTCGAGGCATTGATAGTCACGAGCCCGAGCCGAGTGTTCACGCAGTGCTCGTGTCCAATCCAAAAGCTGCATTTAAATATCATCATCGTGGGTAAATCCCCGCAAGCCTCCCAACAATGCGATCTCTGTTACTAAGTTGTGCGAAAAAGAGCGATGAAAACGGTTTGCCTTTTTGTCCTCGGAATTACACCCCAACAAAAAAGTGTCTGGTCAGTGGCATAGTGCGCATATATACTTGGACCGCGGTAAGCCCCAGTAAGCTCGTGTAAAGTGAAAACTGTTTCAACCCAATATCGGTGCACGACCCACCTAAAGGGACCAAGTTTTCACTTTTATGTCACCGCCGTCATCTTCACAGCGCTCAGCTCCGACGGGAAGAAGGCCAGCTGCCTCACTCTCTACCCTCCAATCACAGCGAGCAAAGCTGTTATCTGGTCCTCGCACAGAAGGAGCGGCAGCGTCGGGGTCGGGCGTTCGGACGCCAACCGCCTGTACTGTCTGCTAGTCCTAGAAACGGCTGTCTTACTTTTTTTTTTTGGCTTTAGACAATCCACCGGTTCTTTAGTAACTAGGACTTAGCCTTTGAGAAAAAAGGCAGGAAGTACCTCAAAGGGTGCACTGTTTTCCTCGACCTCAACTGTTTTCCTTGACGAGGTGATAACGGCAAGAAAGAATTTCAGCTGTCCCACCTCGCCGCGGCGTCTCCCAAGCGTTGAGCGTGCACGCGCCGTCAGAACGCCGAGAAAAACAACAAGAGCACGCGGGGCGCGGGGCATTTAAAAAAGACACCCTGCCATTCTCATTCTGCCAGGAACCAAAGTGGTGTTGGCCAACTTCAGCAACCTTTCCTTGCGGCTTTTCGCTCGGCTTTTCGATCGGTTCATGTTGAGCCGAATCCAAACCGGAGGAGGAGGTACGACGCCACTCACCACTGGTCCTTCAGGATGTCGAGGCAGATTGCTCCCGTCACCGAACTGATGTTGGGGTGCCATATCTTCGTGATGAAGCGCACCTGCGTTCGTTCCGCGAAGGAAACAACGACATAAGAACCTCCGAAGCGGACGCTCGGGCTTAGAGCGACGTGCAACGAAGGTCGCCCACCTTGGGCGGGTTGAAAGGGTACGTCTCCGGAACGTGGATCTCGAGCACAAAGGTTCCGCCTTCGTAAGGCGTGTCCGGAGGGCCCGCAATCTCTCCCCGCAGCTCCGTGTAGTTGTCATTGACCAGCTCGACCTTGATGGCACACTTGGCAACCTTGGAGGAGGCAGTGAAGTAGATGCAACAAACAGGAGCTTAGAGAACTGGTGATCATTATTTAGGGAAAAATAAACAAAATAGAATGTGTCCCTCCCTCCCTCCAGAAAAAATATGCAGTGTTTTTTTTTTTTCTGTTTTAATTGCAAAAATAAGGTACTTATCACCAAATGCTCATTCTCCCCCCAAGTGGTAGTGCTGGAGGTCTGCATCAGATGCCACACTTTCATAAATGACCGTTATTTTATTCAGAAGTTAAAACCGATTTTCTGAAAAATTTCAAACTTTCAATGAGACAATGGGGCCTGTTTTTGATAGCTTGTGCCATTTAACCCCCTGGCTTTTGTGGGCATTGTCGGCCATCACTTTCTCGCTACAAATTTTTGAAAATCACTTTTAGCTTTTGAATAAAATAATGGTTTGATCTGAAACTTTGGTATCTGGTTCGGACCACTACATGTGGGTACATATGGGTGCAGAATGAGCGTTTGGCAATGCATGGATTCTTTTTGCGGTGAAAAAAGCACCATAAATATTCTGGGAGGTCATCCTGCCCTGTCCCCTGCCCTGCCTGCCTGCCCCCCCCCCCCCCCCTCCTCCTTCTCCTCTATCTCCCCCTTTCCTTCCCTCTCCCCCCCCCCCCCCCCCCCCCCCCCCTTGCATGGCCCAATGTTGGCTGAACGCTGACAAGATTTCACCAGAAGAAAAAAATTAGCAACTCCCCAACTGGGGGGAGGAAGCAAGGTGTGTGTGTTTCCATATTTTGTTTCTTCCCCAGTTTTCACCCCCACAGTTTAGTGATAGTTACAGAAATGCAGAGGGGAAGGAAATAGACCTAGAAAACACTAGGAGCAGAATTGTTTTTATAAATTTTAGGCAAGGTGGTGCAAGCTACTGCCCGTTATAGAGGGTTCAGCCGTTAAGATTAATTCATTGTACGCTTTGCGGGTGTCTGTGCACTTTACAGTTTTAGATGGGGAGGCACCCCCCGTACACCATACACAGTTTTAGAGAACAACTTTTCCTAGACCTCAGTTCATTGAGCCACCGTTTGTAGAACATGTTTAGAGAAAATGTTTTCTGCTTTCCTTCTCTTAACCATATTTGGTGGTGCAGGCTTCGAGGGGTGTGTTATCTACGAGTTAAGCGAGCCTCCCCATCGTCTGCTGATATCAGCTGTAGTAGTTTTGATTCCAAGATGCAAACCAACAACGACACGTCTGCTGAAACGCTTTCTAAACCAAGGCTTTTCGTTCACTAAACCGTGGTTCAATAAAATGGTGTAGGTATCTAATGTCCAGAACATGGAGTTTGAATCATTAAACCTGAGGAACCTGCGACTTTTTTTTTTTTTTTTTTTAAATACCTGCTATCATTCCATGTATGTATACCACAAACAAATAAAAAAAAATAATAACAAGGAAGAGAGTGTAACGTACCAGACGATGTAATCTCGCGATATAACTTCTCTGCGAGATTACAATCACGAGACCAAGGTCAGTAATCAACGCGACACAATGTACGACCTCAAATGGAGCAACTTTAGCGTTGATCAATGATGCTGCAATTTTGTCCGCATCAATCCGGCATCGACGTTTTCGCCGACCTCGCTTCCAGCCCAACATAAAACACTTCCTAGCTTGCACAAGTGCGGAACAAAAAAAAAAAAAAAAAAAAAGAAAAAGCAAAAACCCCGGTTAGCATTGCGCACAATACACGTGCACTTGTGCCGCATTGGCAAAACCCAACATTAAAAAACAATAAAACACGCGGTTGACCGTGCACTAACATTTCTCGCTCTTTTTCCTTGCCAAAGCCGTTGCCAGCCGCCGTTCAGTTTGGTGACTAATTACAAGACCAGTCGACCCCGAACCGATAAAAAAAACAACAAAATTCTACCTACCCTGAAACAAGAGCGAAAACAAATAAACAAAAAAGAAAATCGGCCGAACTTGAACACTCAACAACTCGTACTGTTACGAAAGAGATCCGTTATGGAGGCACCTGAAAATCCGCACTCAGGAAGCCAGGCAATCATTTTTTCGTGTTTAAAAATGAGGTTCCTCGACCATTAAATCGCGCAGATTCTGACATTGGGATCGCAGCCAAGAGACAGGAACGAGCATGTAACCAAGACAGGTAACAGAGCGGCACAGACTTCTCCATTTTCCTTGTCGCGTTTCGACCCAGTGTCGGAGCCGTTACGGTTGGTGGAAACTAGGTTGTATTAATAAAGTGGAAGACAGCAATGACTGTATTCAAACTCCCAACCGACAAAACAATGGGCTATATGGGACTGATAAAAATACGTGCTGCGGCCGACCGAACAGTGGTCTCGGTGGACGGGCGATCCGAGCTCACCTCTTCGCTCTTGACAACCTCCTTGAATTCGCGCTTTATTCTTTGTACGGCGATGTTTGCCATCGTATCGTCGAATCCATATATGAGTTGTGTAAAATAGTTGGCGAAATTTAAAGGTATCAAGGCGACTCAGCTGGGTCGGCCGACGGGATGATGGTGGCCTTCGGAGACGTCCATTAAAACAAAAAGACAAAACCCGGACAAAACGGAACGGTCGTTGAACGGGTGGCACAAAACGAAACGTACGAAATTTCGTAGCTTTACCTTATTAATTGTCATAATATTGAAAGGCAATAAATACTAATTGAAGTATTCTGTTTTTCTATTGAAATCGGCATTTAAAGCACAAAGTGTTCCGTTTCGCATTATCGCACGATCAACCAAGCCGCAACAAAACCAAATACGCCAGTTTAGTTTCGGTTTTAACTACTCATTTCGGTTTTGCATTCGCTAGAATGGTTAAAATTGTCCTGGTGTTGTTTTATCGTCATAACATTTATTTGCAAATAAATTCACTCCTTATAGACGTTACGTACTTCATATCAAAGGCTGTAGACTTTTTAGCGCAAAGGAGAAATGCGGCTGACACATCGCACATAAAACTTTAATTATCAAACGGTTTTATTAGAAATCCGCTACGTTCGATAGACAAGTGGAGTGAGTCACGGCGAGCTCGCGCAAAAAACGAAAAAAGAAGAAAGATTTGACGGACGGCAAAGACAGAAATAGCATGTCAAGCCCTGTGAGTATATCTTCAATAATTCTAAGGCTTCCAATATCAGGACCACGTGTGCTTGCTCCATCGCAAGTAAATAGGGCACTATTTCAATTCAAAATCGGTCACCTATTTATTGTTCCGACATAGCTTACGCAGGAGGCACTGGAGCCACAAGAAACCGAGCGCCACGGCCAACCAGCTCAAACGGGCTCCTTGCCTCAGCGCGCCAATGAGTATGTGGAAGATCTTCACCAGGTTTAGTTTTTCACAGACACTTGCACAGATATGTTTGAAAGATTGTGGTTATAACCTCGAAACCATCTCAACTCCTACTTTTAAAATTCCGAAGTTGCAGAGGGAATACTGCCGCGGGCACCGATGAGGCCTTTCGGTACTATATGAAATAATTGTGACGCAAAGCTGCCGACACAGTATACGGGTATCCTTTTTATCGATCACTTTCAGCCCTTTATGTTTGAAAAGACTTCGAATTCTGCGACCCCAGTTGCTGACAGGAAATGCGTATATACTCGTGTATAAGCCGCCCGCACTTCCCACTTTGGGATGCAAAAATTCGAAGCACCCGAGCGGAATTTAAAAAGGAAAGTGCGGCTTATACACGAGTATATACAGTACAGGTCGTGCTTGCTTCTCTCGCTTCTTGATTTCTTCTTCGGTGGTCTTGTCGTCTCATGGAGCGAGCTCATTGACTGCAGAGCAGTAGTAAGGTGAGAGACTCGCCAAGCCGTTGATCGAAATTAGTGACCATTTGCGACACATTTGCCAGAGCAGAGTGGTCCTGGAGAAGCTTCCTGTGCGCAGTCATCGCCTTCCTGGCCTTCGCCGTCACCACCGGCGTCATACTTTCCTACTTCAGAAAATCACCACGTAAGCATAAATATCACTCTAATAGTCCGAAATAATAATTAAAAAATGCACACATTTGAATAGACAACTATAAGTTTTGAAGGAGTGGAAGGCTTAGGAAATTCATTCAACAAAGTATTTCACACGTTGACGTAAGCTAACTCGTCGACTGCACCCCGCTCGAGGCAAGCTTCACTGCTTTGCGCCGGAGCGCGCGTCAAGCTTTCCCGCTTTGCACCGGCGTGTTTGGAGAAGCGACAGACGCGGTGGAGCTAACGTGGCATACCTAGAGTAACTGCATATGCTCCACTTAAATTTCTTACTGCCACCTTCCGAGATGTTGACACATATATATATATTCTTTTCTTTCAGCCCCACGCAGTGCCTTAAAGTTTGAAGGAGGCAAGTCTTCACAGTCTGAATTTATCACTTAAAAATGTCACCGGCCATAAATAAAGGGTTTTGGGATTTCCGTTAAATACCTTGACAACAAATTTTACGAGTTTGGATTCACCAAAAATATTCACATCAATTAACACTGTACTCACACTTAAGATGTGTATTTTCTCTCACCTAAAACCTCATTGCCTAAAAAGAGAGAGAGAGAAAAAAAAAACATTGGCTGTAGGGTGTTTTCACGATTTCAATTTGCCAGTATGTTGTTAGATTAAACTAACAATTAAACTTACAATAATCGTAACGAGTGTGTTGGTTTAAGTAGATGTCTAGCAGAATGTGCCCTTTTGTGTCTCGTCCTCTTCCATTCTTTCTGCTATATGTAAACTTATAAGCTTCTGTGCACTACATATTTGGCAGTGTCAATTAAATCCTTACAATACCTGCTTTTGGCACCTGCTAGACAGCTCGTAACGAAATGGCAGACGAAACTATGTCAATTAAAACACTCTTTTGTCAAGGTATATTAGTGTCAAAGACAACTGACTGTGAACACCTTTTCAGAGGGTACGGAGCCTGGTTACGAAGGTAGGTTTGTTCGGTTTAGTTCTGCACTAATAAATGTGCAGAAACTACAACAGCCCCCTTGATCTTTCAGTAAACCCGATATCTATGCCCTTCGAGAAGAAACGTAAGCTTCAAGTTGTATCTTCACCCTCCATCGTTATAGACGCCCTGTGCACGAAAAAGTCTAGCAAGACACCTGCAGTTTGAGTGGAATTAGAACTAGATAGTTTAATTGGGAACTGTTTGTCGTGTCATGATCGGGCTAGACAGTGCAGCGCCATACCTTACGGCCTTTGCTCTCGCTTGTTTCTAAACCCCCCCCCCCCCTTCCCGCCCCCTCATATTGCCTGAACCACCCTGAACTTTTGTGACCACCGTGATTGGAACAGTGTGCCAATGTACAAAAAATAAGTGCAGTGCAATCATTGATATACTTCTGGCTTACAATAAATGCTTGCTTGCTTATATAAAATTGTTTGAGAAGAGGTGTTGTGCTTAAGTCCCTGAAGGTAGGTGGCCTGTATATCCAACTAAGGCTGTCTGGAAATTCCTCCAGTTCGACCCTGGAGCGAAGAAGCCGACGTGGCGAGATTGGGGTGCCTCCTTACGAGTTAAAACGCTGAGGGAAGGGTGCAGTCGCAGATACCCCACAGAGCTGCCCCACAGAGGGAGAAACTACCCCCCATGTGAAGGCCTATTACTTTAGCTCGGTCGTGGTCACGCGCATATCCCAAACTCATTGGATATCTTCACCTTTAAGGAATAAAGGGTCACTGAAATATATACTTAACTATGTACCATGCTGTACCAAGCAATTTAAAAAAAAGAAGCCTCTTTCTGTAGTACCTTATAAACCTTACGTATGCATGTTGCAGGCCATAACACTTCAGTGATCAGCATGGGTACCACTCAAGTAGTTGTTCCTTCACAGCTTGACCACGATGCAACATAGATAAATGAATATCACAAATCATTTTACAAAGGTGACCCCTGAAGTCCCAAAATACCCAAGTGCCAGCACTCCTGTAAGACTCACCAAGGAAACGCAAAAAGCAAGGAGCAGGCAATAATGAATCACTGCCAGGCCCTGTACACAAGCATACTATGCCAGTGGCTTCATATATCTGTAGTTGTATTCCCAAATAAACCTTGTCCTTACCATCCTTATTCCACGCAGGAAGGAGCCTCAGGATGGCCTGCATCGAAGACGAAGACTGCCAGGAAGAGAACAACCTCGTCTGCGCGGCAGACGAAGGAGTCGACAAGGTCTGCCTTTGCGACAGCGGCTTCATAGAAGACGGCAGCAGGTGCATAGATGGTGAGACGAACGCAGAACATCCGCCATGAGGAGTCAAACGGTGGTTCGAACTACTGTTGAAACCATTGTCAGAAGGGAGGAGTAGGTTCCACACACGGAGCCAGTGAACTTGTGTGTGCACTTGTGCGATGCCCGTTGGTCGTAGCGTCGAGGGAGACGGGAGCATGGCACAGACCTAACTCTGTATGCCACAAAGACGCACAGCATTAAGTGTGTGCTCTTGATAGGTTACGGATGTAATATACCTGGCTTTGAGCGTGCGTTTTTCTCTCGTTAATGCAAACCAACCATGCTGTTCCAAAACACGAATCATGTTTAATGTGCAAACAATTCTGCGATTCAAAGATCAATCTCATATCAAAAAAGTATTCCAGGGATGGAATGCCACCTTTGAGATCACGTTCCAAGAGTATGTGACTGGTCACCTTTCATTTACAGTAAAGTTCCGATAGAATGCCGGTCCCCGAGAGATACCCATCCTGTTTGAGAGAGGACGTTTCCGGCTTGAGCGGCATTGCCGTCGGCGTAATCGCGCGTTACATTATGGGACGTTTCCCATAATGACGTCACGAAAGAGGAGGAAAAGGAGGAGGAAATTTCCCGCTAAATTTAGCAGAAAATTTCCCCACTAAATTTAGCGGGGGATTTTTTTCACTGATTTTAGCTGGAAATGCAGCGAAAATTTCCCGCTAAATGAAAGGGGAGCGGGAGGGGAGGAGGGGCATACCCTTTCCTTTGTGCCCTCCGCCCCTCCTTCTCAAGAGGTGTGCTCTAATTTGGCATTACAGGGAGTTGTTAACGTCTTTCATTTTTTCTGGCTAAATATCTGCAACATAAAAATTCCAAATCATCGCCCACCCCGATTCCCGTCGGACGTCATGCGACGTTCCACGGGAATCGCATCAACTGCGCAATTTGCTGTACTGGCACGTCTGACAAGCAAGTTCATAGCGGGTTCGCGCATTTTGTCCTCAATCCGTGCACGCAATATCGGCTCCCGTAACACGAAAATTGTTTCCGCGTGTATGTTGCACCGTGAAACCCGAATCTGCTGCGTCTGCAATCTGTGGTATCCTTTCCTGCGACACAGGAGCTAGCAGCGAATTCCCGCATGTTTATGGCATCATGAAACACGAATTTCCAGTGTCCGCGACCTGCGGTGTCAGTTCCCGCGTCACATGGTTTGTAGCCGGTGCCAAGGTGTTCATCATTAATTTTTGATAAAGTTTTGCTGTGACACCCCAAAGATAGCCCACCCCATCTTTTTCACCATTTATCTCTGCATTTTAGGTGGGCATTCTTTCGGAACTTTATGGTAGTTTATTGTTAACTCAGTCATCCAATGGGCACGCCATACATTGTGTTCCACATGGGCCAAAAATATATAAACAAGCAAAGTTGCTGAAAGTCGTGCATTTTAAAGCCCCAAACAAAGGTGGAAGACGACAAAGAAAAAAAAGCGCAACACATCTCCAAAACAGAGGGTTTGTACTTGAATGATCCTTTTCGTGGGTCTTCGTTCGAGAAATGGATAGAGAGAAACTTTGCTCCTTCAAGGGGCTTTACGGCCGAGCCTTTCTTTATCGCTAAAGCAATACTGGTCATCCCCTTGCTTCCGACTGGTCTTGATGCAGGCTTCACCCACCCCGGAGACCCCTGCGACGCACGGATGATGAAGTGCGCCAAAAAGACCAACATGATATGCGACGGCGCCACCAAGCCTCCCAGGTGCATGTGCATGCTCGGGATGACCTGGCAAACCAACAGATGCGTGGCGCTCTACGGTGAGACCTCTTGCTGCCGTCAGTCAAACGGGCTTTCTTAAAATTCTCTAAATATGGCCACCTATTATGAGAGACCATACTGCACCATCTGTCGGGTAGCTCTCGAACGCATCTAATCTGTGTCGATTTCCTCATTTTTTAAAAATTCGTTAAGGCTGCTTCCCACAGCCCCGTTTTTCTTACGACGAGATACGGCCATAAGTCACCAGCACGTCTGTGCTTTGTGCGAAGCGTTGGAGGTAGTTAAGGACTAGCTTGGCACGCTGAATACGAAGCACGGAAGCATCAGGGATTTGCGGTCGTGTCTCAACGTAAGCAAATGGTGCCGCGTGAAACGGCTTTATAATCTTTCACTATGTGCCTGAAATACTTTTTGACAATGCCCATACTAAGCGACCATATCTCGTATACATGGCGTGCCCAACAATTCGGATGAAGCCTTTGATGTGACCGTATAAATCGGGGCTCGGTAACGTATTGCGTTACGATTTACCTCAGAAGTGCTTGACGTTAGTGGAAGCGTCGCGTGAATATTTAGAAGAACAAACTTACCCAAGTAAAAAAGTATAACTGATTTTCCTTACCTACGGCACCCGTCTGCAATCTACGCACCCTCCGACTGGCGCAACAACCGACGAAAGCAGACTACATGTCGCCGAAATTACTCGACAAACCGTAGGTTTCATTTGTTTTGTGTCAAGTTAATGCGTTTTATTGGGCGTGTGCCATTTACGATTGAAAAAAAACATTGTCAGCTTTTGGCGCGACAGGGCGGTAAGGCTGTGCCGGGGTTGCTGCTGCCATCTGTCGGTCGTTGTAGCAATCAGAGGGTGCGAGGCTAGCAGACGAATGCTGTAGCTAGAAAAAATCAATTATTTTCTTTTTACTTTTTATGCAGGCAAGTTCATTCTTAGAAAATTTTGTGCGATGCTTCCACCAGCATTGGGCACCTCTGTGGCAAGTCATAGCACGAAATGTTACCAAGTCGATTTATGCAGTCACTTTAAAGGCTTCACCCGGATTTGTGAGCACGCTGTAGTGTGTAGACTTCATCTCGCAAATACCGCATGACCTTCGGTCCAGTCATGTGCAGTTCCAGTGCTACCTGACAAGTGGTGCCAGTGTGCCAGTCTGCTGGCACCATTTGCAAAGCAGGTACATATCCCAGTCCTGAAAAGCTGGGGAATTATTACCAAGAAGCCTGTAATTCAGTCTGCCATTGGAGAATTCCGGTTCGTTTGTCAATTCCAGTTCTGGTGCTGCATCCCACACGCAGCACAAAATGGGTGACCTCCAAGTGCTGTACGCTGTAAAAGCGACATAGTTCGGTCCTAGTGCACAAGGCTGCCATATTGAGGCATGAAAAACGGTGCTATGTGGAGTCTTGCGCAACAGATGTGTTTGCACAGTTCTTTAGAGCGGTACTTCCCTACACAATAAGGATAGCACGAGGTGTATACAGATTGCGGTTGTCGAATCATACTAGTATTTTGATGGATTGGTGGAACAATGTGAAAAGCAAAAATGAGACTGACTGTTCAGTGCTAATTTTAGTTTCATTCCTTCTGTCTCGTGCATAGATGCTACAGTGATGCTGGCTTCGATAATATGCAATCAAACAAGCAACCGAATAAGGAGGGCGCATATGTTACGTTTTAATACTCTCACAGTTTCAGATACTTTCAGTCATTGCTGTTGGCTCTTTTTGGCAATTCTCCTTGTAGCAATTTTATGCACTTTTGTGAGGCCTTGTGGCATTAAATTGCGGCATTAAATTGCATAAAAATACCCCAAACCAGAATTCATAGGCATAGCCTCCTTTATCACTGCCAACTTCCACTCTCCATACAAATTCTCTCCTTTATAAAAAAAAAATGTACTAGGTGAGTCTTTAAATCTTGATGCTATGTTGTGCCCACAGAAATACTACCGAAAGAAAACAGCAAAGGTAAGACGTGGGTCGCCACCGCCCAAATTCGCCTCCGTACAATCGCAATGCATGTATTTCATTTATATTTAGCGCTTGTTCGTGTTCTGAAAATATTCGCTGTAATCGATTATACAAGGGCGCTGGCAACTGAAGCTCTACGTATGTAGGCAAAGACAAAGGAAACCTCGACAGGTCAATGTATTGTGTCACCACTTCCTAAAAAAAAAAATATCAACATGGATTTGGCCTTTTAGTTTGCTTCCTCCCCTCCCTCTTTTAGGAGAGGCCGGCGCCATTCAGTCTTAAAATCAACCATATAAATCTATAAATCCGTCAATATATTAAAGGAGTGCAATACAATTCTTCCAAAGTGCATCTTTAGGTGGTGCACTTATCATATTCACTCTTCGTAAATGTGGGTTCCTGCCCCCCACTTTTTTTCTTCTTAGTCTATGCCAAAAGTGGCCAGATCTCCAGGCTGTTGGTGCCATCTCCCTCCTCCTCCCCCTACCCTATCTTTGGCTAATAAACACCCACACTACTATACTACTAGATACTATAAACGTTTACGGTTTCCTGTTGTTCTTTGTCACGTGGGTTCCGAAAAAAATAAAACATTTCAACCTGCAATATGCGAGAATATATAGGGGAGGCAAAACAATAACGTGCGACAATCACAGACTTTTCGTAGACACCTTTCAGCGGCGTGGAGAGATCATAACAATGTTTTACTGCATACCACAAGAAGTGATTGCATTCAAGATGGCTGCACCCTCGTGGGAAAGGTGTATAAACATTTGCAAGTACGGCCTCTGGGCGCGGCCATCTTGCTACTGGTGTGGGAAGGTCGTCTGATAGTCGAGCATTGCCGAGGTGCACTCACAGCCTCGGCAATGCTTGACAACCAGACGATCTACCCAAGCCAGCAGCAAAATGGCGGCGCCCAGGAGCCATACTTGCAAACGTCTATAGCCGCATACAGAATGAGAACAGCAGGGAGGAGTTTCAGTTGCCCCATATCCAGCATTCGCTCCCCATTTTTGGACAATGCTTTGGCATCTTGGTCTGAAGCGCCGGGAAAACACACCGTTGTTTTCACCTTGTCAGTGAATACTACTATGCATACTGAAAGCAAACATAAACAAACTGCCCGTCATATAAGTCGTTGCGCTTGGTCGATTTAAACAACTGATTTTATGAACGAGTAGCGCTGCAGAATTCCCCGTATGGAAATCTCCCAAGAAGGGGGGAACAGACACGAACACGAAGTTCCAATTTCGGAGCTTTGTGGTCGTGTTCCAGAGTTGCTCCAGAATAGGACGCCTATAGCAAATGATCTTGCCTACATCCCGGCTCTAACAGATCTTCAGCCTTGCAGAAATTTAGAACTAGTATTTAGAACTAAATTCATAAAGAACGCAACCAAAGACTCAAAGTCTGACTATATATCAAACTTGGCCGTAGCATGTAATGAGGCGTGACCAGCACAAACGCTAACGCAGGCCTTGCGCACGCAAAATTTCAGATGGAATGGCTTCCACCACAATCACGCGTAAGTTACACCCTGCAATGCGGGAGCAAGTTGACTACAAAAACTCAAAAGTTGTTTCTTATCGACACATCCATGCCGCCCTCTTTCTTTTTTTTGCAGAGAATGCGAAAAGGAACTTTACCGAGGGGGCAAACTCTACTATCTAAGAAAAACTGCCGACGATAATTCAGAATTGTATACAACAATTGCACCAAATATTAGTTTAGAAGCATCACACTTGCCTTCATGAAGGAACCTACAACTCTAAAGCTGTTTGTTCACACTGACGGCCTTTGATAAGTATGGTAACCTCTGTGAAACAAATCATGGTGCCTTAAAATATTTGATATCATATTCAGCTTGACTTTCACATCTCGTTAGGTTATAATGACATAAAAATAATGAAATAAAGAATAAAAAAAACATGTCCAGCACACAACTTTAATGTCTGATTATAGAGAGTATAATTCACGCTAAGTGACAGTGTACGATGAAAGGATATCCGCATTAGTGCGATGCCTTCAGTACTTGGGTCTCTTGTATTCTGGAGTTCCCCTGAAAGGTAGAAATATCCCAGTTAAAGTGTTGGTGCTATTTAAATGGCACAATTATACTACTATGCTATCCATTAATGAAATCTCGTTCATTAATGAAATCTCGTTAAAAAAAACTAAGTTTCTTTTATTTTTTGAAGGCTGTGTCTCTATTGTAAGCACTTGAGGGCCTAGCAAAAGCTTTTGCAAAACACTTCCTATAGCATACCTCAAAGGCTGTCATTCACAACCACCCTGCTCTGAAGCTCCTTAAAGGGCAACTCCGCTTCATTTTTGATATATAGAAAACTATGTAGCCCTCTTCAGTATCACATAGGAAGACCCCATGTCAAATATTACGATCTAATTCCGTCTATATATTTAATAAACTGGCCAGCAAACCTTCAAGTGAGCCAAGTCGCCGAAATCTGCCAACTGTAGCGTGCGACGCGAGGCGCAATCGTCAGCGCAGTCAATGCGACGGAGTTGGAGCGGCAAACGTTGAGCCACTACGTCAGAGGCATGTGCAAGTCATTCTCACGTTTTGTTTGTTTTTACTTCTCAGAGCGAAATTGAACGATGACGTCATGAGTTTCTCCTCCCGGTGTTGGCTGACCGGGCGTTCACGTGGTCACCGCAACGCGGATGCGCTAGTTTGCGCTGCCCTTCGCGCTTATCGGTCTGTTTCTCCGCTCCCTTTCTCTTTCGTCTTCTCCCCTTCCCCCTCTCGCCCGGGCCGTCACCGTCCACTCCACGCGAAGCGACCTGCGCGTGTCGCGTGTCCTGTCCCTCGCCCCCCTCCCGAATGTCACAAGACCACATGGTTCAACGTGACGTGCCCATGACTTTGACCACACAAGACCAACGTTGCCTGACGCAACCGAAGTTTCGGTTTCGGTATCAGCTGGTGTTTAAATTAGGATTACACAAATAATATTTCACATTTCGCGAATCCGAAGACGTAGAGTTGTTTAGTAGTGCTTTGTGAAATGGAATCACATGTAAGCCTAAATTTTTCGGAATTGAGCGGAGTTGCCCTTTAACAAATTTATTTTCAGAAGTGGTAAGAAGTGGTCATGTTTATTTACATTGTATATGTGCAGATCAATATCAGATAGATGATGTAGCAAATATTGCAAAATGAAATCAGGACTTACAATCCCATGTAGCTCTCTCCCCCTTCGGCTTTTCGACGTGCAATGATCTGGAAACACAGAAAAAAAAAGTTTCTCTTAAAAAAAATACAGGTTCATAAGCCAAAGCTCCAATACATTATTAAAACTACAAAACATTTAAAGTTTTATTTTGATCTACTAACCAAACCGTCAATGCAGAATTCTGTCTTGCGAGCAACACAGCGGACGCTAACTCAAGTGTCAGCCTATCAGGCATGTGGCGCTGTGTCTAACGTTGCCACATCTTCCTATGGTACCATTTATTTTTTTAATTGTGCAGTTGGCGAAGTTTTTTTTTAAGCATCTCAGCGTCCTCCTCTTGCCTCCCGTTTTATTTTTTCTTCATTTGTCTTTTCTCACACAGATGCGTCGTATGGCCGGCAGAGCTCGCTCACTTTTTCAAGGTCAAATTGGAGTTAGCTCTAGTAAGAATGCAATTCTGCATTAATAGCACTCGTGAATCATGGCACTTCTCTGTGTAACACACATGTCCTGCGGGCAAATGCGCACTAATCCAGACTTCCACCATCTGTTGTGCAATGTAAATAAAGGTGCCTCAGATGCACTGAATGTTGCACCTGTCCAGCTGTTTATATGCCACAAAAATAAGTTTTATCTTCAGCTTCTATGCCGAAGGTAGAACTTATGCTGAAGCGCTCACCCAATTGAGTATGCAATAAAGCATAACAGTGCAACTCTCCAGATGCTTTACACTGTTAAGTCACAACACAGTTAATCCAGACCTTCTGGGTTTCACTAAATATGAAAACGCTGCAAATATTTCTGGTATAATACTCTGGGCCCGTTTGCTCGAAGCTGGTTAACTAACCGCGGTTAACCGGATTTCCCTACGATGGGGAATTTTGGGACACGTGACCGGCAGAGTAAGGACAGCGGGGAAACATGGCGGTGCCCCGGTGAGTGAGCGCCACTTGCTTTGGAACTAATACGTCGTAGTAGCTACAGTAACGGGCGCGTTAGTCAGCAATGAATGGTGCAGGAGGTTTTCGCGTTGCCTTACCTCACTTAAAACGCAAAACATGAGCAATGACCTCGCCGCATTTTTTAGATAGACTTGAGAATTTGGCCATTCCTAAGCCTAAATGAATGCGATAGTTGTCGGCATGGCAACGTCTTTGGAAAGTGGATTGCCTTGACTCAATCGGCCGGGTATTGATAGCACACAAAAGCAGAGAGCGTTCCCATAGACCTTTTGCTAAATTTAAAAAGCACTGGGGTGCATGCTACGAGTGTAGTTACACACGCTGCACCTGCTGGCGTCTGCAGTAATAACTGTTCTGAAGCAAAAAGCCTAAAACAAATTTTGCCGTGCACGCGGGTTTGTCAAAGGTTTATTATGATTATTTACTTCAAATCTTCTATAATTGGAAGGCCAGCGCGCGCGGATCGTAGAATTACACTTCCAGCGTTCTTCTCGATGTTCGGGTAATTTACTAATAGGTCAATTTTCAGTGGAGCCGAATTACAGGTTTTTCAATTTATGACGGTGTTACATACAGCTCGCTGGCCAACCATGCTGCCGGTGTACCGCCCGCCTTTCACTGCTCACTTCTTTCTTATCGTTTCTAGGACTGAACTTCGTCGTCCCTTTTGAACTCAGAAATATCAACGAGGCTTTTCTTCACTTCATACAGCCAAATATTTAGAAAATTTCCAAACAAGGGTTAATTTAGTTTTACCTTGCCGATTATTTGTACCACGAGCATTAAAAATTGTTTCTTAAGCTCAAATGTGTGCCGCGCTGCGTCGCGAAAACCAAGCAGCGCGCATTTTTTGGGTCCCCTCATTTCGGGAACCTTTTCACGGAAGCCACTTATATTCGCTACAGCCAGTAGGTGACAGCAGCTACCACCCCGTAATAAAACACGGAGCTATGGCTCATCCAGCCCTCGTCAAACTTGGCTAGGTACTTGTAGGTACCTAGTAGGGAAGGGCGGTTCTTTTAACCGCGGTTAAAGTTAACCGGCTTCAAGCAAACGGGCTCTGGTAGTCTTTCAAGGGCCAGCTGAACCTCGTACAACAGCACAAACCTCTCAGAAACATAACAAACAACAGTCTCATTGCATACATTCTGTTTTGACATATTCATAAGGCAGGTAGAAAATACCTCAACACATTTATCACATTCGATCAGTAGGGTTCATTCATCTCCGTATTTAGACTAGTTTCTCCTTAGAGACCACACAAGATGATACAAATGACCCGCAGTACAGAAAAGCATACATACACCCGGGCTGGTTAACATGGCACGACTGGAGAAAATGGAAGGGCCACCATTCGTTAAGCACACGCTCTAGCTTTTTCTCCCACCTGGTTGATCTTCTGAAGCTCCCGGTCAAGCTTGGCCTTGTCGTCTTTCTTCCCGACGGCGCGGCGGGTCTTGCGTCCGTCTGCCATCTTTACTCCGTACTGGAAAGCAGCCCTGGGAGCCAAACGCGGACGTTATATGGAAAGCCGCCGGCGTCCGGCACGTGACAAGAGACACTTGTGAGTCACTGCCAAACACGCTTTATGGCACATCAATGTGGAAAGAAAATCAAAGAAAATAAACCGTGCTGCGATTTTATGCGACAGGCCCGAGTACATCCCATGTGCCTTCCCTTCCTCCGATTTCCGAACCTGGCACGACAATTGTTATTATTGTAGTGGTCACACGGTGTCTTGAAATGCCCAACATTGATGACCCGTAATTGAATGTGCGCTTTCTTTTCCTTATTCCAACAATTTTAAATGTGCTATATATTACTATGGTCCTCGATCCTTCCAATCTCAAAGCACACCCATTTACTTTAAGTGGCAAGTGAAAAATGCCACTCCCATGGCCCCTCTCGGCGTTCTCACATTGAAGCGGATCAGGAGGCGATCGACTCCATTCGCAGTAATCCACACACCGAGAAATGTTTGACCAATAAAGTTACGCACTAATGCACGACCCAAGTGCACTACAAAGTGCTTAAAAAACTAATAATACAGTCTGCTCATGATTACAAGAAGATCTAAAAATAAATTTAAGACCCCAGAGGGCACTCGGGGTTTCTAGGAATCTGGTTCAAGAACTTGGGTCACTTCTCTGACACTGAAGTTCTATGAGCATTATTATTTACAAGGTATGCAGGCTTCTGCTCTGTGCTGTGTTGCATCAATTCCAGAAGCGATTCCTTGGCTATCTCTCGAGAGAAATGGAGGTTCCTCGAGATCAGAAAGTCTATCAACTCCTGAACTGATGCCACAAAATAATGAGCAGCCGTGTTAATCCATGGTAGTCGCGGCGACAGCTGCGACACGTCACGGAGAAGTCGTTGGGCATTGGCATCGCGATCACTCGCAGCGGAGTGCGTGAACAAAAGTGTGTGGAACAAAATGGACATCTAACCATTTCGTTCCAAACACTTTTATTATTATTCTCTTTTTTTGTTCCAGAGCACGTGAAAGTGTGTCGCTTGGCACAAGCTTTTAGCATTGACAGTGCTACAACATTTTGCTATCGGCTTTTTTTTTTAATTTTTTCCGGAGGGCGTGTGCAGTGGGTGTTGGGTACTACGAAAACCCTATATATAAAAAAACGGGTTATTAACGATGTGGCGTAACTCTGTGGTATAGCAGCGGACCCAGCCGGTAAGAGTTTGTGGAAACGCTTTGTGTGGTAATGCTTTACCTTTGTAGTAAGTCCCTGCACGCGGTGGACCCAGGTTTGATTCTCACGGGCGACGGGCAATCTTTTTCTAGGATTTGGCAAGATCGACGATGAACACCCTATGCCTTACTACGGCAACAACAGCATCAACTACATTAACATCTACAACGGACATCATTTCCAGTGGTGGAAAGAAAAAGTAACAGCTACCATCGTAAAACAGCCGTAAACACAAGAAAAATACGAAAGCACCAGCCCCACTGCAAGCAGGGCGGTTTGTGTACAGTTACAGAAGGATTTCCATCGGTCGTGCTCACTTTGGAAGGGCTTCCTTGTGGCTCATGTACTCGCTGTACTCCTCCTGCGTGTCGAAGTCCCACCGCCCGATGGGTCCCTTCTTGTTTCCCTGCAAGGTGCGGACGGAGTCGCCCGATTATTTGATGCACGACTCACTCCGGGTCAAACCCTCGTCGGCTTGTGACGCGCTAGTGAGCAGACCTGTCCTTCCTTTTAGGCGGGGAGATAGATAGACGGCTTTTCCAAAGCTTGGTATAGGCTGGAATTCAGGGACTGCATGAAAGTAGGCTTACGAATACTTAAGTGTCAACAACATAAAGATCTCTAGCGACCCTAGACTCGTCAAGAACAAAATTGAGGCCGAAGTCTACAGAGTGAGCCAACTGGACTTGCGTGACGCCGCCACCACGCTTTTGTCATCGAACTTGAATAGGCATGCTCTGCGAACTTGTGGCTTTGACTTTGCGTTTGACGAGCCTAGAGACCAGGGCTGCCTGAAAAAAAAATATTGACAGCTCACTGCGAAAATAAGTTATGCATCGTCGTACACTGTCTCTGCCCAAAATATAGCAATTGCGGTATGAACCAAGGTGTCGGGACTTGCCGTTAACTAGTTCAAAGGTTATAAACAATTTTCGAGAGGTTTTAATGAAAACAAAATGAAATTCGTTTCCAGTACACAATGCCACTTATCTACATGAATTCGAGGTCTTTGTAGGCCGCCATTTTCTCATTGGAAATTTCTGAAATTCGGTTATAACCTTTGAATAAGATAATAACGAGTTCTGAAACCTTGGCACCTGGCTCAGACCGCTTCGGCTACACTTTGGCGGAGACTCGGCATAAGGTGATGCATAGTTTACCTTTGCGATAAAAAAAACTACATTTTTTTTTCCCCCAGGTGCTTGCAATAGGCATGCTAAAAAGTCTTTCTTTAAGAGCACCGATCTCCAAGACCCTTCCAGAAGTACTTTTTTTTCTTCTTCTCTTAATGTAAACAAAAAAGTGATTGTTTGGCACCATGCGAAACAGCTGAAAAGATAGCACGAAATTTAGAGCACTTCTATCATTTGCAGCCCTGAGTGTCACCCAGATGTTACAGATTTAAAAGGGGAACATTTATGGCCAAACAGAGTAATTAAACTGTCAAATATAAAAAAAAAAACTCTGCAAAACAATCTCTTACACGCTGTGACATATCTGCCTCAGAGTACTTTTTTGAAAGTAGAAAAGGGCGCAAGAATTTGTTTAAGGGGGGGACACTAGCTAGAGATCTAACTTCTGAACTACTCCAGTGATCACAATGAAATTCGCAGGGGAGATTTAACATCAGATGTATGTGTACAGTGCAAACTTTCAGCTCTCTAGGATAATTTTACATGCCTGCCTAAGAAGATGTGTCACTCTTCGTTAAGAAATCTATGATATGCAAATAAAGCTATTAAGCACCATTTTGACTGCTTGAATAGAACTTGGGGCTATCCAGTTTTCTTAACTGAAATGTGAATAGTACTTCAGGAAGAGTTACCTAAAAAATGAGATGCATATCTGTCCTATGTTAATTTTTTTTAAACTTGTTTTTTTCTCAATGAGGACTTCAATTTAAAACAAAACAAAGTAAATAGCCCGATTCCCCAGTAAATTTCAGTTCAAAAACATCTTAATTGTGGTATCAGAATACTTTTACCTTCGAACAAAAGATTCTCTCATACGAAATTTGCAGCAAAATGTGGAACTGAGAAAAATGCATTCAAACATTGAACTCCTTTACTTTCTTACCGCCTCACACTGCTTTGAAAATATTTTATATCAACGTAACTATTTGGTGCATAGTTATAAAATGTAGTGAAAGGGTATATAATTAGTTTCTGAAACCAAAAACCTCAAATTTGAAAACTAAACTTTTTCAAAAAATTTTGAAATTTAGGCTTATGTGGTGCTAAAAGGTGCTAAAAACAGCAGTCTGCAAGTTCCAGGCAAGATGCGACTTGGGGCCGAACCATAAACTTAATTTAGAAATAGCATATTTTAATAGGTCGCCCCTTCACCATACTAGTAGTGTGACAAAAGGCAGTGGTAACGCAGAATGTGATGTGTTAGTGTGGAGAAACTGTGTGTGGAGAAACTGGATGGAGCGCAGCGGCCCTGTGTCGTGCAAGATAAGCGCGCGAGCGCACCGTGGCTGTCTTACTTGGGGGTGCCATCTGCCGTGGTTGCGGTGTAAATGCACTAGACTGGCCGTGTGGAAAACAAAACAGCTGGAACGCGGCAGCGCCAAGCTGAGCCCTGGCGCCAGATCGCAGCAAAAGCAAACCAAACGATCACGGCAAAGTGAGCGTCTTCTTTCTCTTCTTTCGTTCTGCTCTCTCTCGCACTCTTTCTTCTTTGGAGAAGAGCCGCTGTATGTCTGAACACGTGATGTGTTTGCACCGTCGGAAGTTACACGGAGGCACTCAAGAGAGAACTTCGGCTGGCGTTGGTGTTCATTCAGCGAGGAGACAAGCGCTGCATGAGCGCTTGGCTGACAGTCGGCCTGTCGATTTTTGTTGCTGGCAGCTAACCGGATATGGCTAGGCACCAGCCATATAAGGAGGATTCTGCGTTTTCAGAGTTTCTTTTTGTCAAATTCGAAGGGTGTTTTTCGGAGTTTATTTTTACCCTAAAATTCTAGTTTATTTTTGTTTCATTTCTCATTCCCCGAAATCCCGAACTTAATTTTAGTGCTTCCTATTTTTGTTTAAAATAAAAATAAATAATAGCCAGGTGTAAACGTGTGCTAAAAACCGGAACAGTGGCTTTTGTCGCGACGCGGCAGTACAATGACCTGTTGTCCCGAATGAACCTCGACGAGATAAGCGGGAAGATCCCTTCTGTCAACAGTCCAAGATTTGAAAGAAAACTGGTGTGGCATTTTCTCAAGACCATTGACCCTGTGTGCTGAACAAACATAAAGGGCAACTTTGGTCGAAAACAAAACCAAAATGAATGACTGGCATCGCTTAGTAGCATGAAATATGACCACAGCCGAAATATTAGCTCAAGGTGAAGCCGTGTACTCCACTAAAACCAATTTTAAGGACGTGACCAGCTGCTCCTTAGCGGGCGGCAAGCGGGTTAGCTTTCAGTCGAGGAACACTGGTGCAGCACCTTTGTGACGTCACGTCGTGGCGGAGCTGCAATCGATTGGTTGTACTGCGTACCATAGCACCCACCCTTGACACCATACGTACGGTCACAAGGGTGCTGCATATGGTACCGTGTACTGCAGCACCCTTGTGATTTTACGGCTGATGATCAGTGTTGCCATCCCTTGTGGGAGTAAATCTCCCACCACGGCCAGAGGCCGCTGCCGAATGCCCAAACTTGACAACGGCCGAGGCGCGCAATAGCGCACGTATAGGACAGGCACAAAAGCCTATAAAAGACACACGCCCATAGAGAGGAGAGGACGGACCATGGCCACGGAGGCGTGCAGTTGGAACGCTCCGGCAATGTTTTACGTTGAACTTGATACTAACAATCCATTCCTGTTACTTTAATAAATGTAGTTTCTTGTTTTGGAAACCCCGGCTCCGTGTTGTTCCTCCCGGATGGGCATGCAGCAAGGCAACCCCACCACACCCTTTAGCAGATGGTTTCGGTTTAGCAGTAGACGCCTGAAACCAAACTTTGAACCGCGATAATTATAAAACTACCTACGCACAATAGCGAGAGAAACAAGATGATACCTTCTAATTCAGGGACACGGGTTTAGCTGAAAAGGTTCGTAATCCCAAATTAAAAAATATTAACCAGAATTGCCCTTTAATCGTAAAATACCATTCTTTTTTTTTTTTTTTTTTTCATTGGTAAATTGAAATTTGGAATCAATCGGATAAATCTGAATTTACGAAAATTCTACAGGCAGGTGTTTTTCGGATTCATTAAAAAAACATGGAACCCTACATATAACACAGTCTGTGTTAAAAATATTTGCCAATGCTAACTCATCTATGATAAATATTCCATTTAGGTTCGGTATGCATGCTGAGGAAAATTTGACTTACAAGATCCATCTTGGTGTAATCAACCTCGTCGTCACTGTCTGCTACGGCATCTTCGTTTTCAGGAGCGCTGTTGGAAAAATGGTTGTCTCTGCATTTTTGATCTCGAAGATTAACACTTGCTTTGGAACACAGACTCTCGAAAGAGCTCTCAAGAATCTGCAAACTCTCGACGAAGCCAGTTCTTTTTTTTTTTTACAGATTTAGCTACTTTACTTTTTTTGATACTACGAAATGAAGTTCCAACTGGCTAACTGAGAGTAAGCAAAAATATGAGGAAGACATTACGAACAGTTAGAGAAAGCAAATTAAAGAAGCTACACAGGCACACGAATTCAGAAAACACTTATTCAGGAAAAGTCTAGGATCAATTCAATCGTTGCTTTAGGGAAGACTAAGCAGAGAGCTGTCCACAGTTCAATGTAGGCTGGGGGGGGGGGGGGGGGGGAGGGGGGGACAACACTAAACAAAGCTAAGCTAGGTTCGGCAAACACGTAGGGAGAAAACAACAGAAATACAAAGAAACAGCAGCAGAAGTATTGGGAATATGAAACGAAGTTCGGGCAAATATTAGCGAAAGTACAGAAGAAGACAGGACGAGTCTTTTGAAAAGATTAGACACAAATCTGCAGAGAATGTGACAAGTGTTTGCAACCTAAAGACACCATAAAATATTTGGGAGAGATGCAACGAAGGGTAGGAAAGAAAAGTCAGCCGAAAATAAGAAAGCAGCGAGGCACCAAAGCTGCAGGACAGATTCCCTAACAAGATGCACAACAAAGTAGACAAGGTTACGAGAGAAACCGAAAATGCACGACAGGGTTTCGGGAAGCATCCAACAAATCGTGACAGGGGTTCAACGAAGCTTGGGCACCCGATTTTGACTGAAACACGAGCTATCCTCTCTCCCTATCTCTTGTCGGACAAGTCAAAGAAACCTCTAAACAGGGCAAGAAAAAAACTAAAGGAACCACAAACCATTTTTTTTTTTTTCACTTTGGCCAACTAGCTTTCAAAATAAACGCTGCATGGTTCACACTTTTAACGTCTGACTACGATCAACTGAGTTGCCGCTGCCTGTTGCCACTTATAACGGCAGTATGATCTCTCGTCGCAGGCAGTTGTAATGTGGTCAATCGCACTCAAATGCTGATGTGTAAAACGGCCTCGAGGATTTTAAAGAAAGGCTTCGTCCGTACCCGGGGTAACACTCGGCGTAGCTTTCGGGAAGGTCTCGCTCCAGCTTGCTGGTGAGCTTGGCCTTTAGCCGGCTGCCATCGTCCCGCATCTGCGCCGGCACGGCCGCCACTGCGGCAGCCACCGCGCTGGCGGTATCGGCGCTGGACCACCGGGAGTCGTGGCCGCGGTGGGAACGAAACCCGCGGTCCCGCTCATCCTCCAGGCTGGGCTTCTCGAAGTACGAGGACCGCTTGCGGTCCCGATCGTGGTCTCGGTCGTGGTCTCGGTCCCGGTCCCTCTCACGATCCCGGTGGTCCCCGTCACGGCGACTGTGTTCCCGGTGCTTGCTCGACCGCTCGGCGCTGGCCGCGGGTACGTAGTCACCTATTTCGCCGAAGATGCTGCGGCGAAACGAAAGCAAAGTTTTTGACGCACTGAAAATTTGCAGGTGGGGTATCTCAGCATCTAGGGCAGACAGAAATATAAAGTTTTTTGAATATGTAGCTAAATGTCTGAAGCATACAATGTTAAAAGCAGATTTTTTAATATAGATCTAGGAAATTTTTCAATTTATCTTTTGCTTTATTACTTGTTAGCCACACATTGAGCAGTGAACTTCAATGCGTGGTAAAAGCACTAATAATGGGTTAATCTTAAAAGTACTTTCAACATTGTATTTTTTACACTTCATAGTATCCAGCTATGTGCTATAAGGGATATTTAGTTAGGCAGTTTTTCCCCTATTGTTACTCCAAACAAAGGCAGGCACGTTTGATTTACCTTGAGGACAATTCTACTGACTACTAAGAAAATGATAAGACATTTGAAATCAGCACAAAAAGCTGAACAAGCTTGTGCAATTTTATTGAGGCTGGTAATAAAAAAAAAGCTCCAAAACCAATGTTCTCCCTTAATAATAACCGAAGGAATAAAAGTTATTTGCAAAAAGTTAGTACTAAATACTTACTTTTGAAGGTACTTGTAAGATACTGAGTTACTCCCAGAAGTATTCATGATAGTAGACTCTAATAATTCAAAAGCCAGGAAGCCACAAATTTTGTTTGAATTATCCGAAATTCATCTAAATATCATGCAAGATTAAATTATGATTTGTTGTATGGATGGCTACACATACAAAGCAGGTATCTGATGATTTCCTCTCCACAGGTCTACTAATCATAAGCAGGTATGCCACACATGAAACATTGATGAAATGCATGATAAGTTTATCCATAATTTAAAAATGTTGTCTATCGTGGACAGTTCAGACAGTGCATGACACCTCAAAACAAAATTAAGTTTGTTCCCGGTCGTATTTTCAGCGCCCAACAAAATGTCGCGATTATGCAGGAGAATTAATGATCCACAACCGATAACTGACCCGTGCCATACCAAGCACAGGAATAAGTACACTGATTGCGCAACCGCTGTCGTTTATGAAATACCAATGGCGTGTGGTTTAAGCTATGTAGGGCAGACTGGAAGGTGTATTAATGATCGGGTCCGCGAGCACGCCGCTTCAACTAGAACTACACCGTCAGGGCATTTGGCTGTACATTGCAAAAGATGCACTTGCGACCCATCATTTGACAGCACTAAAATATTGGCGAGGTACAGAAACAAAGTGTCACGCGAGCTTCACGAGGCATTTGAGATTAGGAGAAGGGGTAAAAAATGCATTAGCGATACATCATTGGCTCTGTCTACGAATGAGTTTGAATATTTGAAACGTGGTCTGGGCGGAGACTAACGTGACGTGTGGTGTCTGATAGTGTGCTCCCATTGGTATATAAGTTTGTGTTTTTTCCTAATAAATTCAGTTGAGAGTGCGCCCTGTGTCGTTGTCAAGCTACTCTTTGTCCGTGTTTTTTTGGCGCTTATTTTCCCACGATGTACCAACTGGCCCATCTAAGCATTTTATTAAGTTTGTTCATCCAGCAAAAAAGTTGTCTACGTTGAGTGCACTTTTTACCGAGCACCGATACCCGCAGAAATGAGCTCCGCAGGTGTTGCTTCTCCTCAGTGCACTAGTGCTCAGAAAGAAGCGTGCTCAAACGGGGCCGCAAGAACAAAAAGTATGAATTTATATGTAAAAGCCGTTTGAATGATAAGCAGATTATAAATATACATTGAAAACATAGTGGGACAACCAAAATTTTGAAACTTGTTCGAACTAACCAGAGACATGAAATAACTGAGTCTGAACTGCTTTAAGTTCCGTAGAAGTCTACAGTCATTGATAACAAAACAGGGCGTGGCTTAAACAGAATTAATCTATCAAGATCTCGAAAAGAATATATAATAGAGTAAGCTACTTCTGTTTTAAAAGGACCAAGAAACAGTGTACACATTGTTAAAAATATAAACTATGTGTATTGATCTAGTATGAGTCCTGTCCAAACCTGGCAATATATAAAAAAGATGACTAAATCGCGTATCTAAATCTGCTCCAGTTCATCCTAAGGTGAAACGGAGTACACCGGCCAATGCCAACAAGCCCGACGAACGTCTGTCTATTCTAGTGTGCTTTTTTCATAACTCACTGAGGTCAATCAATTTACCCGCCCCTTCTGCACCAGTAGCACTTGGTGCAGATCGCTGCATTTGATTTAAGAGTGCAGTCTATCTGAAGAGATAAGTGGAAGTACATTGCCCTGGACTTTTCTGCACCGCACTACGCTTTTCTGCATTGAGGTGCTACGCTTTTCTGCAGTGACGCAGGCCAATGCAGGCAAATCAAAAAAGCCCGTCGACAACGTCCAAATACCCCCGCTTCTGTGGCCTACCTGTCGTCTGCTGGCTTGGCGGGCAGCTTCTCCTGTGGCTTTCCTTTGTCCTTGTTCTTTTTCCCCTTGCGGTTGTGGAGTCCTTGACGCAGGTACGACAGGATCTGGGTCAGCTTGTTGATCACTATGTCGTTGGTCGTCAGTGTGGTGTGGCTCTGCGGGCGACAACGGCCAATCAGCAAGCTTAAAGGAAACAATGTCGAACTGCAGTCTGAAGTAGCTCTCTCATCAGCAGTGACCTCCAAAGCGGCAGCAGGGATCGAGGCTTCACATTAGTCGCATGGCAGAGCTATACTGCGGGACGCTGTTAGCACAAACACGACGTTTGTGCATTTTTACATTTCACTTTTACAGTATATCACCGGGCAGAAAGGTTAATCACTCAGGATTAAAGCTCTAATAAGTAATCTTCATTACATTAGTAGTCTTGAAGACAGCAATTCAATTATAGGTGGAAATGAAAATAAATAAGAATTGCACGTTCATGACAACAGTGTCGCACTGTGTACGTGTATTAGCTAACGATTGAAGTTTTGTGATTGTCTAGTCGAAGTTACGCTTCAGTGACGAACTGAAGTGGACATTTGGTTCATCACGTGCTCACTAGACTAGGAACACTTGGATCTCACGGCTGAGAGAGCTGCATCTCCTGGTAAGGGCTGTCCTGTCCAAGAGATGCAAAACTGATGAGGGCACACAACTGGGAACCACATGCCTGAAGGTGTGCGACTATCACTATACGATTGTGGTGCTGACAAAAGTCGCATCGCGCGTCCGATGTCACGAGACTTTGTCACGCAACGGAGGTCCCATGACAAACTTTACGAAGTCGAGAAAGTGAAGTCATGCGACAGACACAGGAAGATCGGAGATCAGGAGTCACGGTTACACCACTGAAATCGTTTGCAAGAGCCAATGCAAAATAGTTGTTGCCAAAATTGCTGGGCAAATTGTCGTTGAAATGCGATGGCATTTTGTGCCGTCTTGTACTGCGTAAATGTTCCTTTATTTAACATGCTTAGAAACCGCTGCGGAAATTCCAGGTATATTTTTGTCAACATCCGTGTAGTCTTCTATCACATTTGAAACTAATTCGGACAATTTTCTGATCCGTCTACCTCTCGTGGATGGGCCCCCCGTGATCAACCAACAACTTTTGTTGTAACATTACTGCAATTAAAATATAAAGTACAAAATAAATAAATAAATCTCTCTTACTATATGTATATAAACATAATTAGTCCCTAGGTAACTGTATTTTCCGTTCAGGAGCTAATAAATTGTATCAAGTTCATCAAAAACATTACCCCCTGTATGCATAACTATCCGTATTACCTGTCTAGTTGGTTACAAACCGACATAAAAAGATAGAAGTGCGTGGGTTCACTCAGAAATGCTACTGCATTTAAAAAAGTAACGATGCCAAAATCGCTGCAGTCGCTACGCTGATTCTCGACAAGATGCATTAACATTTAGAGCAGGGGTTTGCTGTCTTCGGGGGGGGGGGGGCCAGTTTGTTCTTCCTGGCGTCAACGGTTTTGAATGAATCCACCACAGCTTTTAGAGGAGCGCACATCAATGGCGGTGCATCATTACAAGTATGCGAGAAGACTTTCCCTCCTAAGTAAGAGGGAAAGCAGAGCAAAAGTAGGAGGGAAAGTCGACTGCATGCACAGGGGAAACAAATGCAAACATATTTTTAAAATGGTCGCGAGACTGTGAAAAGCTACCGTAAAATACCGGGGGAGTGCCCACCCCACTTTCACTGAAGACTTGGTTAATCTAGGCGTGGGCACTTGTCCGGTCAAGTTGGGCGCTTAATGTATAATTTTCCGAATTCCCAAATTTGAAGACTGTTAATAGTGGGCGCTTCCGCGGCATTTTACGGTCTAACCGAAGGAAATGACCACCTCCAGGTTGGGGCAATCCTTCTTGCTGCGGATCAGGGTGGTTGGGATGTCACTCTCGGCGTACTCGTCCTCCAGCTCAATGACGTAGGCCATCCGGTTGGGCAGGAACAGGTCGTTGCGCTCCATGATCCGGGGCCGAAACACCTGGCGGTAGATGTTGCGGCCTGCGCAGGGACAACGATGGGTCTGGCGGACTGAACACTTTGGCTCGCCGGGTGAACAATTGGAATAAAGTTACGAACCCCGGAAGATGTCTGCAATGCACCCGGGAAGTGTAGCCTACTAAATAAACTTTCCTAATAGCCACGGTCCTACTTTTGCGTTAAAGATCAAAATACAGTTTTTAGGACGTAAAAACGAAGAACAAAAGTTTCAAAATGTGCTGGCACGAGAATCGGCCTGAAAGAAACGCTTTCTCTGACGCATACTTTCTCGTTAGAGCACGGGTTCTCAAGTTGGGTTCCTAGAAACTTCAGGGTTCCACAAGTACTTTCAAGGTACCACGAGTACCCTCATGGTACCCTCAAGCTTCCAAATTTCCTCGACCGCGCATTACCACAAAGCGAAGAACTTTTTGTTTTTTTCCCTGTTTGAGCATTATTTTAACAGACCTGAGCCACTCGGTGATGCATAACTAAAAGTCAAACAGTCCCTACTGAGTACATTATTGTTTAAAAGGTTTGTTGCTTCCGTACTGCTTTATTACATCAATGCCGAGTCCAGAGGGAGTTCCTCGGTCATTAAGCGAGAGATAAAAGCTGTTCAAGATAGAAAAGTTTGATAACCCCTGCATTAGAAAAAAGCACCACGAGCCACACCACTGGCAAGGTGCGCCGTTTTACTGTGGTATACATATGCTGCGGGGGAAAGCTAACTTCATCTAGTCGTTTTCTTTTATACAAATTTTGCATCCTTTTGGTTCAACAGCTTGACAAAATTACTGAAACTTCAAAACTTTCTAGAAACCAAAGCACGATGCGCGAGGCTGACGCACAAGCAGTCCCAAGTTAAGCAAGATAAGGGCTCTTACCGAGAACAGTCTTGAAATGAATCTCTTCTTCTTGAGGTTCATCGCTGCCGGAAAAAAAAAAAAAAGAACCGAGCAAATCCGACATTAATGTTGCGTCGTCCGTGAGTATTGTGCCAGTAGCTAGGGGGGGTGGGGGGGCCACAATGCATCGACAATGCATCGCCATGGTAGATATCTAACGGATGCGGTGCGGATAAATGCCAAGCAAGAACAACTCTGTACTCACGTGTGTCGCTCCAGTGTCTCCTCCAACTCCTCGTCTTCTTTTTCCTTGTTTGTGATCTCACTCCGAACCTAAAGAAAAAGTAATTTACACTCAAGTTCAACTGTCATCTGAAGACAATCCAATTATTATATATTTAAGGCAGCAAATACAGCAGCAATACAAAGCTGCTATATAAAAAACAAGGTTAGTGTCTTCCTATCTCTGTAGGCATTATTCAGGATACAACCAGCTTTTCACACTGAATGTAGGAGGCTCTTGATAAGTAAGTTGGGAAGTATTGAGATATTAACTCAAAGGTGTGCCTCACCATCTTTTCTTAAGCTTAGTACGGTTCTAATTTCGATTGTAGGAAAGGGCAAGATCCATTGGTCCTTTGTTCCTTTCTGCTCATTTATAAACTGCTTTGTCAAATCAATCGCAGCTGTATCCCAGCCTCCCATTAGTCTGTCCTTCCTTCTCACACACACTCATGTCTTGGGTTAATGCATCGACATAGGTATTGCTCTGCTGCTCTAGTCAGATTTGTTTCACTCCTCCGATTTTTTCTATAGTTACATGCCCCCCCCCCCCATATTATCTTAACTAACTCCGCTTCAAAACTAGTCATCAAAAAGTTTATGGCAAATTCCTAGGCAATTGTGTTGTATACATGAAACGTTTTCGCGTCACAAACATTTAGCGACACTCCTAGTTTCCAGACATCAGACGCCTACCGTAAAATACCGGGCAAGCGCCCACTCAAAATATAGAGATAATTGCAAAAAAGGGGGATGGGCACTTGTCCGGTCATCAATTTTACAAATTAAATGTACTGTGCATATTTTCTCAGATCTTAGAAATTTGGACATGGGCGCTTAATGTGGAATGGGCGGATGCGCAGTATTCTACGGTACGTTCACGGCGCTCTTGATCGGATAGTTAGACGCGTACCATATGTACACTTGACAGTTGTTCCAAGAATGAAGCGCCACTACCACTAATCGGGCTGATAAACCTTGCGATCTTCCAGAGCCTTCCATACTCGCGAGCTTTTCTCCCTCAGCGCGCACAGGTGGTCCAGCTTCTCCTCGCCTACCTCACTCCTCCTCCACCACCCGTCAAACAATCAGTGGCGAGCCTTATGGCCACGCTTTTATCTGGGCATCACGAAATGCCGAACACTTAGCCTAAGAATGTTTCACGCTAAAAAATAGACGACAGAATCCGATCGACGAAACGTGCGTCACAGAATCGGTGACAAATCCGGAGACTCTTTCAAGTGCCCTAGAACATGTCCCTTTGTTTCAAGTGTTCCTCAAATGAGAGGCCATTTAGTGAGAGCATGGTGCAAAGAGTGAGTCACCCACCTTCTGCAGCAGGGCATAGTCGAGACCCTTCACCAAGTGAGTGTGCTCCATGTCACCACCCAAGAACTTGGACTCCTGGATCATCTGACGACGTCGCTCGGCCGCATCCAGACCACTGCCGCGAGCAATTGTTGTCTCGATTGACAAGGCGTAACAACTGAGCCCGGCCGCGGCTATTCAACGACTTTATCTTCGCGAGCTCAATATTTCGCGATACTTGCGGATTGCGTGACTTGTGAATATTTCGTGGACACGAAACATCGCGACTGGGATTGGTATGCCATGTATTCATTACTGCAGGGGGATATATTTGCATTATCAATTTTTTACAGTAATACTGGGTCTGAACCTCACTAACTCCATATCACATTGTGAGACAAGTGAACTTGGACACGAGTGTAAGGGGAAAAAAATGTGATTTCCACGCTAAAATATCAAGAGTAAAAGCAAGCTATGTTGTTTTTCTTCTTTCTTTTCCTTGGAAAGTTTTCCAACTTCATCGTGATCAAGCCGGGTCCGAACGGTTCAGGGCACGGGACGGCCAAGTGTGGCTCTCAGGTTAGACACGAGTACTGTGCCACCGGTCGGCTTGTGTTGGCCAATATTCGGCTTTGCGTTAGTGTGGTGACAAAAACTCAAAATATTTGAAAGAAAGCACATGTTCCAAGCATTGCCAACCGACAACCGTGGCAAACGTCTGTAGTACAAGCCGACTAAACAATACCCGACAGGTTGTTCTGGCTGCGAGTCGAGGAGCTTAAAGCTGCTAGATTTTTTTCTAGTGTTTTCTGGAACAGCTAGAGCCTGGAGTTAGAAAATGCATGCATGCCTTATATATTACAAAGGTTGCAGACCATGTCAGAACAGTGTTCCTCTAAAACGATAATGTTACAAAGACGGCGGCAAACGTTTTCATGAAGAACGGGACACAAATGCGCGTCGTTCTTGTTCTGGCGATTCTGCCGTTTCAGTACCTGTCACTGCTCTTGTTCCCCCACAAGATCACCATCAAATTTTACCTTATAATTAGGATTCCATGTTTTAGGAGTTTATTTTTCGAGAAATTCAAAAGGTGTTTTTCGGAGTTAACTTTTGTTAAAGTCTCAATTTTCGAAAATTTGGAGTTTAACATTGCTGTGTTCCCAATTGCTAAAAATTAAAAAAAAAAAAAAAACATATTCGGATATAAAAGTACACTAAGTTCATAAGAACTCGCCTGTATCAAATAATATTTCTCCTGTTGGATTCGACATTGTCGCCCATTTCAAGTCAAAAACTCCTGGATGATGTCACTTGGAAATTATTTTCCTTCCTGTCCCATTCCACCACTCTGCCTGCTGCACAAGCTGGAGCGATTTCAGCTGCCCCTACCTCTCCAATGAAATGTATCAGTTCACAGCTTTTAGTCTTATAAAACAGAACCTCCAGGAAGCCCAAATTGTAGGGTCCAAAGTTGAAACTGAAACAGTGGCTTTTGTCGTGGTGCAGAAGTGAAATGACCTGTTGTCCTGAATGAACCTCTGAGCAGATAAACAGTATACGCCCTTCTGCTAACGGATTGAGATTTGAAACAAAACTGGAGTGGCCTCTACTCAAGATCACTGACTGAACGTACATCAAACTTATTTGTAGATTACCATCGTTTCTTTTTCGTTTTCTTTTTAAATAAAGTGACCTCGAAATTTGGAGTCTGGTGGATTTTGGACTTATCCGGAGACGTGGAAGCCTGCTTGTAATCACCCTCATAAATGGTGGGGGTGCCGGGACATTTAATGGTCCATTTGAGCTCAGAGTTTTTAGACTTACGACTTTGCATCCGGAGCAACTGCCCTGTAGCCTGCTGTTGACGAGAGAGGGTCTTCATTTTGGTAATCAGGGTTAGCACCCTCTCTTCTCTCGCGTGCCTAAAAAAAACAGAAAAAAAAAGGCAATTATTTGTGTTACAGAAGCTCATGATCGACACTTCAACAAGAATATAAACTAAGAAAAGTGTTACCGATCACCTTAATAGTATAGAGAAAAACCAAGTCCACCTAAAAACTAGACCTGGAGCACCTTACAACCACTGTTCTTGCTAGAAAACAGTTCACGTGTTCGGAAACTTTGTAAACAAAATGTATACTGAAAAAAAAAGGTTGGATTATTGAACTTACTATGATCCACCAATGCATAGCTGGTTGAAAGCTGTCTGAAGGAGTGGTTTCAAAGTTAAGGTTGAAGGGGAAGGGGAAATAGATGTTTTTTTGTTTGTTTTTTAAGCTTAGTTTTAGGAGTGATGCATTACAATATTATTACTCGCCTAAGGGGGCACTGTGAAAGGAAGTACAACTCTGGAATTCCAATTACGTTGTTGAAGTCCCAACGAAGCCAAATACAAATCCACATCATCCCACCACAACTTGGCTGGCACTCCCATGCACACTAAAAAGCTTACTCTATCTCTGTATTTTTCAGCAAGCTCGGCAAGCTTGTCTTCCTCCTGCTTCTTGAGGGTGGCGTAGAATCTAGGGATAGAAGATCAAAGAACCCGCAATAAGTGGCAAATCTTTACGGTAAAAATATGCTTATTCTGGTGCGTTCACTGCACGCCCATGCTATTCACACATCCGGCTTGATGAACTAAAATGTCTAGGCACACTTTAAGAGACACAAGATAAAGACAATGCTTGCATTAATTACATTTTAATGTTAGACAGCGTGAACAAGACCCTACAAGTCCTATAACGTTTCAGTTTCTTTTCTGTTTTCCTTTTTCACGTCAAGGAAAGTGGTTGAAAAGGAAAATGAAGATGGTGCATCAAATCACAAAACTCACTTTTTTTTCTTGCGGCGCATGTCCCCCTTGTCATCATCTTCGACTGTTGGCTTGCTGAAAGAAAAAAAAAAGAAAGAATAACAAGTATGTGTCTTTGGAGATCTCCAAAGACATATCAATGTTCAACCAGTTTAGCCGACAGCATCATACATACCTGTAGGTCTCTTCTTTAGCAGGTGTTGGGGTAGCTTGCGGAGGTGCCCGCGGTGTCATAATAAGCTTTCGGAAGTCATCGTTTGTCATGGGGTGGTGGTGACTGTAAGGTGATACATATTAGTACGAACGATCGCAGACCACTGCGGAACTGTAGCGTTACAGCTGTGGGCAGTAGGTCAGTGCGACAAACTGGAATGTTTAGAGTAACTTACCTTTCCGAGGAAGGAACATTTAGTCCCGGAGGGGCTATGGGGTTGGTGTAGACCTCCCCACCTAAAACACAAGTGAGTTATGAGTGATTTGTTTTCTACCCTAGTTGCACCGATCTTGGCAAATCAACAGCATCATAATGCAGGGGGGCTAGTGCTAACACCACGGTATATGATTCAATGACCCACAAAGCTAGCATTCGACAGTCTTACCTTCTTTTTCGGGCATTATGATGTCTTCTTACGCTGTCGCGTTCCTTGCAAAAACCTGTGTTACGTTTTCACGCACACTAAGTGGACACGAAAATGACGTTCGACTCAATAATCAACAAACGCCATCTTGTACTTGCTGATTGGATCATGGATTGGATTGGATTGGATCCCCACACACAGAGTAGGGTGGCTACACAGAGATCATACATAGCCTGCGGCCAGTTCATTTTTCTTGCATTTCAAAAACAGGTTACTTTTAAACATTAAAACCAGTATGTTTGCAGGTTTCTGACCTGTGATCGCAATAATGAATCTGGTTCGAAAAATCGATGGATCGAAACCAAAACAAATAGTATATAAATTATGTAATCATCATCATCATCGTGGACGACGGCCATTGAGAGGATCGGCATTTTTGGGCCAGTCCCTCGATCTTTGAACGGGCAAAATTTATTAATTACGCGCTAGTTTCCCGCTAAGATGGCCATGGAAGTTGACGAGGACGTAGACGCCGACCAGTCGGAGCTGCCGACATCAACGAGCTCAGCCCGTGGAGACAAGAAAAGGTTCGAAGTGAAAAAGGTACTACGTTCGCATAGAACGACGCAGTTCGCACAATTTTTCGGATTTCATGTGAACTCGGAAAGCTTATTGGTCTGGTCACTACTGTATTAACTAATGTATCAAGTTTCAGTGGGCCAATTCATTAACCGTCGTTCCCCTTCTGTCTTTCCAGTGGAACGCAGTCGCTCTGTGGGCATGGGGTAAGTCTTAAAGAGGCCGCATTGCGCTGTAACTGAAACAAAGACCTTGCGTCTAGTCAAACCATTTGGTACTAAATGGCTGCTCTAATTTCTTTTTCCCCTGCAGACATTGTAGTGGACAACTGCGCCATTTGCAGGAATCACATCATGGACTTGTGTGAGTGGCGAGTGCACCCTTGGCGGTGCGATGTTTTTGTGCTGTCAAATTGGCTCTGGCGTGAGCTCATTAAAACAGCGTGGGTGTTTCACTGAACAGGTATCGAATGCCAAGCTAACCAAGCTTCGGCGACGAGCGAGGAGTGCACAGTAGCCTGGGGTGTGTGCAACGTAAGTATATTTAGAAATAAGGAATCGGTTATTTCAAGTATCTCCAAAAGCTAGGGCGACCATTCTCCTCAGAGTTAAAAACAAGACAAAAAATGGCAAAGAAAAAAAAAAGGGGGGGGGGGGGGGGGAGTTTGCTGGGTGCTGCAGCAAAAAGAAACAAAGAAAGAAAAAGACCTGCTACTATTTAGTTTCCTGTGAAAACTCACTTTTCTGAGGCTTTTCATTGAGTAATTAGTGTGCAAGCACCTTTCTTACCCATTTTTGCAAAACCTAAACGTGCCTAGTAATATAGAAAAGTGCACCGTATATGCATCTGCGAAGAAAACTTATTGGCAAGGGGAGTCTCAGAAAAACCCAAAAATCTTACTTCATTGGAGTTCGTACTTCATTGTTAATTCTAATGCACTGTCAGGAGTAATAAGTTATTTTTTACTACTTCCACTTGCCTGGTTCTGATTTTGCAAGTTCTCACGAAAACTGGACAGTTGGCTACGTTAAGACAAAATGACTGAATGACAGAAATAAACCTCTAAAACGGGACGTCTGGTCGCCCCACTAGAAGCTCGCTTTAGATGCACATGGCAGTGCTCCTCATTGAACGCAGATATCTTCTAAGGAGTGTTTTTTTGTCGGGTGGGTTTTAGCCTTCGTGTTCTCCCTCAAAAGATTTTTTCTATATTTTGTTTTGTATATATGACGGGGGTGTATTGGTAAAAACTAATATTTTTTTTAAATGTTGTTTTTGTTGCGATTATTTTTTTTGTTTTCCACATGCAGCATGCATTCCATTTCCACTGCATCTCCCGGTGGCTGAAAACTCGCCAGGTGTGTCCTCTCGACAACAGGGAGTGGGAGTTTCAAAAGTAAGCACGTTTGGTGAACAGCATTTTGAGTGTGCTTGCCAAGGTACGAGCAGCTAAAGCGGCAGGACGAGAGAGAAATCGCGCATCTGCTTTCCAACTTCACATTTGCTCAGAGACCCCCAAATACTTTTTGCCCTCTCGTAAAATTTTGAAGATAAATTTTTGGTGTGCCTATATTGGCAAGGAACCCAGTACCGTCCGCTGCACCTCTCGTGGAAACTTTAAATTCATCATAGTCCTTTTATTTTTTTTTCTCTTCAGGTAAAAGTAGTGTTTATTTTCTGAAGTTACATATAGACTAAACCAACTCAGTTTTGTCATAATGATAGGTATGGTACAACTGTTGCTGAACTAGCCGCTGTTAGAGATCTACCGACAGGCAAGACATTAAAATAGTAACCGCCTTCAAATTTGTACTTGCATAAAAGTTTGTGTTCAAGGCTGTTAATACATACATACTCTTAGTTGTTCCTAATTGTGTCTGTGAAGCAGAGGACGACCTATAAATTGCCTTGTAGTAGTACTTAAAGGATGATGCTTAAGGCTGCAAAAGGTTGTGCCTTAACTAGATTCCACTTTGCAAATAGCTTATGAACATTGCAGCATTTCCATATCCTACCATTCTAGTATGTGCCATGCTTAATTCTCATCATAGGAGTGTAGTGTATTGTAGAACCATACCGAGACTCTAGAACTGCTTGAAACTTGTGAGATGTTTGAAAGTTTGCCCTCTTGTCTGTCCTCTAGGTACGGCCACTGAGCGACAGCAGAGATTTCAAGAAGTTCAATTTGACAAGATTATCCTCCTTTTTATGCGGCGTTCCAAATAAATTTTTTTATTGGATCTGGGTCATTACTTATATATCTGCATTTTCTTTCAACAAGTCACATTTTTTAATGCATTCATCATTGTTCCAACCGGACAAGATTAGAATGGCAGTGGGCTTCCTACCTTAGACAACACTTTGGCATCCCATGAGCCTTGAGACGCTGCCAAAGTTTGACAGAAGGCAACAAGTGCATGTTGAAGGCTGGGCATCAAAAGAGAAGCCCTCGCATTCTCATTCTGTGACTAACTAAGTTTATCCTGCTCCCGACGAATGTTGCCAAACCCCGCTCAAAATGTTGTCGCCAGGGTCAGTCCCGCGAAGTAGTGTTGTGTGGAAGATGCCCACAGTTGCCGAAGGAAACTCTACACCAGTGTCCTTTGTACAAGCATTTTATTTTTCAAAACTAAAATCCACCAATCGCACAACTTGGAAACTGCTCACAGCTTATTCGTTTCAGATGCTCGCGACACATCGCAACATGCGCTAAATGTGGTGCTCGACCAGTTTCGAGGTTTTGAAAGGTATACATTATCGGCTTCGAAGCACGTGACAAAGCCTTCGTTTGGTTGTTGGAAAGCTGCGCTAAATTGTGCCACGAGAGACGGCCTCAAGTTTATGATTATTTGGTCTCCGACTCTTCGTACTGATCTGCAGGACCATTCCTTTTATTGTGCAGTCGGTTTGGTGCGTCTAAATTGCTTCGTTCAAAGTGCGATTTGCCACAGTTTTAAAATGGTGGTGGACGTACGTCTTCAAACTTCTAGCATAGTCGGCATGAGACCGCACGATCCGTCTCGTACACTGCCACTTGTCTCCCAAGAACTAAAGTTGTGGCGTCGCACTTGTGCTGAACGCTTGACGATGTTGGTCCATTGCATAAGTTAGAATAAAGTCGTTGGGTCTATTGCAGAAGTTAGTATAAAGCAAACTTTAATGCCGTCTCGCAAATCTAAGAGCATTTCGACGCGCGGAAGCCTTTATTTGTTTATAAAACGTTAACTCCAACTTTATACGGGCCATTTTTATCCTCAACCCCACTCCGAAGTTTGTTTATGATAAAAAAAATTTACAACCTAGTTGTCTTTCTAGAAAATGTATGCACTTCTGCTTTTCGGTGTATCAACGACAAAACAAAATGAACCGCCATGCACAATGGCGGGTCACGCTCCCATCTTCATCGCATGCCATTTCATTTCATTGCGACCCACCACTTCTACCCCGAGCGCCAAACTAAAACCCATGCTTCACAGTCCTTGGTAATGTCGATACATCTAGATTCTTTCTTAAATTTGTACAGCCGTCGCATGCAGCACCATGCTTTTCTGGAGCTACACAGAGGCTGCTTGGAGTAGCTTTCTAACAAGCTATGCTACAGCTGCTGTTTGATATGCTAAACAAAATCATGGACTCTCTTAGTTCCACAACTTGTGAGGAACTCCCTCGGTGAATTTGGAGCAGTTTTGGGGCTCTTTGTTGGCATTTTTTTGCCCGTGCAAGCATGCGCTCTCATCTGTCGCACCTAAGGCGCGAGCGTGGAACGCCTCTGAATTGCTCCAAATCTACCCAGGCAATTCTACGATGGTTTTGTCTGAAAACAGTTCTTTGTTTCCAGATTTGTTTCCACCTCAAATAGTGTAATAAAAAAAACAAAAAACAGTCTGGCTCTTTTTGGGGTATTACAAACTCTCCCCCCTGCCCCTTTACATAGTGAATTCAAATACACTTATTTGTGCGTTTAAGAAATGATTTGTTATTTTAACTTAAATACGTTTCAAACTCAAAAAAGAATAATCTTTGACAGCCATATCCTGCAAGAATCACTATGTGCAGCATATGAACTATACATGTTTCCGAGTACCGCTTCGGGGCGTTGCCACTTCGCTCAGTTGGGGTGCGCTTGGGCACGTTGTATTCCGATTACGACGCCTTGCTAAGGCGGCGTAATTGGATTCTGGCCGCGCCCAAGCGCACCCCAGCTGAGCAAGAAGGCAGTGCCCTAAGGCCGTATTTGCAAACATGTATGCGGAAAACTCTTCCTTTTTTCTTTTCCTGGGGACAAAGATAGATGCCTGGCTTTCGGGACAAATGTGGGGAACAAAGACTGCAGCACCACCTGATTAGTACTTTCTCCCAAAGAGCACAAGCATCCTTAAAATGACAAATTTTAGGGTCAACTCTCTATGTCTTGACTGATCCTTTTTCTCACCCAGAATGAAGCGTTGCATGTTGCCACTCAAAGGTGTTGGTTATGCGGCATATTTCGCTTTCACAAGTACTGTGTTAGATTGGCAGACAATAGTCAGTAAGCGCCGAACTTAACATCCGCTCGGTCACAACGCTCAACTGACTCAACTTTTCGCTCGCTCTCATTTAATGAAAAAAAGAAGCAACAAAACCGAACTGTACAATGCAATGGCAGTTTTTACGAGCAAACAATAAAAAATATATATATATATATATACTCGGAGTGACACTTTACATGCAGCACAGTAGAACGGGAAACTCTATGCCATGGTGCCAGCCACGAAAAGCGGCCACGTTGTCCTTCGTACAACATAAACAAAAATAGAGTTTGCAACAAGCATTTCGTCTTTTTTTTTTTCTTTTTGCCGCAACAGGGGGACAGAGATCCGATATTTGATTGTCGGATGAACAATGAGGTCGCCGCCAAAAGTCGCTTGGGCAACACCTTAAGACTTCCGTCTTCCCACTGGCCGTTATTGAGTGAGCTAAAGCAACAAGCGCGCACCATTACCGCTAGCTACCGTATTGCCCAGTGTTTGCTATTTGGTTCTGCAGTTCAACCGCTATTGCTTTCGTCCAAAACAATTTCGCTCGATGGAAAGTTGCACGTTCCGACACACCTGCCATGCGCGGTTGTCTAAAAACGCAAAAGATCGGGGTTGACTAGACTGAGATGACGGCGTTGCAGACAAGTTGGCAAAGCGTCCTTTCTCTGCCCGGAGGAACGGGTTTCTATTAGAGATCTAGGCACACACCAGGGCAGCCATAAAATTCGCCAGAATACACAAGCTTGAAACAATCGTTTTGTCAACTAGTCGAGACTTCGCTGCGACAGCGCCACGACCGTCCCTGTATTTGACCGCTGCACGCAAAAATATAAGATAAATTAGCATAAATAGTTGGGAACTCCAGGCAGCAACACTGACAGAAATCATGAAACCAGCAAAGTTCCGTCTCCTGGTAACTTCTTTGTTACAAACGTTTAAAAAAAATAATTTAAAACCGCATAAAAGTGTAAAAAATGACGAAGCACTTCATTACAGGCAAAGCAAAAAAGACTTGTACCAAACTATCTGTCCTCGATAGAATATCAGCAAGAGACTGAGAAACTCGGCATCAAAATGGTTTCACACAGCAGCACCTTGGAGTAAGTCCCTAAAAATTGTTCAATGCGACAGTGCGTAAAATGTTAACTAAGCGTTCTTAAAAAACATTTTACAAAGGAACCATTCGTTCTGCCTTGATCGGCCATAAAATTGTTTCTTTTTACGCAGCACGCAAATTATGCATGTGCGATGGCGGGCGATTACATTGAGCCGAGTTACCAGAACCGACGTACTACCACAATCTCTTTGCCTACAGAGGTAACATTTCATCAGCTGTCACAACATCAGTCTAGTGTTGCTACCCGCCCAGATACCTCGAGCCAGTTTGTGCATATGCATATCCTCCAAGTTGTCCGTAAACCCTAGCGAGCGATGCAACTCTTGTTTCTCGCACAACACGTTAGCGTACCTGTTTGCGTACCTGAAACAAGCTACGCACCACCCCTGGCCTATTGGGGAGGGGGAAGGGCCGAGCCGAGACGCGTCTAAGCCCGATAAATAAAGGCACAGAGACTACTCCCACAGGGGCGACCTTTCATACCAACGGGATAAGTGGCAGCATGAGATCTTCATTGCTACATCGTTGAATGGAACAACCATCCTCGGTCCTAGAGATGCAGCAGTGTTGCTGGCACCGCAATGTGTTTCTAGACAAAGTTCGACGCTCCCTGTAGTAGTTCCAAAAAACTGTCGCAAGGGGGTGGGGCAGCTACAATATACATCAACCTTTCCTACAGCGACCGATGGTGATTGGGGAGGTGTCTTAGATATGCTGCCTCCCACATGATTCGCTGCCTTTCGTGATGTCTTGCCTACACGGACACGCTGAAGCTTGTGCGATGGCATAATGTCGTCGGAGGCATGTAGCTCGTGCTGGAGGAAGCACGACTGAGAGACCCCCCCCATCATCCTGCAGTTAGCGATCATTAAAGCTTACCATCTATGCAAATCCTCTGCAGTGTTGGTTGTGGTGGCTTCTTTAACACTGAGAGAGAGTTGTAGCATTGCATTCGTAAAAGGAGGATGACACTACTCCCATCAGACTTCCCCGTGCCACACAAAACGCCCCTTGCACAGGGTGGAAGGCTCCGACAACTACCACCAGAACGATACGTGCCGCGTTTCTTTGCTAAGTTGGGGTTATTTGAACGGTTTTGGAGGGCGGGTCGGAAAACTACCTACTTCGTCTGCAGGACCCGGTGCTTCCGCCGTAACGCGACTCCCTCGCACACTCGTTCCCGGCCCAACTGCCCCCGTGGTTCCAAAAAGCTTCCACGAGCCTGGAAGACGTCTCCGAACCGCGCAGATTCCTCCAGCCGCCACACGAGCTTGCAGTTTTTGCACGACTTGTTCTCCCGGACAAACTCGCCGAGACACGGATGCCCTCGTCAGAGAGACACTCTTAGCACCACTAGACGTTCACAGCGGAGTCTCCTTCTTGACCGGTATCCCCGATGCGCCCTTCCCCCTGTAGTTCGCCAGGTTCTTGCTCCTCACCTGCTCCGCCGCACTCTCAACACCCTTGTTCCCCTTGCAGTTAGGGTTAGTCACGATCCCGTTGCGCCGAGTGCGTCCCGCCGCGTCCTGCGAGCCCGGCAGCTCTGGGAGCGGGCCCCTCCTTGGCGGGACGGGCACCACGACGTGCCGCGCGTCGTTGAGTGGGCTCGTGGGAGACCGCCCCTCGCTGTTGAGCGGCGAGAGTACGCGACTGGCCCGATGCCGCGAACGCGTGCACTGCTGGATCTGCTGCGTGAAACTCAGCCCCGTGACGTCCCCTGCCTCCGCGAGAGCGGAGGCCGTGGCGAACTCCGCCGTCTGCTTGAGCTGTTGCACGGTCACCGGCGTGACCGCAGAGACGGCGTTCTGCTGCGAACGAGCGGTCGAGCTGGTCCGGTTGCTCGACGACTTGGAGTCGGATCGGTTCGAGATGATGGACCGTCTCTTGTCGCCCGTGGACTCTGGGGATTCGGGGCAGAGCACCGCACTGCAAGGAGCCGTCGACGCGGATGCGAGGGAGGCGGTGCTGGTGGAGGCGGTGCGGCCCGTGGCCAGCTGCTCTTCGAGGAGCCTCACGACGTGGTGGTGGCCGGCTTTGGAAGCGACGCGGATCGGTGTGCGCCCGCACTGGTCCACGTGGGATGGATCTGCGCCGTACTCGAGCAGGGCGCGAACCACGGGCTCATGTCCTTCTTGAGAGGCTATTCCCAGGGCCGTAGCGCCCTCCACGCATATGTGGTCGACCTGCAACGAGTTCGGAGAGGCTCATGTTTTGATGGGGCTGCGTCGGCACATTGATGCCATCGACCGACGCTATCACTAGTGAACCCATAGAACAATAATAGCTCGAATGATAAATAAGGCACATATATCTTGCTAATATGGAATGTTTTCACTGGCATCATTATGTCCACCATTGTGCTGTTATGAGCTGTCTACTAATATGCACCAAAAACAATTATTTTGTGTTGCCATAAAATTTGTGTCTGACAAAAAAAAAAAAGTGGTTTGATGTCGTGTGAACACACCATATGCTGGGCGAGTTTAATGTGCACTGTATATTAATTAGTGCGTCTACTGTGAGTTTAATATTCGCAATAGTATCATGTGGGTTTATATTAACGAGCGAGTTTACTCAGATAATTTAATTTTAGTGAGTTAAGTGAATTTTATATTAAATGAGTCTAAGGTGAGTTATGCAGTAGACTCGCAATAATTCAAACCTAAATATTTCATACTTCTAATTAATTTTTAAAACTTCAAAATTTTGGTTGTCTCATTTAATTCAAACAACATTTTCGTGTAATTCACACTCTTCGTTCTCCTGGCCCCATTGGGTGCGCTTCTTAAAGGGCCCCTGAGAACAGTCTGGGTGGGACACGCGAGTTAAAAAATTAATTTTACGCGGGAAAAAAGGTTTTTAGAGCAATATTGACAGCGCAAGACGTGATTCAGCCAGTAGTCACCTCCTTTCACTTGTTTTCTCTCTCGGCATTTCGGGCGCGTGGAGGAGAGGTGGATCAGCTTGGCCGTCACATTGAGGTGGAGAGAGTGTAGGACCAACTCATTGAGGTGGAAAGAGCGTATGACCATTCCGTGACATCATGTACTTCGCACGCAAAATTTAAAATAAACCTTGCGCCGTCAATATTGCTCTAAAAAAATGTTTTTTCGCAAAAAAAACTTATTTTTTGACATGCGTGTCCCAACTAGATTGTTTACAAAAAGACTTCTTTTTTTTCTTTTCAGGGGCCCTTTAAGGCCAGCCCAAACAGGACACTTCAAAAATCGTGAGGCGAGACATGACTCCGTCAAAAATCGTGGAAGTTGAAGCGTCTGGCAGTCCGACGTCTCTTTTAACACCACTAAGTAGACATCACGATTTTCCTCCTCCCTTCCTCTGCTTTTCGGTGACCTTGATGCTCGTCATACTTTGTTGTCACACCTGCCAGTGCCGTCCATTTGTTCTGCTGGGCCCTTGTATCCTGGGTCGTGTTCCAAAATTCACTCGACCTTACTCCAGGGTGAGGGTTTTATACCTTTGCGTTCGAAAACCTACCCGTGTCCAGCATCACTCTATCCGTGTTATCACGTGACACGGTCTGCCGGAGTAGCTCGGATCTATTTGGGTAAGATTTCGAACATTGCCCTTCCCTTTCCCGCTTTCGGGGCCTGAAGAGCAGCGGAGGCCTTGAACGATTGACTGACAGCCAACAGAGCTCGTCAGTGGCTGTCTGGGCCTCCATGATGAGCATGCTCAAGGTCCACATGGAGGACACTGGCGAAATCTGATGGAGAAAACTTTCCCCACGGCAAACGAAAAACGGACAGAAGCGAACCGCCGCACGACTTATGTCAGACCTCACGATTTCTGAAGTATCCTGTTTGCACGAGCCTTTACAAAGCACCGGTGCACTGCAGAAAAACAACACTCATGGAGCTTGCTTTCGCGAGTGTTGCTTCTCCGTAACGCACCAGTGCTCGGTAAGAAGCGTGCTCGGCGGGGCTAATAGAACACAATAGACAACTTATTGCTGGACGAACCAACTTAATATTGTTTAGAGGTGTCATGTGCTGCCTAAACTGTCCACGAAAGACAACATTCTCGAGGGATGAATGAACTTACTACACACATTTTATTAATGTTTCATGTGTGGCATACCCGCTTATAATTAGTAGGCCTGCACAGAGATAATCATCTAATATCCGCTTTGTATGTGTAGCCATCCATATAACAAACCACAATTTTATATTGCATCTTATATAGATGAATTTCTAATAATTCAAACTTCCGATAATTAAAAAATAAAATGTGTGGCTTCGTGAAGTTTGAATTAGTGGAAGTCTACTCTGTTAGCAAGTTCAATTTTAGTGAGTTGAGTGAGTTTCATATTAGTTTGCGAGTCTAACTTGAGCTTCATGTGAGTTCTACCCATGATCTTAACGTTAGTTATATTAGTGAGCGAGTTTAATGTTTCATAATAATGTGCTATATTAGTCAGTCACCCGTATTCACCAGGCGCAATTAACTAGCACCGTTTTAAGGTTAGTAGCACGGCTAAGTAGTCGCGAGCTAAACGAGAAATCCGCGACTAACGAGCGATAACGTTCTGCGGTATTCACGAGTGCGAAGCGAGCGGGTGACTATCTAGTCAGAACTAAAAAGCGGAAATGACGTAAAAAGATAGGTCACGCATATGCATACTTAAATGGCACTGCGTAAATAAGTATTTCATCGTATAAAAACTAAACTTTAAATGTTTATCACGGAAAAAAAGCTACAATGAGAGACATATTGTCCAAGACAGTTTTACAAAGAAAAATTTAAAAACGCCAGGGAGAAATATTGAAGCCGCATTGCCAGCAAATGGAAGCGCCCGCAAATGCATTTTTTTCTCGTCGTCCAGCACCCTGCTGAGATCTATTTAGCGGTATCTCTGACCACTGAACATGGCTATTTACACATTATTTGCACCTCCAATTCTTTCTAGATGTCTCCCCCAGTGTTCCAAGACAGTAAAGGCTCTGTTACACTCCGACGTAACGCGTGCGCGCGTGCAAGCGCGTCACAGCGACGTCACGTCGGCGAAAACCTGACGCTCTATACTCCGGCGTCGTGGCGTAACCGACGCGACCGGCGGCGTTCGACGCAGCCTGACCGCCTTGACGCCAAAATGGAGCATGCGGTATTCCGCGCGGACCGCGCCGGCTACGCCGGACCAGGATGCATCACGCGCTGGCTCCCCGCAGCCCTCGCACGGGAAGCGCGGCGAATACGAGCAATAGCAGACGACAGGAGCACCACTCCGTGTGGCGTCATGTTTGAAGAATCGGACTGGGTCGGTCGAGAAGCTCATCGAGGGAATTCATCCTCACCCGTGTTTCTACGACAGGAGGAAGCTTGAGTGCCGTAGACCGTGCGCTTGTCAAAGATGTACCGTATGTGCATTGACCGCCTGCGCTTGCGGCGCAGGTGGTGCACCAACAGTGCAAGCGCGAGCTTTCGTCGTGCAAGGTACGTCCACGACATCGCTCGAACTCGGCGCTCAAGAAGCGCGAGAATTCTCGTCTGCTATTCGAAACGAAATGAAACCGGAAGTGGCGCACTCTCGCAGGAAACCCGCCCTCGTAGCCAGATTCTGCGCATGCGCCGTGCTGGCGGCCCACCGACGCGCGCCGCGGAAGTCGCCAGGGCCGCCGGAGTCTAGAGAGGGCAAATTTTTGACGCGCGCGGCGTGACTGACGTGACGTAGCCGACTTCAGCCAGCGTTCGCCTACGCGCGCGTTACGTCGGAGTATAACAGACCCTTAAGTGCTTCGTTAGCACTGGTGGTCAGCGGTGATACGAGTCGGCCATGGCGCTGAACCGCTAGTCACCCGCTAAATTAGCCCTACCCCATGACTAAGATTTGTTGGTCGACTTCTCAGTCGCGCGGGGCGACTAAGCCCTAAACACGACCGGTGAATACCAAGCGCTCACTTAGCGGTGACTATCGCTCGCCACGTGATCATTTTAGTCGATGACGTCACTAGTCAGTGGTTAAACAGGCACTACTCGCCGGGTGAATACGGGTGAGTCAGTTTAATGTAAGTTTCATATTCGTGAGAGTGAGTTACATCAGTGAGTGAGTTTAAAATTGGGCAAGTAGATAAGCTGATTCTTGCAGTTTGTATTGTACGATCCCTTCTCATACACTAGTAGAAAAGCCCTCTAGTTACAAAACGGATCTCCATAGGTGCATTATTTTAAACGCTATCCCATACTAGGTCCCCCCTTATGTAATACACTTCACCGAAGTGCCTTTGAGAATCATGAAACCGAATGGCGCGTCCTCACCTGCGCCCCCCGCTCGAGGAGGACCCGCACCACGTGGGCGTGGCCCTGCCAGGCGGCCGACTGGAGCGGCGTGCGCCGGTCCGCGTCCAGCGCGTCCACGCGGGCCCCCCGGCTCAGCAACAATCCCACCAGGTCCGAGTGGCCCTGCCAGGCCGCCACGTGCAACGGGGTCCGGCCCTCGAGGTCCGGCGCCTCCGTGTCCGCACCGCGCGCCAGCACGAAGTCCGCCATCTCGGCACGCCCCTCCAGCGCCAAAACGTACAGAGTCGAGCGACCGTCGGCGTCCTGGTAGTTGACGTCGGCGTTGTAGCTGAGCAGCGCGTGCACCTGCATCGTGGCGCAACGAGACCAAAGTCAAATCGGGGAGTTTTACAGGCCAAATCAAAGAGGGGCATCTGGCACGCTACGGCAGGGTTTGGACCACCTGGGGATCTTTTGACGTGCAACCGAAATCTCAGTTACACGGCGCCTTCTTTGCATACGTCTTTGTCAGATTGCAGGCACCTCCGACTAGGATTCTGCTAACTTCCTGCGGTACGGTTGACTAGATTGCCTAACTCTCGGGGCAATCTAGTCAACAATTATAAGGCTCGCAGCGAGCCTTATAATATAAGGCTCGCTGCGAGCCTTATATTATAATTCGCTTGCCGACCGTTTCGGCAAGCTAGGCTCCCAAACAAACCGTGCTACTTGCAGTTGCCCCTGGCTTTGCCCCGCTCGTACGAAATGGATTACGATCTTAGGCTCGAGCTTGCGCCGAGCCGCATTGCAACTGCCAAGGGTTTGGCAAGCAACCACTTCCTGCTCTCGGCGTCCATCGCCGTTCTGTCGGGCTACCTCGCCGGCAACGACGATACCAACGCGACGACCCTCGGCAAAAGGCGGTACTAATTTAGTACTTTTATGAAACGAAACAAGTACGCTAAAAAAAAATACTTTTGGAGTGCACGTTCTGCAAGCAGCCGCACTTCGAAAGCTAGTCTAGCCATTGAGGACGGAAGACGCCTTGTTGAGACACTAGTCTGGCAACTGTGGGTACACCTTAGCAAGGCCCGAATGCGATGCCTAGAACGTGTCCTCGACCGGCGTCTTGACCACGTCCCCATCCGTGGTGACTCGAAATCCGCCCCATGACGTCGTCGAAGTGTCGTGCTGCCGCGAAGTGTCCCAGCAGTGGTGATGCGTGTGGCAGACACCTGTTCTGCCGCAGGTCGCTCTCCAGTTTGACAGTACACGGAAGCTTCAATAGTCGGGAGCTGGGAAGCCGCGACAACGGCAATGCTCGCATTCTCTTGTGCTCTTTTCTAGAGCTTCTACCCTTGACCGTAGTGATCGCGACATCTAACATTTACGACGTTCCAGTTTTTGCGACATCGCTTGTTGCCACTTCGGGACTACTTTCGAAGGTGGGACGGGATGCTAAACGCACTGGTCAGAGATGTGTTCCTGGTTCGTTCTTGTGGCGAGCGTTCGGCCAATTGCGGCCAGTCTAGGCGACGGTTGCCGAAGCGACTCAAATACCATCTCGGGCCCACTGAATGTTTACTGGCAAGCTTTGCCTCTTTTTAACAGCTTGGTCTGTCGGCGAACCAAAGTAAAAACGGAATCACGAAAGGGAGGGAAAAGAGTAGATAGAAGCGGATGGTAGTACAGTCGTCATCGGTTGCGGCACCGGTTGCACGGTCAAGGCACTCACCGTCTCCTTGTGCCCCTCCAGGGCGGCCACCCGGAAGGCGGTCCTGCCGTCGTGCGCCCTGTGGTCCACTAGCGCGGGGGGGTGTCCCCCCGCCTCCAGGAGGGCCACCACGGCCTCCGTGTGGCCCTCCTGGGATGCCAGGATCAGGGGCGTGCGTCCTTCGTTGTCCGTCTCCGACGCCAGCGCGCCAGCCTCCACCAGCAGGGTGCACACCTGCCGGAACACACAAGCGACGCTCAAGTTACGGCCATGGCAGCATTAGATTAGGGCTTCGAAAGCGGCATCTGGCACCAGATGTCAGAAGTCCACGACAGTTTGACATCAGTCCTAATGGGTTCTCGAGGAGTTCCCAAACACCCTGAGGTCTCCAGGATTTTTGCCAGTGCGACCGAATTTCAAGTGTTGCTAATATGAAAACAGTTACTGGGCGGTGGTTTTAAAAGCGCAAAAGACTGAGAAGAGAAGGAGGGGACAGGACAGAGCGCTTACTTTCAACTGTCAAATTTAATAGAGCATCTAGAGAACGACAAGGTGGAAGAGAAAAAAGAAAAGGAAGAAAAGAAAGATGAAATTAAAGTCACTGCTGCTACAAAGAACATATTTAGTTTTATAAATCGAAATAAAAATTATTTTAACTTCGGCTAAAGGCAAAATAATTGTCACGTAAAAAACTGTCTATACTACAAAAATAAAAAGAAAAAGAAAAAAAATGAAATAGAAGAAAAAACAAAAGAAGAAGAAAAAAATAAGAAAAGAAGAAAAAAAGAAGAAAAAAATATGCTGAGCAACCCGCTAAAAAGTCTTCAGGTAAAACACCGCTAGAACTGAATTTCCTTTTGCGTTTCAGGTCTTCAGGGGAAACACCGAAGGAACTGAAGTTCTTTTTTGTGTTAGGGTCACTGATGGCGCGCTTATACACTTGTCGCCACTGGTGAGGGTGACTTGAGCCTCGTACAGTTCTCTGGTGTTTTTGTCACGGAACCGCTTTAGAACTTTGGTGTGGTTAAATGTTGGTGAGCATTTGCAGTCTCTGACATGCACCGCAAGATGTCCCGATGGTGCTGATTTTAACGTTTGGGCATGTTCTCTTAATCTAATATTAATACATCGCCTTGACTGACCTACATACACTTTGCTGCCATATATACACACGGTGTATATATGGCAGAACAGTCGGTCGGTGTTTCTTGCGTTTTTCAGTGTCACGTTTTTTATTTGAGGTGATCAAGGATTCGGCGACGTCATATATTATGGAATTCGGATATCCCGACGCTTTCAGTCTTTGTACTTAAGCATCGAAGCTTTCCCCCGCTGAATGTATGCAGGATTTTTTAAGAGCTGTATTCAGGCAATTTTTGCAATTCCTCTTTTAATAATTTTGGAATGAGCCGAATCATACTGTAAAGTTCACCCAAGAGTCACCAGTGAACTCCGTACTCCAATTTTTAGATCTAAGATTGGTGTTCTCCGACAACCACGCTTGCTGGATGTATTCCCCTCGATCGAAGAAAGGTCTTTTACAGTATGATTCGGCTCATTCCAAAATTATTAAAAGAGGAATGGCAAAAATTGCCTGAATACAGCTCTTAAAAAATCTTGCATACATTCAGCGGGGGAAAGCTTCGATGCTCAAGTACAAAGACTGAAAGCGTCGGGATATCCGAATTCCATAATATATGACGTCGCCGAATCCTTGATCACCTCAAATAAAAAACGTGACACTGAAAAACGCAAGAAACACCGACCGACTGTTTTGCCATATATACACCGTGTGTATATATGGCGGCAAAGTGTATGTAGGTCAGTCAGGGCGATGTATTAATACCAGATTAAGAGAACATGCCCAAACGTTAAAATCAGCACCATCGGGACATCTTGCGGTGCATGTCAGAGACTGCAAATGCTCACCAACATGCAACCACACCAAAGTTCTAAAGCGGTTCCGTGACAAAAACACCAGAGAACTGTACGAGGCTCAAGTCATCCTCACCAGCGGCGACAAGTGTATAAGCGCGCCATCAGTGACCCTAACACAAAAAAGAACTTCAGTTCCTTCGGTGTTTCCCCTGAAGACCTGAAACACAAAAGGAAATTCAGTTCTAGCGGTGTTTTACCTGAAGACTTTTTAGCCGGTTGCTGAGCGAAATTTTTTTCGCTGAGCAACCATAAACCATGAACCGTAAAATCAGTATCATCAGCACCACCAGAGCTTCGCCCCAATCAACATCGTTCACCACGTGGAGAAACGGTTATTTTCTTTCACTTTCTTTTTCATTGCACAGCAAAAGCTAGCCCACTACTTATTTTCACCAGATTTGCTTTCGATTTTAGGTGGGCTACCTCGGGACATTACCGTAGTGGTTTTGGCCGAATATTTTCAACTCGAATACCGCATAGTTTCTCCAAGCCTTTCACTACCTTGCACCATGCTTAAAGGAAAGTCCACGTCTCGCCGAGCATGTGTGCACTGCGGTGAAGCAATACCCCCAAAGCCCGCCAGTTCCACAGGTTTTGCTTCCGCACAGTGCACGGGTGCTCGGTCAAAAACGCACTCAAGGGAGGCTAACTCGCCGGGATCAACACATAGAAAAGTATGACAACTGCAGTTCGTTTCGGAGTGAATATCGAATAGGGTATTATTAAAAACTACTATTAAAAAATTGGAATATTTGCTAGGTAAAGCAGCCAAGGACCGGAATGCACTTGACGAAGTCACAGTTTGTGCAAAAATGTCGACAAGTTCTTTTTGCGGTTTACGCGATAGTGCCGTTCAAGCGTCGTGGCCCGTGGACTGCTCGTTCGCGGGCCGTAACGACGAAGGACAACAATCCACAATTTTTCGTGCTGTCTTGCGGGAGAACAAAAGGGGCAAGCAGCCGACCCACCTCGGCGTGGCCCTCGAGCGCGGCGTAGTGGAGAGGCGTCCAGCCAGCATTGTCCCGGTGCAGCTCGTCCAGGCCCCGGTCCAGTAGCTGCCGCACCACCTCCACGCTCCCCTGGGTGGCGGCGATGGCGAGCACCGTGCGACCCTCCGCGTCGATGCTGTCCACGTAGGCGCCCCAGAAGAGCAGCAGGCTCACCACGTCCGCGTGGCCCATGGACGCCGCCGCAAACAGCGGCGTCCGAGAGCTGTGATCCGCGTGGTCCACGTCTGCCTCGCCTAGAATTTGGACCCGAGACGCCGACTGACACACCGCCCAGCTTCCCCGTGCGCATTAAACAACGCGTTTCTGAGGGGGAGTCTGCCGACGTGTCTTTTAAAGAACAAAAAACATGGTTATGCCGAGTTTCAGGTTTTCCGTTCTTGAAAGGAAACTTGGCTCTCTCATTTGTCGTAACATTCAAGCATGCGTCTTGGAGGCTCATTTCAGATTGTTCGTTTGGAAACTTGGACGTGTGCTCAAATCCCCTTCACCAGGAACACTAGATAAATACATTTATATAAATTAACTAACTCAAACACACTTCTCACACCTACGAGTCACATAAAGTGGGACCTATTTCTGTTTATGAGCGATGCTCCATTACGAGAAAAACAAAAACAAAAAAGGTTGATGGGACTCAAACTGCTGCCTTGTCCTCGGGCACTGATTCTCCCTCGAACTGAACGTCACTGATATGTGACACGTTGAGTGCCATTGAGAAAGCCCGCTCTGCAAAGCTTTTGTCACCACTCGTCTGCCACAACTAGTTTAAAAAGATGTAATAAATAAATTAAGCGTAAGAAAACGTAGTAATCCCTGTTGGATTGCCAATTGGGTAAAAATGCATTGAAACATCTTCAGAAGTCTAATTTTACGGTTGAAACATGTAAAAGGAAGTTACAATTCGCACACGGGTGCCACCAGTGATAGTGGGAGAAAAGGGAGATGTCTAGGCAACGTCTGCCTCTCACCAGGACAAGATATTTTATGTATGCTTTTTACCGAACAATTACCTCAAGCTCTAGACTGCAGTTCTCGTTTGGTATCGTCTGATACATTCTGTAGAAAGAGATTCATCAATCTTATACTATGGAAAGGAAAAAGCAAAAGTAGCACACTGATCTTTCAACGAAACCTGTGTACTATGCAACACTGTCGGCACCAAGAAACAATTGTAGGTTTTTCCCATTTTCTTTCAAATTGAAATGCCCTCATCAGAACTACTATAGTGCCATGAAAAGAGCTTGTTTGGGGAATCAAGCCGAGTGGTGAAGTCTGATTCCCTCGAATGCCTCGTCCAAGTGTACATTAAAAAAAAGCGACAACGTCCTGTTCGTGCCAAGTGACTCGTGCCGTAAGCACAATAAAAACACCGACTATACTTCGTTTCAACCATAACTTGGCGAAGAGCAAACGCTGCAGCCCTTTCGAGCGAATCGGAGCAACAGAGGTGAAGCACGTGACGGCCCTCACCAAGGGAACAACAACGTAACCCAAGCAGTTGGAGAAGAGGGGAAGGAGGAACTCCCCTCTTACCCTCTTTTCTGTGTCACAGACGTCACTTTTGTCCCCCTGAGAGATTAGACTGTCACCCAATATTCGCAAAAAAGCAGATTCATACAAAAGTGGCTTCCCTCTCTCTCCCACCCACAACTTCGACAGCACCGTACGCAACTGGTGAGACAAAGCGCAGTCCTGCATCTCCCACCGATGCACCAAGTGGCTCGCCGGAACCGCAGCTTGCACCGTCTGCCAACTTACGGCAAGACGAAGCACGAGAAATAGAGGAAGCGACTCGTCTGCTGCGAAGCCGAAAGGCACCCCTACCTTCAAGGAGGAGCTCGCAGACCTCCCGGTGGCCTTCGAAGGATGCCACCAGGAGCGGCGTCATCCCTTCCCGATCCGTGTGGTCTACGTTGGCGCCCCGCTCCAGCAGCGACGCGACCACTCCGACGTGCCCTTCCGACGGACGCACGCACAGCGCCGCCACCGAGAGCGCCGTCCGACCGTCGCCGTCCGCGTGGTCCACCGACGCACCCCCGTCGAGCAGGTGCTCGACGATCTCCGCGTGTCCCATGTAAGCGGCTGCAACGAGGAAGCAAATGGCAGCAACGTGACGCATGATGGCAGTGCTGGCACAAGCTCGGCATAGTTTTTATTGTCTTTATTTATTTATTTATTTATTTCACCGAAAGGGGGGACAAGGGAGGTAGACAAGGCCCCCACCTCACCTTGCGGTTCAGAGTTGGAATGGGACATCGTTGAAATTAAAGTGCAAAATGCAATGAAATCATCAAATACCCTGTACAACATTAGATCTGTTTTAAACAATACCAAACACAACTATTGAAGATGCTGTATTTTTTTTTACTTCTCACTCAACTATCCACTTTTTTTTTTATTGAAAAAACGATATCACTGAAATTGGGAGAGGAACGTTGAAAGCTTTGATGGTTTCCAATTTCATTTAACAAAAAAGAGACTTAGTAATTTAATTGTTAAGGCTCGTTCACACACTTGTAACCGGGTACGACCGAGATAGAAAAGACCGGTTTTTAAGCCTCTTGCGACGTCTTAGGACTTGGTGCGCTGCTGCGGAGCTGGTTCTAAGACGTCGTAACAGGCTTAAAGACCGGTCTTGTCTCTCTCAGTTGTACTCGGTTGCACGTGTGTGAACGAGCCTTTACTCGCCATAGCTGGTTCTTATTTTTGGTGCTTTCCCAGTGTTTCGCCCCAGTGTTCGATCTGAGCTAAGACTCTTTGGGTTTCTATTTTCAAAAAACTCTGATAAAATTAAAAAAAAACAAAAAAACATTTGCCTGTAGATTTACGAAATACAAAAGCCTTCAAAAGCCTTCATCTTCTCCTAAAATCCTGGGAAAACTTTTGCATTTATTTTCGTTTCCACTCTTGTTATTAACCGTCACTGAAGAGTGTTTTTAACACCTTTTTAAAAAGGGGTGATCTTCCTACGACAATAGTTGAACGCGTCTCGTCTTTGTCGCTCTGCTCGAAGCCTTCCCCCTCAAAACACCTGTTTCCTAGATGTATATTTGTCTTCCTTCAACCTTCTTTTGTTGAAGATTGAATTTACTTCTCGTCCGCCTTGGCGTCGGGAATTTCAGAGATTCAGAAAGTGTTTTCAGTATTTCCGAGTGATGGGCAGGACGCCAAAGCACCCTGGTAATCGAGCCAAAAAATAGCCAGATTTCAAAGCGGTTAGCAGCGACGACATTATTGTCCATAAGTTTCGCTATGCACAAGTTAGCTTGGCCAACACAAAAAGCGCCCTCCCAGTGTTGAGCACCAGAAATGTAACCAGCCCATCCACCTGAAGACAGCTCGTCTCAAGGCAGAGGAGTGAATTAAATTAATTGTAGGCTTATTTCCAACAAATTAATTTATACAGTGAAGGGCTCACCTCTCGTCATGTTGCCTATGAAAAGGCTTCTTTACAAAACTCGCAAAACTGCTATTCTCAATCCATGCCAATGACGCTTAACATTAAAAAATAAAAAATAAAAATTTCATGTATGATGACCGAAAGCTTTGGAAAACTGAATTTCCGGTAAGAAAATTTAATTTTAAAAGACAACCTCCGATTTTGCTCATAAATAAACTAAAAAAATGCACAACCCTAGCTATGACCAATTGCAATGATGTCTCCCAAAGTATACAGTGGACCCTGGACTAAAAGGTTTTGGACTAAAAGTTTTTGGCTCTAGGCAAAACAAAGTTTTCTGCTTCTTCCCACGGTGATTACTCGCGGTGGTTACATACAAAAAAAAAGGCAAAAGTTTTTGACAAAATACTTTGGTTTTAGAATGGTATCGGTGCAGCTTCAACCTTAACGGCCCGAGACCTTGTCTGCTCCATTTCGTCATTCCTGGCCTCAATCTCAAGTTTGGGACTTCATAGAACTGATAAACTTATTTTGCTTTACAACAAACAATGAAGAAGCCAGTCTATGACGGTCAGTAGGTTTCGGCTGCTTCCTTTGACTTGTCGTGTCTAGACTGAACTGGTCTCGCAACTCGTCGAAATAGCATTTCATTGACAGACATCAAAAAACAGAACAGTTAAAACCTCTCGAAGCGATGCTTTCAATGGGTACTCTTGTGACACTGTACCGAAAAAAGTACCGATGGTTCTGCCCACATAAAATAGAACCTACAAAAACTGCGTGTTGCCGGCATGCTAAGCTGTTCGCAATTCCCAGTTGTTAGCAGACTGCTGATATTTCCACGTGCGTGACAGAGGTGCCGGAGCACATGGCTACCACGTGGAAGTGCTGGGCTCCAATCCTGCCAGTATCCCTTTTTTCTTTTCTTTCCCCCTCTAGAAAGTTCCAGTTCGTTCTCGACAGCGCTGATTTCAAACATTGCTGAACGTACAATACCTCGACATCAATGCACACGATGCCACTCGTTTGGCGCAAGTTCGCTACAATAAACCTTTAGTTTTTTCACTTCTTCATTGTTTCGTCACTTGTCATCTGCGACAAAACCCGTTGGTTAGACTTTCCCTGTCGACCACTTTCCCAGCGTAAATTTCCAACTATCTTTCGAAACGAGACAAACGTGAACAAAACAGTAGGGTGGAACCATTCAGACGGTAGCCAAAACAATGTATCCAAAACGCACGCCCACTAGAAACCGTTTGTCAAAACTACACAAACCTGCGATGAGTGCGGTGCGGCCCTCGCAGTCGGCGCGGTTGACGTCTGCGCCGTGCGCTAGCAGGCGACTGACCACTTCCTCGTGTCCACCCCAAGATGCCGCACGGAGAGCCGTCCGCTGCTCTGCGTCGGCGAGGTCCACTTGGGCACCGTGGTCCAGTAGGGCATCCACAACCTGCGACAGTGTTAATTTGTTAGCGAGGTGCACCAGCTCCCACAGTCTAACAACGAATTTGCCAATCACATAAAAATATGAAATTTCCGAATTGCACAAAGCACGCACATTCCCTAATATGAAATTTCTGGCTCGCATAAAACACACTCTCTAATACAGAATTTCTGAATCGCATAAAACGCACACACTCTAATACGAAATTTCCTATTTGGAAAAAACACACGCATCCTCTAATGCAGATTTTCCAAATAGCATAAAATACACTCTGTCTTTAATACAAAAGTTTCTAATCACATAACAATAATTGCATGTGTGCATGTTTATACAGCCAGAAGTTAGTCAGCCCAAATGGGCGTCTGGTGTCTCAGCTGTAGATGAGAAATTTAACCAGTGCAGTACAACTGCTAGCCTGGGGTCGATCCTTTAACCTGCACCACGCAGTAGTGATATCCAGATCGAAACGGGCAGGGGTGGGGATCGAACCCAGGACCTCATGGGTCCTGCAGAGCGAGCTTTTGCTCCACGTGCTCCTAGGTGGTGTGCGCTAACCCCCTAAGCCACCAATCTCCAACAGCTGACTGCGTACCAAACCAACACAGCCGTGTGCAAGCTTGGCTTAAATGATCTTCGCAACGCTCTGCATTTGCCTGTCGCAACAAAACGCGCAGAAATGCGAATGTGTGTACGTGTCTTTAACATTTCTAATTGCATAAAACACACACTTTCATACAAAATTTCTGAATCTCATGAAACACACATTCTCCAATACAACTTTTCCAAATCGCATAAAACAACCTCTCCGATACGAAATTTCCAAATCGCATAAAACACACACTCGAATAAAACATTTCCGAATTGCATAAAACACACACTCTACAATGCAAAATTTTGGAATGGCACAAAACATATACTTTCTAATAAAGAAATTCCAAAATCGCATAAGACATGCACTCTCTAAAGGCCGACGACCAGACTCGAGATTCTGCAAGGCAGAAGATCCTCCTCACCATGGGAGAGGAGGAAACAGGCAACGGTGGACAGGGAAGAAGGGGAAGAGGAGGAAGCGGGGGAAAAGTGGCAAGCGCGAACTGGTTGTCGGTCTTTAATATGGAATTTCCAAATAACATAAACACACACGCTCTCTTCTTTTACACATTTTGTCTATTCACAACTTCCAGCAATGGTGGTACCACAGTGTGAGAATCGCGCTCCTGGATGATCGGCCTCAGAGTGAAGGTGCTTGCTTACACACTTTCCTGATGTGGAAGCATGAGGCGAGGCTTTTATATTGCCTGTATTTCACGAAATTATAATTAATTGCGCGCCGCAAACCCTAACTCTGAGTTCCGTTCTATGACAATCGTCCAGATGACAACCATTTTGACAGGAACTTGTGTGCACCCCTATAGGTCGTGAAAGTTGTGAATACTCTGTTTACTCCTGAGCAGACAGTGCTAATCTGACCAATAAAATGCCTCCGTTTCATCACCTGACCCTGCTCTCTGGGCGTGGGACTGGGTAAGAGTGTGATCACGTGGCGAAAGACCGCTGCATGACTGATCCAAAGAGCTCATAGCTCATTGGACCGGTCATGAGGTGCTGTCTGTCCACTTTCTTCTGTCTTGTCTACTTTGCCTTGAAATTTCCTTCCCAGTTACGGTATTAACCATCACGAATCAAACGCGCCAGCTCGCCTACACTTTGACTATTTTCTTATAGACTCCACTGTCAGGTTAGGGGTGAACGGAGTACGGGCAAAACGAAAGCTTCGATCTGCTTTTTATCGGGGTGCAGTTGCTTAGATATTTCGTGGATTGCTGATATAGTCAACGGTCAGTTATTGCCAAAAGAAAGAGATGTTAATAATAAATTAAAGAGAAAAAAAAAGAACCTTTATCAATATAAAGATTAGTTTTCCTGTTCAAGAGGAAAGTTATGGGTTAATATGCCCTTAACTCGTTCCTGACCTAGCTCATCGATCAGCGGTAATCAATGGTATCCAAGTTAAGAAATTAAATTTAGTGCAGACAATTATGTTCCACAATCTCGAGGTTAGCCAAAGACCTCTAGTTTTGGTTTCAATGTAGGCTTAAGCTTTATCACAAGCTGGTGGGCTGTCCAAAAATAGTAGCGGGAACGGTGGCGGCACTTGTCTAACATGGCTAACTGCTTGCATCAGTCTTCGTAACAAAGATGGCATTATTTACATAATTCAACTGTATTGCTCCATATTTTTTAGACTTCTGGGGACACCTTAAATGATGTTATAGGCGTCGCTTAACAGATGGTTGTAGGTGAGCATCACTATAATTTCTAATTTTGTCCTGAGCCAGTGTGCACGTTTTATGTTCCCAACAAGACGGACAAAAATGCTAAGTATGAGGGAACTGCAATCAAGGCCATGACAAAAGCAAAGTAGAACACAAAGAAAGCATTCTGCTGGGGATGTGAGATGTATACTGTCTGTGTTTCACCAACATAAGCATTCCCTCAATGAAAAGAGCACGTGCTACAAAGGCTAACTCTCCGACCAGCTAAAAATAGACATCCGAAGTAATACCCGTGGGACATTCAGAAGTAATAGTTGTGGGTGTAAGGCCCAGTTTGTATATTCTAATTTTTTTTTTTTTTTTTTCATTTGTCGATTAATTTGAATAGCTGTCGAAGTGTCGGCGTTTATATGCCCTCCGCATATACACGCATTCAAGAAATAAAATTTTAAAATCTCTCTTCCACATTATACCAACCTCAGTTTCTTTGGAAAGAACAACTAACTGGCCAGATTTTGTTGTGTCATATTGCTCCACACGCAAATTAGGTAGGAAAATAAATGCATTTGCACGAATCCTTCGAAAATTGTTATAGGTAATTTAATTCCTGCAGCACCATACCACATTTAGGATGAACTCTGTAGCAAGTGGGGCTGAAAAATTAGGCATGCAATGCAATAAAATAGGGAAATAAAATGACAGGACAGTATGAATGTTGTTTATTGGAAGTACCATATTATGAGTGCCATAATTACTCTCAAACTTCATCTGCCAATTAAATAGAAAAACGTGTTTCTAATTGTGTTAAGGCTTCCCCCTCCCAAATCCCCCCCCCCACACACACACACACACAAACACAAACAACCCGAGTTACGTCATCCCAGCATTATTGTTCAAAATGCAAAACTTACACTTGTAATTTCTTAAAAAAAAAAAAAAAAAAAAGCTTTTATATTATAATTCAAAACGACAAGAGGCAGGTTTTTTTTCTTTTTTAAGTTACTATTTCCTTTATTATTTACATATCTACACTCGTTTTCAACTCAAGAAAAAAAAAAAAAAGTTTTGTGCATAGTTTATACGGTGCACGAAGTTGTTCCTACAAGATTTGGTTGACGGAGGAAGAAGCGATGCTTTTGGCGTTTGAAACGTGTACGCCTTGATAAGATACCTAATCTACAATGCCACTAACATATATCTTAATTCTTCACATAAAAAAGAGGAAATTGGCAATGCTCCGTGAGCAAAGGAAACTTTTTTTTTTTTGCTATGGTTCTTGAGGTCGCGAGTTCCAGCTCGGTGCACAGAAAGCTGCCCGCGTTCATGCTTTTTTTTTTTTTTTTTTTGGGGGGGGGGGGGGGGGGGGGGGGAGGGGGAGGGGGGAGTCGGCGTCGAGTGATTCCTTGTCAGTTTCTGCAATGATGGGTCGCCAGTCGGGTCACATTCTTTATACTGGTGTAAAAGAGCGCCAGCGATGTCGACCCCTCCGCCGGCTCCGCAAGCGAAACCGGCTGCCATAGCGCTGTTCTTTGTTTGCGAAGTTTCGTTTTGAAGCCGTGCACAACGGTAACATTTCTCACCTAGTAGCGCCCAGTACATAGTTTTTAATCAAACGTTCTAAAAAAAAAAAAAAATCAAACATAACTAAAAAAAAAAAAAAAAAAAAAAAAAAAAAAGGGGGGGGGGGGGGGGTGCGAATCGCTCCGGGTGCAGCGTGCCGCTGACTTGAGCAGGGCGAACGCTGGAGAGGACCTCCTCCCCAGCGTTCGCTCTACTAAAGTGGAAAGGTCAAGCGTCTATTTTTGAAATACACAATGCGCCCGAAAATAAAGATTTAAAAAGTTGATTATCGATACGGTACGGGATGTGTCTAAACGGTTCCCTAAAACACCCATTGAGTAAAGCAGTCCTCCACTCGAAACGGGCCGACTTATCTTCGTTAATCTTCGTTTGAGGGGTGATGCCGCGTAACTTCGCGGGACCATTAAAACTGGAAAGTCACGAGTGCTCGAGACCTTAATTAGAGAAAGCGAAGGCGGACATTTTTCCACACATTTCCTTCGAAACAATTAAGTCGCGTTCACACCGGCGATGCGATCTAGTCGCGCGATAACTTTCATCGCAGAAGCGACTTTCGCGGCCAAAAGGCGACGCGATTTGAGCAGTCGCTTGCTTACCCGACTTTTCGCGAGGCTGAGCCAATCAACGGCGTTCGGAGCGAGAGTTTTCGACAAGCGACTCGCCAACGAAGGCGTTGGACTCGCTCATCACGCACGCCAGTGCGACCTCTGGTCTTTTTCGGTCGTACTCGGTTGCAAGAGTGTGAACGGACCTTTAAGGCGCGTTCACACTCTTGCAACCGAGTACGACCGAGAAAGACTTCTTGGGACCGGATGCACTGAGCGGAGCTGGTCCTAAGAGATCGCAAGAGGCTTAAAAACCGGTTTGGTCTCTCTCGGTCGCACTCGGTTGCAAGAGTGTGAACGGGCCTTTAGTCGCATCGCGCGACTGCTTCTATCGCCGGTGTGAATGCGCCTTTAAGGCCAGTTCACACTTGCGGCAGTCCACACTTGCGACTTATATAAATATGATCGTTCACCAGCCAGCCTGCGCCATTACCGTTATTTCAGTGCTATCAAGTTCTCGTTTGTCATTATTTGGTTTCGTGTTACCTGGCATAGCTCTTGCCTGGTATAATAATAATAATAATGTATTGTATGTTGATCAGTTCCTATTGATTCCCCCCTCTCTCCCCAGAATAAGTCAACTAGAGGTAAGGGGAAACCCTCACACCTTTCCACCTTGGCAGAGCGAACGCTGGATGGGAGGTGCCCTCCTCTCCAGCGTTCGCTCTGCTAAAGTGGAAAGAGGTGGGAGGAGATTACCTAAAATTTAAACCTGCAACTTACAAATATATATATATATATATATTTTTTTTTTTTTTTTGTTAGTAAAGGAGAAAAAAAATTCAACGCTGCAAGCAATGGCGCTGACGCATGCCAAGTGAACGTGTGGACAAGTGCGTTTACAAACAGCGCGTCGGCGTATCCGTGGCGTCGAGAATTTGACGATTCTCGTCGGCAAACGGGCCAAAGGACCCACCTGCAAGTGTCCGGCCCAAGCCGATGACCGCAGCGGTGTCCAGCCCTCGTTGTCCGCGTGGTCCGGGTCCGCACCGGCCTTGAGCAGCAACAGCACCACCTCGGCGTGGCCCTGACGCGCCGCTACAGGGACGACCCAAAGAAAACATCCGCGGACACTCCTCAACCGGTGGCAGCGAAACAGCTTCTCCCATGCTGACCCGCTCTGTACTTTCTTTCAAAAAGCCCTACACATGCGTTTCAATGTTTACGAATCCCCTGTCCAGCGCGCGATCTCCCCAGCCCAGCATTCCGCTCGAACGCTGGAGTTGGCACGGGCTTTCTTCTTTTCAGAGACGCTGTTTCGAAGAGGCTGATCGCAAGTTATTCCAAAATTAAGTTCGCGCGTCCGCCGCCAGGTGCCGCCTTTACGCGGAAAAGGCAAAAGGTGTACAAGTTCGTCTGCTTCTTTTGCAGGGGTAGTGGTGACGTCAGAACGGCGAGTTCTGATTGGTTCTGAATGAAGGATAGTGGGTAGACCTCAAGGCAGCTTGCCTTGAGATCTGCCCACTATCCTTCAATCAGAGCCAATCAGAGCTCGGCGTCTTTCTGACGTCACCGCAACTACTGCGGAAGAAGCAGACGACACGCTCCCCGCATTACCCGAGTCCGCCCTTGGTCTGATCACATGTTCTGGCCTCTGCACATGTATTGGACACGAAAGCGACGTCAGCTTGCGGCGTATACGTCATCATCCGGCAAGGACTCGGGTCCAATCACGTGCGCTGCGTGCCGAAGAATTGGCGACCCGCAAGTTGTGACAGCTCACCCAAGTTCAGCGGCGTCTGACCGTTTCTGTCGGACATCTCCAGACTGGCCTTGGCGTCCAGCAGCCGCGCGACCAACTCCACGTCGCCGTCGTATGCCGCCGTATGAAGAAGAGTCCTCAGGTTGGCGTCCACGCCGTCCAGGGACCCACCGGCGGCCAACATGGCCTCGATGGGATCCTCGAGTACGCCCGCACCGCCGTCATCACCGACCGTCTCCGACACTTCCGCACACTCGTCGTCGCTGGGGAGCTCAGCGCCGGCTTCCAAAAGCAGCCTCAGCACCGCGGGGTCCCGCGGCACGGTCGCACTCCCGACGGCCGGCCTGAAAGCACGGTCGAGCGGCACCCCCGACGAAAGCACCCACAGAGGGAGGTGGTACGGCTTCACCGTCTCGACCGGCGGAAGCCGAAGCAGATGATGCGCCAGGTCTTGCACTTCCGCCGGCGCCAGCCGTGGACCCTTGACCGTCTGCATCATGGCCAACATGGCGTGCCCTTCTGACGCGTGGCACAGGTACTTCTGCGTGCAGTGCTTCACGTCTAGGAGCCACTCCGCGAAGCTGTGGTGGAAGAGGAGAAGGCTGCCGTCTTGCTCGACAAGAACCCTCGACAGTAATCCTAGCCGTCGCCCGAAGTCCTCCCTGGTCAACTCCTGGTTGCGCGTCCACAGACACAGGAAGACGTCGTCGATGGTCAAGGGTTTCCGGGCGGCTAGAAGCACGTGTAGGATCGGCTGGACCTTGGGGAACTGGCGTCGGAGGAAGAGGCGCTGGCAGAGCCAGAGGTACAGCCCGTTCAGGGTGCCCGGGATGTGCCGGATCTCGCGGAGGGTCACCCAGCGCTCGGCGACTCCGTCGAGCAGGCGTTCCAGGTAGAGGAAGCAGCCGTTGCTCTTGATGTGGAGCTGGTTGAGGGCCTCGGCCGTGTCTCGGCTCAACTGCTGCCGGAGGCACTCTTCGCTGTCCAGCCGGCTCAGGATGTACTGCTGGACGTCACGGACCACGGCCGCCTTGCGGAGGTCGTCCAGGCTTATCTGCGAGATTTGAGGCGAGATAGCGGGGAGGTCCCAGATGATGACTGATAGTAAGCGAGCGTGGGACCAACCTCAGTGTCAGTCTCTGAAACTGCGCTATTTATAGCTCATTGGGATCCTCGGTGCCCCGTTGGCGTCCATATTGGCCCCAAAGAAGTGCTACAACTATTCGTGGATAGCACAGCAGTGCGCATGATGCTTCAGGGAAATAGAACAAAAAAGCAAAGATTAAAAAAAAAAATATGCGACGGTTAAGAAAATTATTCTACGCCGAGACCGAACCGCTGTGGAAAGTAAGACGGAAGCGAGTTGTGCCCCAAGCATCGAATCATATTCTACGCAACTAATCTATAATGTGAATATTCACACTTTAACGAGTTATGAGTGAATAATAGATATGGCCTAAAACAAGTTGCAACAGATTCTGTGTGCGTGAACAAAAGAGCTAGGTGTCTAAAGAACCAGAAAAGTCAACGTCCTCATTTCCAAAAAGTTTCCGAAGTCGCAAAAGCCTTCTATATAGCTTTACTTACATCGTAAGCAAAGCTATGCGATACATACATCGATACATAGTCCATCGTTTTATTTTACCGATGATAAAATAAATGCCATTATTTAGGCGCAAGCTGCTTCGTATTAGCGAACGCCATTTCGCCATATGAGTTCCCATCTAAAACGGCGTCAACGAGTGTCTCAAACGAGCGTTAGGTTACACCGCGGGACGCAGTCACCCCCATTACAACGTAAACAAGCTGCAAAAAAAAAAAAAAAAAAAAAAAAAAAAAAAAAAAAAAAGATGACTTCAACCTCGTGCATGCGTGATCACCGCGCGCAGCCCCGACCCTGGCACACCCCCCGCCGGCCTCCGCATTTACAACGGGCGACAGTACAAAGAGCAAGAAGAAACAACAAGGCGCTGATAAAGTTGCCCTCGTCGACAGCGCGACAGGGCATCGCTACGGCCCGCAGCCGCGGTATGCCAAGCACGGCACGCTTCGCAGACTTCGCCAACACTCCGAACGCTCGCCCTCTCCTCCTCCTCCTTTGAGGACATCAAGAGCATCCATCGCTGTCGAGAGTCCCTAGCGAAGAAGTCGCTGCAGCGAGGCCCGTTCCTTGCCCAAGTCAAGCGGAACCACGCGCTGGAAGCTGCAGGCATTTCTTGCAGAGACGACGGCCACGTGGAACCACGTCTCGAGATAAAAAAAGAAAGAGATCATGCAACTACATAAAAAAATAATATATATATATATATATGTATATATATATATATAAATGGGTACTCGGTAGAAGCGAAAGTGCGCAGGCGATCTAGTTAGGAAACATCATAATCTAGAGTCCTAGACCCTAGACCCTGAGACACGAACCTCTATGTTTAGATTATGATATGGCACTTGTGGTCTGCTATTTACGAAGTTAAAAGAGCCTTCGCTCGCATATTTGTAATTTGCTGCTCCGATATCCCCGATTCTCACCGCCATTGATTTTTACATCAACACCGGGTTGAGTCCAACAACCCCCAGAACGTCATGGACAAACTGCACAAGCTTTACTACAGACGTAACACAACTCCGGGACGACTATGTGCATGCCGTTTCTACTTACTGCAGTCTCGGGGATCTGTTGCGTCTAGTAATATCCATTAGGTCGTTTGCGGCCTAACTTTCTCTACCCAATCCCCCCCCCCCCCCCCCCACCCCCCGGTCTTTTCGCCCTCACTGAAATTTGCCCAGATTGATAAACCCGCATAGGTTTGGGAGAAGAAGCGGAGCTCTTGCAATGTAATGGCGAACTCCTCACGCGCAGACTGGGCGCACGTGCGCGTGCATGCGTTGTCACGTGGTGAGGAGGATGGCCGGCGGAAATCCCGAGCAAAATGTCGGAGACGTTAGCAGACGATCGACGCGGTTTCGCCTCCGCCTTTGTCTCGCAAGCGCGGCCACGTACATAAACCACGTGACCCTGATCGAACGGTCGGAAACACTCTCGAATTGAAACACGCTACCCACAAACCGACAAACGTGTTGCACCATAGCGGCAAACACGGGGAGATAAAGGGCCGTTTAAACGCCAGCGCAGCGTCAGTGAACGTTGAACGTTTGGCTCGGGATCGCTCAGCTTTTCTCGGAGTCTGCCGTCGGCTCGAGCGAGCCCAGCCAAGTTCTATTCGAGTGCCGACACGACAGGGGAAACTGCACGATGCCCAGATGACGTCAACGTTGCCGTTTCACGTTGAGATATCAAGCAAGAGTCGTACACCGCCCGACACTGCGATCTCCGGTTTTCTTTTGTTTATATCCTGGGGATTAAAAAAAAGCTGTAACCAAAACTACTAGGCTGGTGGGAAGTGCTCGTTCGGGGTTTTTAAAGTAAAATTTAACGCCCACCAATACACGCACCAAATAAAATGCAAAAAAAAAAAAAAAAAAACGTTGATGTAGCGTTTGCGTTAGCAGTGTTGCGCAGTGTCATAGCGCAGTGTCATAGCCTGGCAGATTGCCAAGAGAAGCGGCCGCCGAAATGGAAAAAGTGGAGCGGCAGACAACGGATGAGAGGAGAGCCAAGTGACTGGCGCCCCGCTGCGGCGAGACGCCGAAACACACTTCTCCCGAGCGAACAAGTGTGTTTGGGGTCCTCGCCGCTGCAAAAGCTGTGCGCTGACGTCCAGGTTCCCCGAGAAATGGCTCTTTGCTGCTCTGTGCTATCAGATCCTCGCGCTCCCAGTCTGCAACCGGGCACTCTATGGCTCCGTCGTCGAACTGCCGGGCTTTGTGAGTATAGAGGAATATATGGCAGTGTATACTCTCGGCAAACTTGCGTGCTTCGCGTTCGCAAGTTGATCGCAGTTGTTTCTGGAACCACGGACGCTCCAAAGCAGGTGATAAGTAAACCGGGAATCTTTCCCACGGGATCCCCGTTTAAACTCGAGACCTAATCTATAGGCTATAGCCTATCGCCGCGCAGTCGCGCGGAACGGCGGTCGAACCGCCCATCTCAATTGGACCCCTCAAACGTTTCTGTCTCCTGCGCACGAAATCTATGGCGGCGTCATGCCTGCATCGAACGTTCGGTGAGATCGGTTCTATCGATCTGGGCAAAACAACCGAGAGGATAATTTTATTCCGACCATATAGTATTCATGGGACAACCGCGATATCGCAAATGATCCGGAAGAGTTTTGTGAGCTACCCGCCACACTGTACGTGTTCGGATACCCAAGATTTTTCTCTTCCCGGCACGCTTTTTTATTATTGCTAAACTTAAAATGGCTACCGAGGAAAAGGCAAATGAGGATTATGCCAAAACCAACATTCAAAACTTGCCGCGCTCCTAAAAAAAAAACAAAAACAAAAACAAACAAACAAACAACAACAACAACGACGAAGTTTTGCGCATTGTTCATACGCCGCGCGAAGTACAGTTCTTACGAGATTTGGTTGTCGGAGGTAGAAGCGACGCCTTTGGCGTTTGAAACCCCCGTACGCGTCAGGATAAGATAGCAGATGCCTAATTTAAAATGCACCTACATGTTCCGTTGTATATAGGGTTCCGCGTTTTCGGTAAATACCGGTAATGCCCGAAGATTTGGTGGGTTTTTTTCCCCTCAAGATCAGCAAAAACCGAAAAGAAATCGAATTGGAGTTCTGTTTTTTAATAATCTTGACCGTCGCTTAAAATAAACACAAAAAACACCGATTCTAAACCCCCCCCCCCCCCCCAAAAAAAAAAATATCTGAAAAAAAAAACTTTTAAATTATGTTTTAACTTCTAACTCAAGCAAGCTATCTAAAAAAAAAAAAAAAAAACAAGGAAAAAAAAAAAAAAAACACCGTATTTTGCGATTTTTTTTTGTCTTGCTGACACTAATTTTTTTTTTTTTTTTTTGCATTAGTAATTTGACACCATTGCACTTCTCGAAACTCGCCGGGAACAAGCTGTTGTGTCCTTCAGTGCTGACTGTTGCCAGAACCTCTCAGCCTCGCGGACCAAATTCGAAAATTCAACAACTCCACGAAAACACACTACACACATAGTGATTCGGGATTCGGGTTATCAGTTCAGACGTGTCTATCAATGTGTCGAACCCATTTTGAGGCAAATCAGTGTCTATCGAAATTTCCCCTTTTCATCGTTCACCAAACATCCGCCCGCAAATATGTCTACAAAATATTTCATCGAAATGCCCTTTCGAGAAAATGAATTTTTAAGTTTACGCGTCCGAATCACTTGCTCCCACTCTGCTGGCAACAACGAGCGGGTGCACTCGATCGTGACGTCGAACGTTGTATCCGAGAGCAGACGACGCTCCCTCCTCCACGGCCAGTCTGTGGTTTTTGTCGAATTGCGTCTGCTTTCGGCAGTTTGCGGAATGCGATCGAGGGGGACGGGCTGTGGGGTGTAATAACACCGGGAACAAATGCAGCAGGGTACCATCGACATCTTGGTTTCCGACCAAGACGTCTCTGCGACAAAAGTGGGTTCGAGCAGTCTGACGCGAATGCGTCGCGCTAGAAACCAGTCCACACCTTGCTAGCAAAATAAAACCTTCCATGACATTCTGTATCGAAGCGGCATCTGGGTCCACACGTCGGCGGATCGCGAATGCAGCCCGATCGGAGGAGATGCCGGCGGATCGAATGCGGACGACCAATCGTCCGAAATCTCCTGCTGACAATCTTAAAAGAAATTAAACGGAGACACCTAAGACTGCTTACGTTTAGGAATGCCAAAAACATTCCTACACGCAGCGCATTCCTACAACCAGCGCGCCACGTCCTCCTTTTTCACATGGCGCTCAGGCGGTGACATCACGCCCCCCAACTGCGCAGGCGCGGCACCCCCGCCGGCTCCACGGCTTCCCTGACGAGGCATCTGCGTTGTTGTGCTTTTCTTTGTGTTTGCCAAGGCGCGTCCGCTTTGCAGCCAATGGGAACTTATGGGCCATTTCGTTCAGCCAATGGGTATTTAGGCGCCGTTTTTCGCTGCTACAGACCTCAGAT